GCTGTGGGGGTTACAAAAACGTCGCTTGATCGTTATTGGTTATAACATCTGGTAGAGACATAGTTTACATCTTGGGAGCCGGACCAAGAAGGCTAATAGTTCTATCTGTGTGACTAGGTGGCAGTTTATAATTTGAATTACTTTTTATACCTGATGGTTTGTAACATATTCAGTACGTTGATGTCCACGTTTAGTGGTTTGGTTTAGCTTCCAATATTATGCTGGATTAGCTATTCTACTAAGACAACCTATAGCATGCTAACTCGGACTTTTACGCTAGGACTGTGTGGCTGGCATCGGATAGACAAAAAAGGAAAAAAATTCGATGACAAAAGATATGGTCATTAGTATTCTTAACACTTCATCCTATATATACACACCCTTCTAATAAACCGTTTCCCTTGTACTAACCTTGGCTTCCCTTCCTTCATGTGAGCTTACTCCAACTTGTTAAACATCACAACTCATTGTTCCTCATTAGTACATTCTCTAATATGGAGCCTATGACTTCATTTCACTCTAACAAGAAATAATATGAATTTATTCTAATTTGTTATACCTCTGTCCGTTCTACTACACAATGTTAAGCAACGTTTGGCGTCCATATTCAAGTGCCTTGCTGCTCTTCTGTTTCTCTTTTTTTCTTCTTCTTCAGAATCTCGCTCTGAGAGCACAGCTATGAAACTTCTGACGTTTGGAACAAACTTGACGTACGCGTCCTATCAAGGTCATAGTTTACAGCAAGCGCTCTACGATTTCACTTTATAACAACTATAAACTTAATAAGTTGGGAAACATTTTGTGAACCAACAAATGTTGTAATTCGGAGATCATGCCTGTAAAAACGGTGTGTACCTGCACATGCAGAAATATATTATTATTATTATATTATTATTATTCTATGTAGGCAAGTGTCGTTAAACATACATGCGATGGTTTGCAAGGTTCGCATATATATCGACGTTCAGTGCGTGGTCAGTTGTGTAAGTTTTATGACCAAACGAATGCAAGCGGAATCATTGAGCAAACGCAAGCGCGTGCAAGGTCACAATCGACGGAAGGAAGAATGTATGTGTTTTGGTACAGTTAAACAAACAAGTACGGTAAAACAGTCCCTGGTATAATTGATTATAATAATAATTGTTTCCATTGCACCAGTCGTGTTCTCTTGATAAAAGTAGGCCAGTACAATCTTATAATTTAGGGTTCTGGAAACGTAGCTAGTGTCAGAAAATCATTGCTCTATCAATTCGCCTAATTAGAGAGAATGTTACTGCGAATCCAAATACGTTTATTTTGCGTGAGGTGATGCCACAAGTATTTGGAGTTTGACAAAACCTCAACCAGCAACACCTGTGATCGAAATGTGTCCATCGAGTGATATCAGAAGCGAAGAGTTTTGAAGATATATTTGCCAGGTTATGAATATATCGAGAAGTGACTGAGTACCGCGTTCCCACTTGTGGTCTGATGTGGATACGTAACAGAGCGCCTTTCAACTAGGTGAGTCCATTAAAATTAATTTGGTCAGCATCAAATGTCGAAGACTTACAGAGTTATTGATTCTGAGGATTTATTCACAAACTCAGAGAAAGGCACTAGCATTGTTTCGTGGTGTAAGTATTTATTTAGGAAGAAATTCATCATCGTTACATATCATGAAACCTTGTAGTACATTCCTCATCCTCAAAAGTTCTTGACAAATCCCTCAGCTTCTATGGGTCAGCGGTGCTTATAACCATGCGATTAAGCACAAACGCGCCAAACGAATCCAACATATTCGCTAAACATCTCGACAGTCATTACAAGATAAACCTGTTGACACTTCAGACCGTTTGTTAGTGCAACATTTATTGTTGAGCCATCCAGATCTGAATAGGGAAACATCGATATTTTGGATGCATAGTTAGTGTTATACGAAAAGGTTGGAATGCTTATCTGAAACTTGGATATTCACTCTATATTTCCGAGCGCGAAGCGTTATACACTACTCCTGATGATATCTTGTCCTCAAATAAAGGTGTTGTTATGCCTTCCTCATTACGCAAATTCTTCTTCTAAGCACATACAACTCTACTGTAATATAGAAATGCCAAGCATTCTGTAACGAAAGGAACTTCATCGATGTTATTAAACAAAAAGATTCTCCTTTCGAATATGAGATTTCTAGGGTCTGCAAAAGTTACATATTATCATGGAAATGATCTTCCATAAGCCATGGAGATTGCGATACAGAATGTTACAAAATCTATGGTTGGAATCCTATACATCAACGATATAACTATACACATCCTACATATCGATCGAATACATTCCCAGGAATCAGATGAGTCTGATCCAATTTCTGTTGCGAGTTCACATACTGATGAGTACATTCTAGATATTACAGTCTACTCAATACACAACCGGAAGGACACGACAGACCTACGCAGATGTGCAGTTGACTACAGAAATCCGTACTACCACTTAGACTCATTTAGCTCTACCTACCTCAAACTGCACTATTTCGGGAATTCTTAGCAAATCAATACGAATAATCCTAGCTTTCACAATCTGATATTCATGACTAACTTCAACACTGTCAACCAACAAGTCTTCATGTTTAGGTGTAATCTCACGTTTTCAAGTTTACCCGTGAATACCATGCAGCAAGAAAAAAACTAAGCAATCCATACTGTTATTCTATGTTGACCAAGCTATACATTCAATTTTTGACTTTCAGTGAAGCGTACACATGCTGGTAAACCTATTAATACATGAGATTTGGGATTCTATATTCTGGCAATTAAAAATACAGTTTTCGAGCCTCTCGCTTGTCAGACAAAAGTACTCTGAAAATTGAAGCTATAACCGATTTCCACTTTTTGCTTCCGAAAGGTTTCTGTGACAAATTGGATGGACTATGGAAAAAACGAAAACAGGCGAATGAACTAAAAATGACCAATTTCAACGAATCCATCTGAAGAAATTAATTTATGATGCACTAAACAATTCAACGTATTCACATAATGTTTGTTTATTACTTTATTATTTATCCATTACCTAAAAGCATATTAGCAAGTCTAAGAAACAACTCTTGCTTTCAAGTAGACTACACAAACTCTGAGATCCTAATAAAATGTAGTTTGGAAATACAAAAGGAAGAAAAAATCAAAGGCATTTCTGCAGATAACAATAGAATATCAAGAACATGGATCTCCAACTTGGCTTGGAGATATAATTGGTATTGCTGTCTATTTCTTCCAAGCCACATAAGATAAGAATATTATCGAAGAAAAATTATCACAGTCGTCCCATTCTTTTTATCGTATCGCAGTTAGTTACCAGTACTATTGGGCCGACTTGTTGAAGAACTTTATATCGGTAATTGAGACGAAAGCAGTTTTAAAGAACTCAATTCACGGAACTTGTTAGATCAATTGGATAATAATAGTGGTTCGTAATTACTTGGCGAGAAACAATATGAAGGTAATCCATAACCGACTACAAGTGTTAGCCGACTTAATAAATTCATAACAGAAATTATAATAAAATTATTATGCTGAGAATTATCAGTTCCAAAGATTCCTAGTCATCAATTAGTAAGCAACTTTAGAGTAGGAATCGTCTGAATTTTATTGATGAGTCAACGGAGTAAAAATAATGATTACTCGATTCAGTTTGCTGTACGAAAACGACAAGCTTAGTGAAAACAGATCAATTTACGAATACCATACTAGAAAGAACTGTAGCACAATTCTCTGGAAAGTGGATGTGAAACCATTTTAATTTTCTGTATGCATTTACTCCAAGTAACTATGAATCCACACAACCCAAGAAAAGACTTTCCAAAATCTAATTTCAGGTGTAGTATTAGAGTATTAAGCGAGCTTATAACTTCAAAATGATAGTGAATAAGTCGACAATAAAAATCACCTAGTGAATGTTCTTACACTTGGAATTAGGCAAGGATTTCTTCGGTTTGCGAACCTAAAATGTTCACCACAGTATACACATCCTTAGTGAGAATTAAGCTTGAGAACTGCGATCAGGCTGCAAGCCCCTATTTAAAAGGTGACTCTGATATCCTAGAAAAAGTACAAAGGGCAGCTACCCGTGCAATTCCAGAACTCCGGGGTTTACCATACAAAGAGCGGCTTGGAAAACTGGAACTCTTTACTCTGTCCTATCGCAGGTTAAGGGGAGATCTAATTTTGATGTACAGAATACTGAGAAATGATTTTGGACCTAACTTATTCTTCCCACTAGATCGGGACATCTCAGAGGACATAGCAGGCGAGTAGAAAAGCCAAGAATGAACAAAATACCGGTGGCATACAGGTTTTCACACCGAGTCATCAATACTTGGAACCTGCTGCCCGAAGCAGTGGTGTCCGCACCTTTAATTGACTCTTTCAAGAGGAGACTGGACACTCACAGAAGCATACTAGAAAAGGAATAACATAGGCCGTAGCCTTCTGTCCTTACTACACAAATCTGAATCTGGAGTAGCTTTAAAAGTAGAGATCTAGTTGTACAGATAGACTATATCATTTGTTGGTGACGACATGAGGACTGATTTGTCGCCCATTCCGGTTCATTATTTCATTACAACATCGAGTAAGTTGTGACTAACTAAGCCAGAGTGTTATTTGTTTGAATTGATTAGTTAATTTTTCGATGACGACGACATTTGGGATTGGGAAGAACATGAGCTATCCAAGTCTAAACTGTTAAGTCATGTTCACAACGGTGCTGCAGCTCAAAATAATTCCGCCTGTAATAACTGAGATTCGAACGGTAATGTATGAGATATCAGACAATTCATTGATGTAAAGACCACTACCATATAGTAATCAGTAATCTATAGTTCTTATGGAACTAACAATGGACTGAGACTCTGAACGTAAGACGTTAATGATTTTGTGAAATGTAGTGAATGAAACTTAATATAAACTTAAACGGAGTGAAAAATAAAACCTTTACTCGGTGAACATAAGACTAGACTATGAATGGTATTACTTTATCATGAAATACACTATACACAACTAACTTGAGCAGGTGATATTTCTGTGTATTGACGACACAAAGATATTTATTATTAAACGACCGGTTATGTTCTTCTGGAGAACAGAACGCATAAAGACAGGAAGAAAAGTGTAGGGACGGACCCCGTTGAACTCAAGGAAACTTTGAAAGAGCTGAAGACATTCCATCCAATTATTTTGTGAAAGAACATTACAGAATCTTGATGTGCAACTTCCCAATCGGACAAATGCTAAAAATCACTGCACAGGGATAGGATGACTGTAGTGATGAGTTTGTTTTTATTAAAAACTATCAATACTTGAATGTCTTGTATCATATTTGACACTATTTAGAATAAGATTCAGTTTCACTAGTTTTCTGAATTGCAACTTGGAGGGTTCAAGCGTCGAGTTCTCAAGTTGTAGGCAGTATAACAAGCGAAATGTAAGTTCTATATATAACAGGAAGAAATAAAAACGACTAAAAATTAAGCTCAAAAACATCTCTGATGTTAATTTTGACACAGCAAGTTGTGTATAAGAAGCTGTAATGGAATATAGCATAACTTTCCTTTAACGACATTCAGAAGATGTTACCAAATATGTACAAACATTCGAATTGGCTTCACAGCGAAAATAAAACAAAGAAACAAAATGATACAATATCAAATATATAACAGACAAGAATTGTGTGTGGCGTAAATCTCATCTTCGAAATGCAGCAGTACCGGATTACAATGTTTATAATCATTTTTTTTTAAAATTCATCCCAGTAAAAAAAAGTTAGAAATATACAGGAAAACATTCATCCTTGAGTAAATTATCATACTAGCAGCTGAAACATCACGTTTAATTCACGTCCCCATTGACCAGCTTTATTCGCTACATCTTTAGTTCCTAACGCTGAACGTATTGTAAGTAAATGGGACAAGCATTCTTGACATTTTCGACGCCTACAAAATTAGATGGAAGGTTACAACATTAAATAAGTGAAGTTACCAAGTTTAGTATCATGTGAACTGAAATTACAAATTTTTAATAAAAACTGCAACCTCTGCTTAATTATTTTCACAGCGGAAATTATAAATCTAAACCTTAGAAAACTAAATTAAACATTTGGAGTACAGTAGAACACATTCGCTTGATGTGCTCAATGAAAAAAACCTGAATGAAACAAGTGTAGTGTTAATACTTAGTAAAACTGTTTGATTAGTGAGAAACTATACACAAGAAAATTATGGGTGATGATATAATGATTGGGATAGAATCAGTTGTCAATTGGTATACATTTTCACATGCATAAAGATATGAAAAGGAGATGAAATTTGAAGCAATAAATACTCTGTACTCAGAGCAATTAAATTTAAGAAACGAGAAATACTGAGAATGATTGATACCGACTCATAAATTCCCAATAATGAAATTATTTTCTGAATACTCTTACTGAAGTAAGCACACGTTTATGTGGTCGACGTAAACGCGTACTGTCATATGAGAGCTACATGGCTACGCAAAGTGAAGTACGTGAATCGGAATTCGAATCTGCAACCTCTTAGTTAATAAATGAATGCCTTAAACGTTAAGTCTACCGCTTCATCACTACTTTTAAACATTTGGAAAAGAGTAGGAAAAATAAATGGTGATGAGACAATAATTTATGGACGACCTTTGAGCGGAGCCGAAGTGACCTTGAGAACGCCCACCCACTTGCTAGGGCTAGATGGTTGTTATAAAGCAGTGTGAAAAATAAGGATTGTGATTAACAATTACTGGTTGAGGTTAGGAATTAAATTTGCGGTTTTCATCGCGAACTAACATCAGCTAGAATGCCAAAACACTATTTAACAGATGGGTGAACGAATTTCGCACCGAACTTCGAGACATGTCATCCTAAATCTGATTGGTTCGTCTATAAACTGTAGTCTCATCTAAGTGGTTGTTTTTCTTTCTAAATGGTCGATTTCATGAGAATAGCATACAACAATATAACTGCGTTTATGCTGTATAGTTGTGTGGGTGAAACTAAACGAATCAAAACCTATATATTGGGAAAAAGTAGAAGTAAACAAACAGTCTGTAAGGAACTGAAGGGTTTTTTTAATCATGATTCCAAACCGTCCAGTCGTGTGTGAACCGACTTTTATGGCGTGAGATAAAATAGCTACAACATAAATATACATACAAATGAAATATGCTATGATTTCTAGATAATATATAACATAAGAATGTATAAGTTCTAAGCATGATTGCGTATAAATTCTTGTGAATCAATTATAAAACAGGTAATAAAACGCTATACACATTCTAATACATATGACATGAATTAGAATAACAGTTAAAACCCAAAAATGCGCAACCTTTCTTCTCGCATCAAGTCTACTCCAGGTGGAGTTGGGCCTTCGATAGTTTGGCGAATCACCGGGGCAAAATTTTTGATTATTACACGAACTATTTGACAAGTTGTTTCAACATGACTAAAACCCAAGAGTAAGTAAAAATAAGGTTAAAATCATGCATGAAAATGTAAAGTGTAAACACTTAGACAAATGTTCGCAAACTCGATATCAGTGTTAGTTTAACTAAGTGGATATTTTAGAATAGACGGTAACAACATAGAATAGCAATAAGACAAGGCTTCGTTAAGCATTAAAAACTCAGATCTCATTTTATCTAATGGTCACATCATATAATTGATCAACAGACGGCTTTTATTATCCTCATTAAACATCTTTGAATAACAGTTGTGATTACTGATGAAAATATTATTTGTTATATCAGCCTACATTTAAAAACACTATGGTTTGACAAGGTGTATTCATAAATGCTTGAAGTACTCTTTTATTCGTTGACAAAAGTGGTGAACAAAGAACAGGTACATTGGGGTTATTTTGACAACAGATAACCATCTTATTTATTCGAAATGAAGCTAACCACCACTGAATTTGACTTGACTTAACCCAGGTAACTGAACATACATTCAACCAGTCAATTGGATGAAAGGGTGAATAGTCAAATATTAGATATATATTCGAATAAATAATTAATGTGTTTGTTCTGCTACAAATATTTAGAACTATATTAATTAACTGCACAATTATAGATAAAATGCTTTGACAATCATTAACCAACAATTAAAATGATAAACTACCAGCTGTTGGTCTACATCATGAAAGTTATTTAATGTGCAACTACAATAAACCATAAGTTTCCGGTATTATAATGAATAGATCAACAAATTATAAGTGATTCAAAAAGTGAGTGGAAAATCATGTTTTTTTAGAAAAGAACAATTGAAATGTGATCAATATCACAATCACCAAAAGGAGCAGAAGTCCAATAAAACGGTATCATATCCAATAGTCATACTACCAAAATGTCCGTTGTAATTCATAATTCTTTGCAAACTGAAGTACAGACTAATAGTTTTATATTCTCGAACCACTTTCAACTAACATAGAGTTGCCTCACGTATTCAGTAAATCGAAGGATTGAAAAATTCAAAACCAGTTTATTCACCAGGTACACTCCAGATATGAGGGATGATGATACTATCCAGTCTCCCAAACCTAAGTATGTGAAGTGAGGTTCGAACGTGGGACTTAGCAGCTGAAAGCTTAACGCTTTAATTACTAAAGCACAGCAGATATGGTATGACTGACTAAAACGTGAATGAGATAGGCAAGTATTTCAAAAAGAGGAAACATTTCCATGTTCAGAGGCATCATTAGAAAAATAAGACTTACATTTATAAATTTTTGTTGATTATTCTTAAACAACCAACACAATTATATCTGATAATTTAGATGTATACACTAATGAACAGATTCTAAGTATATGCTTTAGTTTTCTTCTTGATTAGTAATGATGGAGAAAAAAAAAGATTGTTACTTTTAATCAAATGCTAATTATCGTCTAGTTTACTCCAACTAAGGTGCGCGCAAAAAGGGCGATTTAATAATACAATAAAATGACGTCACTAATATTATGTTAACGAATGAAATATAGCAAATCTACAGCGAGTTTAAAAGGGTTGAACATTAATACAGGCAAGTGAATGACAAATAACCAACAAATTGTCTTGGAATGGTTTATTTGGGTATTGAGTAAAGTGACAGAAAATGTAACGATGTGAAACTAAATAACGACCAGTTAATTGTAGTGCAGGTGTGCTTGTTCATAAAATGAATTGTCGGACTAGAGTTTGGAAAGATACAGAATGCAATTAAAGACTACAAACTACATCCCGAGTTATATAATGTTGATGCTTTATAGGGATGGAACTAGAATACTTAAAAATTAACAAGAAAACTGAATTTTTGACTGTGAATGGTTAGATCTTCAGAAAAGAGAACATAGCAACAAATAGATCCCAAAAAGTATAGAATATCGTAAGATAGAGTATAGGTAATACTATCACAAGAAATATGAAACTATTGCAAACCAACTAATGGAACAGAATATCACTCTACTTAGGGCTAATGTAGATGCAAAAAATTAATCGACAAAATAAATAATTGAACAGACTCAACAACAGAAGTGACAAATTAAATACTAGTTACGTCATCTCCGCGTTTGTTGTATACGGTATCGGATCAACTTCATTTGTCACTCAGATGGAGCAGACAACTCGGCGAGCACGACATGACCATCAAACTTTAGTATTAAATCCAAGTTCAATGGATCCACTAAATCCGTTATAAGAATGCATAACGATTGAGAAAAAAGAGGATTCACTTCTATATGAAAGTAAAACTCAGAATCGGAAACTGTCAGAGTGATATTCTCAGTCATATACCGATGGAATATTCATTAACTGTCACAGCTGATTATGAAGATTCAGCTTTATCAAAATTACGACGAGCATGTCCAAATGGAATATGAAGTTGTTTATGCCGTCCAGGCCAGATAATATGACGGAGGCAATGTTAATCATCAAGTCATAGTACAGATTATAATTTTACTTTGGAGATTCGGTGGTTGGTAGAATCAAAGTTGCATCAGTCTCAGATGTGGTAACTGGGTTTAGGCGTTTCGATGGGGTTACCATTCTGCGTAAAGAATGAAGGAGAAACCAAAGTATTCACAAATTCTCTTGAAGACATCTGGATCAAAGATCTACAATGTGCGAGGCCGTTTCAAATTTCGCTATATATTTTTACAAGGCGAACAATGAGGTAGGAGGGTAGCATATAGGCTCTAGCCAATTTATTGGTCCCGGTAATCCGAATATATGTAAATTCATTTATGTTCTAAAAAAAGGGTGCATTTGAGTGAATTGGGGATCGAGCAGTTCGTTGCAGGAGTCTAATAACAGCATTTAAGGAAGTATAAGGTGATAGAAGCACGCCCAAAAATGACCTTAGGAAATTAAGGAAACAAATTGGTACTTAACAATCTACACGAAATAGCCCACAAGTCTAGTTTTTACATCTAGATATGGACGGACAGACATAATAAAAATAAAGCCCGATGCAAATGTGCGCTGGCCCAATTTGCTACATCTGATCAGCACGAGGTGAATCGAAATAATGTAGTAGCAATGATAAAAAGCATGATTAAATATTGGGAATATGATATGAAAAGACAGAATAGAAAGGTGTGCGTGAAGAAAAAAATGGGAGATTGAGAAACCAGAAGATAAAGGTGAACCCATTTGGGTCATTTGGATCAGAACCATGCTACCCAAATTCTACAACCTTTTAATAAATCGGACCTCAACCTAGTAGTTTGGTTCAACCCGCGTAGCTCAGTCCAACAGTCAATGTCTTCACAGACTGATGTCACATATTGAGTAGACCACCTCCGGTTTTTTTCCAGTTTACCCTTATACCAGCCATCATCCTGCGTCGAGGTAGGCTGTGGGTGAGCATACGTAATACATGTCCCCAACAACCTTAGTTGATAAACACTCACTATTTAGTTAATCAGTTTGCCATCCTTACCTAGTACGCTGTATATAATCTGAGTATTGTAAATTCAACGACCTGAGCACATACGAGCGATAGTTCGAAGGCACCTATGATCAAAAACCTGCAACCTACGTATACCTTCTACTTTCACAAACTAAGTTTCACAGACATAAAACAGAACAAATAGGACTGTCACAAAGCTCATACACTTTGTGGTTGTCAGACGAACTTCTCTCTGACGTCCCAAGTTTGCAAATAGTGTTCTGAAAATTTAAAAAATGTAAGTAACATTTACATCCGTACTACACTAATAAACTGCGCTTTTGATGCTAATTTTTTATTTATTATAATTAGTCAGTTAATATATCAGTGTATTGTATTATTAAATTGCCCACTAGGTCCTTGTCGTCACTAATATGAGCCTCTTTTCATTCTCACTTTTGAGTACACCTTTATGGAGGATACCTGGACAAGTATATCTATGTATTAATGTACAAACATCATATGTAACTTACGTGGTATATTTACTGTGAATCAACTCTACTAACTGAGGTAATAGAAAGCTGACTAGATCCAAATTCCAATATTTGCTGGCACAAAAAGGAAAAAATAAAATAGTTGCCCGGAATAAAACTCCAATATTTTAAGAAGTATATTAAGATAAAAACATTATGATAAAAATCATATCAAATAAGTTATAAAAGGTAGCATATGATTCAGTATGTATAATTTGAATTATTAAAGGTAGGTATATATGTAGTGAACAAAAACTTGGTAGGGATAACTGACTTATTATTTAATGCAAAATTAAAGTGTCCTCATAAAATATGAAAACTATACATTATTTGCACATCTTCCCTCAGTTGTCCTTTACATGCTTCGTGATTCTTTCAATTCTGTTGTTATTCCAATTGTTGTCAGTTTCTCCTCCTGTTCTCATCAATTCAATCTTCTGTTGTCAGGTATTTCACTTCTGATGTTACATACTACTTATACCTGTCAATATAAGTAGCATACACCACACACACAGGAATTTAATATCTAGGTAATTTTTGAACGGCTCCGAGGAAAGCCCATTCGTATGAATTTTTTAATGCAAGAAGTCAGCATGAAATGCTTAGATTTATTATTTCACTTATTAATCAATAACTAAATAAAAGTGGTTTTCTATCATAATCGATTTAGGACTGGTGGGTGACAGAAGGGAGGATAGAGACCTTAAACGCTACAGTCTAATCTTCGTTAAGTGGTTATTACCATCGTCTAAATGTAGCTGCTATGAACGGAGGTCTTAAATTAGCTCACCAAAAAGTCGGGAAATCAATGGAGTGGGGGTGTGGATTGGTAGGTTTAATCCAGTTGGTTCGAGGTATCCATTATGCAACTCTCTTGTAAAATTTCCTCTGACTGCTGAAGAGTGAGTTGGTTTGTTCATGTTTACGTTCGGTTGGGTGGTTGGATTACTATTGTTTGATGTTTGGAAGCCTCAAGTGTAGACCAACGCTGTACACATCATTGGAAAGTAAGAGTCAACAGTTAGCACCGCTAAATGTAGACGTAGTTGAAGTTCCTAGCCTAGTAGTGATACGCGTAAATTGAGTGGTTTCGGAAGTACATGCACGAAACCAACAGTTTTAAAGTAAATCTTGGGAACATTCCAGCTTCAAGAAACAGATACTAATGGGATGCATGTATTTTTACCTAAGTGATATATTCATGTGTTAATCGTTGAAGAACAACACAAGAAAAAATGACTACATTCTAACTAAATCTTTGGAAAACAACAACTATAAATGTAAAGCTTGAAACAGCTGAACCGTAACAGAAATAAACATAAGTAAATTATGTACAAATTAAAGTAAGCCAACAGAAAACATAATTAAAAGGAGATGAAATAATATTTACACAACAAATAACACACACATAAGAGAGGACAAGTGACACTGTAACAGACAAAATATACGAAAATGATGTAGTATTTAGTAAATACCTTGACGGGTCAAAATAAATCCAGGTGTTTACCTCAAATCCATTCTCCGGGTGATAGGAGGAATATATCTTGTAATGACCTGAAACGCTATCTAACTACTTATGAACTAACAATGAAAAGTTAAGTCACCAAACTAGTGATGTATGGTTTTAAGAGGTTGAAATAGTACGTCATCAAATCAGTATATATAAACTTCTAAGCAATCAAATGCAAATTAGAATAACTACGTAATTAGGGCAGAAAAATAGGAAAACATAATATGATAAAGAATAGGTTACTAAAAACTTAGTTTACCAAGAATCTGGAATTTGTTTGAGGTCAAGAATTTTTAAAAATTCGTTACTTTTAACTTGATTAAAATTACCAGCAACTTTATATTTGTGTGATTTTATTTTATAATGAATTTCACACAGCTTCTAGTTGAATTCCAGCCCTTCACTCATATAAATAGCTGTTACGAAAGTGTAAAATATCCCAACCATTTACGTTGCTAACAATGAAACATTCCATCAAATGCTTCATATCATACACAACGAATAGTGACAGTGTTTGGTCAACTTCATAGCATCGAAAATGAACTTTAGAAACAAGTAAGCTCCGACAGTACAACAAGAGTATTTAAACCAATTGTTAGAAAAAGATTCAACGAACAATAATACAATACAATGTTAACACAATGTAAGCTATGATGTATCTAAGATACAGGTCAGCTAAAATTGATTCCACAGAAAACTGTATGACTAACCCGTCACACTCTTAATCAGAAACATGAGAGTGTGTGTAGAGTGAAAATTAAAAGGAAATTCTGTTCACAAAGAAATACGGACGTCATTTGTAACAGAGTTATATGTTAAGCAAGATCCAGAGTAGTAAAACCTAATCATTACCCACAAGTTTGTATAGCTTAAATATAAATATCAATATGTAATGAAAATAACTACTGATTCTGTTATTATCTTATCTAATAAGAAAGTGAATAAGTAAACAAATATCATTTCTGAATAACAAAATTAACTGGAAATTATTCATGACAATTATAGGGACTGGCGAATGGGATCAGATCACTCAAAGCACTGAAAAATCGTTCTAACTGCTTGCACTAGACTCCAACATATTATAACAACTTCAGTTCATAAAGTCAAACAAGAACAGAAATTTTGAAATTACTAACGTAACTAGTAAGAATTAAGTTTATCAACACTAATAAAACAACTATTCCGTGTATATAACTAAGATAATTAGTGAAACCAGTTATTCGATACAGACTGTTCTCAAATAATTTGCCATTTGGTGGTTATAATTGGATAATTTAATTTGATACTATAGCATAACTGTTGTAAGAATAGTATGCTATGTTAGAAATTTCTTTGTAGTGATAATTGGGATGGAATGAGTACAATTAGTGATGAATTTGTGAATTGTTCCATCAACGCAAATAATAGGACTGATTAACAAAATTTACATGACCACATAATTATTAGTAGACAAGAACAGTCTTTACCAATACACATCCGAAAAATTAATTGACGACTGAAATCAGTATGCCTGCTGGTTGTCATCATTACAAATTCCTTTGATAGTTCCTCAACACATGACTAATAATCAGGTCTCCAACATCCTGTTAATATAACTGAACAAAGATCAATATTTATGTAAATAATTTGGTTACTAACTCTTAAAAAGAAAATAACGATTAAATTAGCCTGAATTAGATTTACACAATGGATTTCGGAATAATACTTGACCAATTATTCGTAGCTTTTATCAGAAAAGATCATCATTGGAAATTCACTTTTACTTTTTTTTACATCTAAAAGTCACCGCTTAGTGAAAAAAATTGTCATCGTAGGGGGCTTTTGTTGTTAATTGTAGTTGACCACTGAAACAACAAATAAAGTGGTAGTCGCTTGATGATTGTAGTTGAGTGGTAACTTATCATGAAACTGACATCAAAATACCAACTGACAGTCCTCAAAACTGAACAACAATAAAAAATACCGAATAAATGAACATTCAATCACAATCGCATTATGGGTATTCAGTTAAGCAGAAAGAAACATTTGCCTATACATAGAAGCAGCAGGCAAAGTAATTACGACTATGAAAAAAAATGTCGAGTAATTCTAAAATGATATTTCATGGCTAACGAATCCAGAATCTTATGGGGAGCATTAGGTACTTCTTGGCGATGAGTACCAGCTGGAAAGAAATCTAGGGTTCAAAGTCTCATCCAGACATCTAATAACAAAATATGCTGCTAGCAATATCGGGGTACTTTGTCTAATGGCCATATTGCAATCTGATTGATAAAACTCGTCCAGCACTAAGAACTAGACAAACATGGTATAGGTCACTACTCAGTAACCAATCATTGTGCATTTAGAACTCTAAATACCACCTAGATTTCTATCTGTTATGCTGACAGTATTCTTAAGGTTGAACATTGCCCTTTGTCCTAACAATAAACAGTTTAGTGATGTTTTAGTAGTCAATGTAATCTCATAAGCACCTGAGAAGTTAACAGTAAACTGAATAAATAGAGATAAACAAGAAATCAGGGATCAGATAAAATTTGTCATGAATGGACCAAGTATAATAGGCATAGATTATCCAAATATTTTCTACACAAAAATATGAACGTTGAAAGACAAACGAACAAGTTAGTTACAAAATAAATAAATATTGATCTTTGTACTAAAAACGATTAGTATATACGAATGAATTTTTTTCATTAGATACGCCATCAAACGAACTTTCGAAACGAGAACTTACCTTCATCTTTTTGCTTCTAATATGAACCCCGTTGAGCAACTGAGGTGAAAAACCCCTAACAAACCGATCGTTTAACAGAAAGTTTCTTAAATTGGTAGCATATATTTTCACAACAAATTTTGAAAAACATCATACTTCAAAAATCATTTTTAAATTAAATATTTACCACTAGTCCATAAAACGTTAACTCTATGACACTAATTGACTAACAGAGAGTTAGTTGACAATTCCGTGTTTATCTTCAATAAATGGGTCACTTTAGGAATTCATCATTTCGACCCATCAAAAGCAAATCGAAAAATCAAGCAGACGGATTTACTTTCTTTTGAATAGTGAACTTTAGGTCTGGATGATACACAATGAAAGAATGTAGAATGTCAAGTAGATAAGTGTTCTCACTACTTACTGAAACAACTTACCATCACTTTAGCTAATTACGAATATTACCAGAGAGGGGGTTTTGTGGAGATTGTAGTATTTTATAGTTGAATTCATGAATCGATTAAAGCTAAACCACCATGGAAAACCTGGAAGCACTGGACGAGCGTCTCGTCCTAGTATGGGACTCCCCAGCAGTATGCATTCACGATTGGTTGGAGTTATACATTAATACCGTTGGATGCCAGTTCAGTGGTCTAGAGGTTGAGCATTCGCGTGTGAGACCGAAGGTCCTGGGTTCGAATCCCGTGTGGGATCATGGATGTGCGCTGTTGAGGAGTCCCACATTAGGACGAAATGATAGTCCAGTGCTTCCAGGTTTCCATAGTGGTCTAGCTTTAATCGACTCACGAATTCAATTAACAATTCTGAATAGACGAGCGATTATGGTGCCGTCGCTACATCATAAACTAATGTCATCATAGGAAAGCTAAAAGTATGATAAGATGAACATAAGAGCTAAAACACTTACCTGTTTTTTGACAATATTCCAAGAACATCGACTAAAATTGCAGTATCATTCATCATTAATGCAGACTCAACAGCTGTTTTCACACTATCTGGACTCCACATCACACGAACAGTTGACAAGCCTTTAACACGTGATGACATGACTTTCACGAAAGGATCGTGAGGTTTACGAATTCGCAATAACAATTCTGCTTCTGATGGTTCATGAAGGCTTCCAGATTTATCATGTGTCGGGTTTTTTATATTTTGAAGGACTGGATTCAATGCAAAGTCCATCATAGTCGGCAGTGATTGCTAAAAGTTTAACAAGACAGGCGAAGTCAGAATGGCCGTGAATAGTAATGGTACTAAATTCACGTATTTATACATTCACTGTCCTATCCTGCATAAAATAATGAATTAACGCTCGTACTTTCCACCTTTACACCAATGAGACACTATACTGTTTAGAACGAACAGTGAACGAGTGATATGTGTATACGGTTCACTCGCTCTATATTAGATACTCAGTCAGCACTATTCCACTCAGCATCACGACAACTCACACCAAAAGTGCGTGATTCGCCTGACTAATAGGTTTATTAGTTAACAATCAGACCAACAATCAAATAAGTACAAAGGGCAGAGAAATATATATATGTATATGTGACACCAAGTGCCTATCAGTCTATCCACTAGTATGTCTAGTGCTTCCAGGTTTTCCATGGTGGTCTAGCTTCAATTGACTCATGATCTCAACTGTTTAAAATTACTACAATCTCCACAAAACCCCTTCTGATACTAATCAACATATGCTCACTAGTGACTGGCTTCAAGATATATCTCCTGGAGTTCTAGTGAGAAGCAGTGACCAGTGGAGTTCAACCGGGTCAGTTGTGAGGTAGTAACTCACTGATGACAATGGTGGATGTGTCGCTTAACTTCGTGGATTAGTTGAAGTTAGACATTAACACCGTTGGATGCTGGCTCAGTGGCCTAGTTGGTTAAGCGCCTGGGGCGGGACTGATAGGTCCTCCGTTAGAATCCCGCGAGGCGGGGTCGTGGATGCGCACTGCCGAGGAGTCCCACAACAGAACGAAACGGCCGTCCAGTGCTTCCAGGTTTTCCATGGTGGTCTAGCTTCAATTGACTCATGATCTCAACTGTTTAAAATTACTACAATCTCCACAAAACCCTTTCTGATACAAATAACTATTTTCTCACGCCAAAACAACAAATAGGTACTTGTGAATTCCAAGCAAACAAAACACTGAACTAGTTATTTTCATAGCAGGTTTTTGATATGATAATAATGACTAAATGCTCGGCCCTCTAATATGAGGTTTAAAAGGAGGTACACTATAAATCATCATTTGTACAAACTAGGAAAAATATGATGGATTAAAGGTATAGGAACTATGACCTTGAATAAAATTTTGCGTCTCAGCCTATATGTCAAACAGTGATTACAAAATCCAGTATGTCTACGAGAAAAAGTTTAAAGTTCTCAAAGGACAAGTACCCAATCTTAAAGACTTAGCAAAACAACTGATGACCACCAAATCATTCAGTAACAACGCCATATTTATACATGGATATTATTTTCATATTTTAACAGGAGAAAACTTACAATGTAAGGATTGTTTTCAATATTTTGTGTCTTAGAGAATCACAACTTACAGGTAGAAAATCTTCCACTTCAATCGCTTCCGGTGGGTGTGGAGAATTTGAAATTATTCGGGCTTAAACAAAGATTGAAAACAAAAATTTTTATTTCACTCAGATACCCTAAATTTAGTCACTTGATTCAACTAAACTTTCTAATTCAGAAGTAAACTGGAACTATATCTTAAAACATAAGTTGGTAAGTTTTTGGTTGAGATCATGAATCAATTGATGTTAGACACCGTGGAAACTGGAAGCACTGGACGGCCGTTTCGTCCTAGTATGGGATCGTGGATGCGCACTGCTGAGGAGTCCCATACTAGGACGAAACGGCCGTCCAGTGCTTCCAGGTTTCCAACGGTGGTCTAACATCAATTGATTCATGATCTCAACCAAAAACTTAACAATCTCCACAACCCCATACTGACAATTAACATGTGCTCACTAGTGACTAGCTTCGTGAGGGAATTCTCGGAGTTCTAGTGAGAAGTCGTGACCAGTGGAGCTAATCCGTGTCGGGTAGAGACAGGTATCTGCCTCAGTACAATGGAAGTTGGTCGCGCAATTTCGTGACTTGGTTGATGTTAGACACTAACACCATTGGATGCCGGCTCAGTGGTCTAATGGTTAAGTGCTCAGGCGCGAAGCCAGTAGGTCCTGGGTTCGAATCCCGCGGGGTGCGGGATCGTGGATGCGCACTGCTGAGGAGTCCCATACTAGGACGAAACGGCCGTCCAGTGCTTCCAGGTTTCCAACGGTGGTCTAACATCAATTGATTCATGATCTCAACCAAAAACTTAACAATCTCCACAACCCCCATACTGATAAGTTGGTAAATTAACAAATCATACGAAGAAGTGATTATTGGATTTATCGTCAAAAGGTATATTAATTCAGTATTATGTTACACTGCGTAGAATCAGAGTTCACCAAACACATTATCTGTAAGTTGGAAATTGTAGGGTAGGTCTATCTGGGTGCAACTGACTGGTTTTATTTTCACAGGAAAAAAACTCTAAATATTTGATAAGACTGATCAATGGCATATTGAGAGGCGTGCAGGAGAAGTACTTGAGATATGAATAAACCTGATAGCAATAAGTACCAGGGATATAAGAACAGCATAATTTTTTTCTGGGAAGTCATTTAATTCTCGAAGGCAATAAAAAAGTTTTCCAACTCTAGTATGATTATTGACTACGCACTAATAATTACAAACCATCTCTCTTAACTGAAACTTTTTTTGTCAGGAAGATTTTATTAACAACTTATCGAATATAAGAAAAGAAGCTTGTCGGAGGATTAGAAAAAAAGTATTTTCTGCCTACCAAATAAATATTTGTGGAAAAACAGGATAAGAAATGTTGAAATAAATAAAACATACCAGCTTGTGAGATAGTAGTTTGATGAGGTCTTCTGGAAATGCAAGCTGAAGTGGTACTCGGAGGTGTAAATGGTTTATCCGACGTGAATCTGTCTGATAAGATATTTGACTGGACGCATTTTGCTTCATGGGGTGTGGGATTCACAATGTTTGGTGATGAAGGAGGGAGACCGAAATTTAGCTTTGTGATTGCGTCAGTTCGATATTCACTTGAAACGTTTCTTCTAGAAGTCATAGCTCTTACTTGAGAAGGACTTCGTGGAACTGTGTGGTGTGGTTTAAATATCCTATCATATTCATCTGGATCAGTTATATCAGCTGCATTGAGCGATTCACTATCCTCAGTTGTAGGTTGATAAGGTAAATGTGCATCAGGATCGTTAGGATCCTCCTGAAAAATAAAATATACGGTTGAAGAGGAAATCTGCGTGTTAATATAGGTTAAAGAAAAAATCGAAAACAGTTAGTGAAACAATTCACCTTGTCTAAAAGCGGACAAACAACTAACAGAACAATCAAATTATTTTTGTTCAAGATTACATATACTTTACGTAGGGGTAAATGCACAACTATGCCATCCATTAGGGATAATGTGTGTAATTATCCCACTTCTAGGTTGAAATTCAATATTACTGCTAGTTAATAGTGTCACATTCAATTAACAATTAGACGGACGAATGATTGAGATATATGTGCTTAGCAGGGAGAAAAATCCTCAACATGCAGAATGAATTCGTTGCAAAAGTTGTTAGGGAGATCCAGAAAACCTCTCAAAAATGCCAACAAAGGCTCTGAAAACACTGAGAAGCATTTGGTTCGATCAGCGCTCACTAGAAATTTTGCCAGAAATATCTAGAAAGTGAAAAGTCACATGTCAACTTTCTGATTGGATGTTTAGTAGCGTTCCAGAATTTCCCTGAAACCCAAGACCATCTAAAATACTATAAAAACCCTGGATTTTCTGCACACAAACGAACCTTTGAAGTAAAGTGTTTCTTCCATATTTCGCACTTTTTCTCTCATATTCAAGTTGCTGTGTAGATCTAGCCTGGGATTACTAGAGAGCCTAGGAACCGAAGCTAGCGTTCAATTAGAACACTTATCAGTGACGAGGGGAAAATTACAATGAATATTTCTTTGGAGCAACTGGAAGCACATATGGAGCGTCAAGAGAAGCAGTTTGAACAGTCTCAAAACAGAATAATAGAGGCCCTCATGCAGAAAATATGTCTATCCTAGCAAAACCCTGCTTCTAATGAATTACAGGTATCCCATACTGATTAAGTCATTAATGCAATTCATGAATTTAATTTTGATGGTGTAAGAGGTGTTACTTTTGACTCTTGGTTTAAGAAATATGAAGATCTGTTCCGTATTGATCTCTGCAGACTGGATGACGTCTCGAAAGTCAGAATACTTATAAGAAAACTTGGGACGATGGAACATGAACGGTATAGTGATTTTATTCTTCCAAAGAACCCACGAGATTTTAGTTTTGATAAAACAATTAAAACCCTGTCTCAAATCTTTGGAGAACAGCCATCTCTATTTAATATCCATTACCAATGCTTGAAAATAACGAAAGAACCAGGAGATGACTGGGTGAAACATGCAGGAATTGTTAACCAAGAATGTGAGGGGTTCAAGTTGTCTTCCATGAGAGAAGACCAGTTTAAATGCCTAGTATTTGTCTGTAGCCTGCGCTCAGCCGACGATGCTGACATCCGAACAAGAGTTTTAATCAGGCTCGAACATTGCCCCAACATGACCCTAGAAGAAGTAACTAGCGAATGCCGAAAGTTAGTGGATTTGAAGCACGATACCTCGATGGTAGAAAACAGTACCCGGTTCCTTTACGTCAATGCAGTAGAGAGAAAAGTCTTACAAGGTTCTAGCACACAAAATTATCGTAATGACAGCAACAAACCATCATCCCCATGCTGGTTATGTGGCGGTTGGTATTTAGAAAGGTTTTGCCCGTTTAAAAATCATCGTTGTACTACGTGTTCCATAAAAGGACACAAAGAAAGCCATTGCAAAACCCGGAAACATCGTCAACCGAAAGTGTATTCTAAAAGATTCAAGCCGCGAACAGCGAAAGTAACGGTAACTCTTAACAGAACCAGCTCCCACAACCGCAGAAAGTATGTTTCTCTCAAGATTAATGGGTATTATGGATACTATGTTACTAGATGTTACAGGTGCTGCAGCCTATCTGGATGATATAATAATTATGAGAGTAGATATGATAGGGGGGACAAAATCCGACTCACACGTCCGCGTCATGCCTCCTGGATAGTGGGACGAATGACTCATGAACTAACGTGAGCGGTAACCCGGGTGGTGGAGATCGGGCTAACCACTCACTCTTACCGATATCCTCAATCTGATTACGAAATCCACGGAGAAACACAGCACAATTACATTTGGATTGGAAAACGAAAAAAAGTTTACAAAAGTGATGCATGTTGCTCGTTCAACAGCAAAATCCAACGGATTGCAAAAACAGCTATTCTAGCCCCGGTAGTTGTTCCGTGCTTTGACGTGGCCTGTTTCTCTCCAGAAGAGCCTACTAGGCTTCATCAACTTGTTTGGTTGGGAGGGGGGATATGATAGATTTAGGAAAGCTCGACCAAGTGCTGTCGCGTATAGCCGAATAATAACTTCGGCTCCGTGCAGAGAAATGAAACTTTTGTATGCAAAGGTACGCTACTTAGGGTTTATAATCGACAAAGATGGCAGAAGACCAGATCCAGAGAATGCCCAGGTAGTAGAAACTATGCCTAGACCGACGGATGTCCTCACACTACGATCCCTTTTGGGACTAGTCGGTCATTATGGAGCTTTTATTCCTAACCTTCATCACCTACGTGCCCCGTTAAATAACCTTCTGGCGAAAAGTGTAAAATGGGATTGGCCCGCAAATTGTCAAGCTGCTTTTGAGGAAATCCAAAAAAATATTAGTCTTCGATCTGTTTCTCACTCATTAAGATCCATCCTTACCCATTGTAGTAGCATCAGGCGCTTCAAACTACGACATTGGAGCAATTACTTCTCACACCATGCCAGATTGATCTGATAAAGTTATATCAAATGCGGTTAGATCGTTAACTGCAGCGGAACGTGACTACAGTCAGGTCGAGAAGGAAGGGTTGTCGATCATCTTCGCCGTAAAGAAGTTTCATGAGATGATATTTGGACGCCAGTTCACTCTATTAACTGACCATAAATCATTGCTAGCCATTTTTAGGTCGAAGAAAGGAATTCCGGTATACACAGTAAACAGACTGAAACGGTGGGGAACTACACTCTTGGGTTGTGACTTCAAGATTAAGTACCAGCCCACTTTGGAGTTAAATGGAAGATTTATATTTATAGCGTAGTCATACGTTCATCCGAATTGGAGTAAGATACGCTGGCCACACAAAAAGAACATATGATCTGCAGCTAAGTTAGCTAAGAAACATAAACCTCTGTCCAACAGAAAATGATATGTATATTCCATGTAATGAGAAAATATGATAGTTGAGCTTTAGAGTATAAATTGTACAATAAAAAATCTAGTGTATAAAATCCCGAAAAGTGATAAAAGAAAGTTAGGAACTCACACTCATAACATTTTGAAGATTTTCTTCAGCGACAAGGCAGAAACTTTTACGTCCTATAGAACTTAGAGCTTTTGAGGAAGATGAACCACAACGAGTAAATGGACGTTCATTACTCTGTTGGACAGAAAAGGCATTAAGCACAATTTTATGGACATTGTAACGAGTGTACAAATACTCTTCTGAATTAAATACAAAAATAAACTAAATCCCATAATGAACTTGCCCATATATTTATAACAATTAAACATCTTACTAGTATTACATTTGTGACTAGCTTCTTTGGCTGACTGGTCAACTGGATAAGGAATCTAAAAGAGATTATTTTGCGACATAAATTCGGATAAAATTGTGATAATTATCCTAGCTTTGTCAGCGCAATTTCCATAACATAAATTGTTAGAATGGCATACAACAATAATTTGAAATAGTCGTATTTGTTCAAAGGTAAAGGGCTCTCATGCAACTACTTCCCTTGAAAAAATCGAATAGTAGAAGAACGACGTGGATTACTTACTTACTTACTTACTTACGCCTGTTACTCCTCGTGAAGGAGCATAGGCCACTCACCAGCATTCTCCATCCAACCCTGTCCTGGGCAATCCTTTCCAGCTCCGTCCAGTTGTAATTCATCCTTTTCATATCTGCTTCTATTATCCGACGCAATGTGTTCTTTGGCCTTCCTCTTTTTCGCTTCCCTTCAGGATTCCAAGTTAGGGCTTGCCTCGTGATGCAGTTTGACGATTTGCGTAATGTATGTCCTATCCATTTCCATCGTCTTTTCCTAATTTCTTCTTCAGCTGGAAGTTGGTTTGTTCTCTCCCACAGAAGGCTATTGCTGATGGTATCCGGCCAATGGATGTTGAGTATCTTGCGTAGGCAGCTATTTATAAATACTTGTACTTTCTTGATTGTGGTTGTTGTAGTTCTCCAAGTTTCAGCTCCATACAGTAGAACTGCCTTGACGTTCGTATTGAAGATTCTCACTTTGATATTGGTTGAAAGTTGTTTTGAGTTCCATATGTTCTTCAATTGTAGGAATGCGACCCTTGCTTTGCCGATCCTCGCCTTTACGTCTGCATCTGAACCTCCTTGTTCATCGATGATGCTTCCCAGGTATGTGAAGGACTCTACATCTTCCAGAGTTTCGCCATCAAGAGTGATTGGATTGCTGTTCTCCGCCTTGAATTTGAGGACCTTGGTTTTCCCTTTGTGTATGCTGAGGCCTACTGATGCAGAGACTGCTGCTACACTGGCTGTCTTCATCTGCATCTGTTCGTGTGTACGTGATAGGAGGGCTAGGTCGTCTGCGAAGTCCAAATCGTCTAATTGATTCTGAGCTGTCCATTGTATTCCGTGTTTTCCTTCAGATGTCGAGGTCTTCATAATCCAGTCGACCACCAGAAGAAAGAGGAAGGGAGAGAGTAAACAGCCTTGTCTGACTCCAGTCCTTACTTGGAATGCATCTGTCAGCTGTCCTCCATGCACTACTTTGCACTGTAGTCCGTCGTATGAGTTCCGGATAATGTTGACAATCTTCTCAGGAACTCCGTAGTGTCGAAGAAGTTTCCATAATGTCCTCCTATCTACACTGTCGAATGCCTTTTCATAATCAATGAAGTTGATGTATAGTGATGAGTTCCACTCAACTGATTGTTCGACGATGATCCGTAGTGTTGCAATTTGGTCTGTGCACGACCGATCCTTACGGAATCCAGCTTGTTGATCTCGAAGTTGGGCGTCTACTGCATCCTTCATCCGGTTCAGCAACACTCTGTTGAAGACTTTCCCTGGTATTGACAGTAGTGTAATGCCTCTGTAGTTTTCACATTTGCTCAGATCTCCTTTCTTTGGAATCTTGACGAGGTGTCCTTCTTTCCAGTCCATTGGCACTTGTTCCTCCTCCCAAATCTTTTTGAATAGAAGGTATAGCATGCTTGTGGTTGCTTCGATGTCTGATTTCAGTGCTTCAGCTGGTATGTTGTCGGGTCCTGCTGCTTTCCCGTTCTTGATTTGTCTGACGGCCATTCTAATTTCTTCCGTCGTTGGTGGGTTGACATCTATAGGAAGATCTATGTGTGCTGCTTCGATGTCCGGTGGATTCATTGGAGCCGGCCTATTCAGGAGTTCCTCGAAGTATTCCACCCATCTGTTACGCTGTTGTTGAATTTCGGTGATTGGCTTGCCTTCTTTGTCTTTGACCGGCCTCTCTGGTTTACTGTATTTCCCTGCTAGTTTCTTCGTTGTATCGTGAAGCTGTTTCATATTTCCTTCTCTAGCAGCTTTTTCTGCCGTCGTTGCTAGTTCTTCCACGTATTTCTTCTTGTCGGCTCTAATGCTCCTCTTCACTTGTTTGTTTGCTTCTATGTATTCAGCTTGTGCTTGGACTTTCTCTGCTCGTGTTCGGCTGTTGTTAATTGCTGCCTTCTTGTTCTTCCTTTCTTTGATCTTGTCCAGTGTTTCTATAGAGATCCATTCCTTATGATGGTGTTTCTTTAGGCCCAGAACCTCTTGACACGTTGAAGTTAATGCTTCCTTGATGCCTTTCCAGTTGTCCTCCATAGTAGTTTCTTCTTCATTCAGTAGATCTTGTAAGGCTTGGAACCTGTTGTTGAGAGCTATCTTGAATTCATTGAGTTTGTCAGTATCTCGAAGGAAGGCTGTATTGAACCTTTGTAGTGCTGTTTGTCCACTTGTCCAGTTCTTTTTCAGCTTCAGTTTTAAATTGGCTACAACTAGGTGGTGATCTGAAGCTACGTCAGCACCTCTCCTGGTTCTCACATCTTCCATTGTCCTTCGGAATTTTTTGTTGATGCAAATATGATCTATTTGGTTCTCTGTAGTGTGGTCCGGTGAGATCCATGTAGCCTTGTGTATACGCTTGTGTGGAAATATTGTGCCTCCTATGACCAATTTGTTGAATGCACACAAATTTGCAAATCTTTCTCCATTTTCGTTTCTTTCTCCCAGTCCATGTCGTCCCATAATATCTTCATATCCAGTGTTGTCTATTCCGACTTTGGCATTTAGATCTCCCATCAGAATAGTTAGGTCCTTTCTTCGGCATTTCTCAATGATTGACTGCAGCCGCTCGTAGAACTGATCTTTAATGTCGTCGTTGCTATCATTGGTGGGTGCATAACATTGGATAATATTCATTAAGATCCCCTCCTTCTTTGTTTTGAATGATGCTTTGATGATTCTGGATCCGTGAGACTCCCATCCTACAAGTGCATTTCGTGCTACTTTGGACAGCATAAGAGCGACTCCCTGAGTGTGTGGAGCATTGTCCTCTTCGTGACCGGAGTATAGCAGCATCTCTCCCGTAGCTAGCCTTTTCTGTCCAGCTTGGGTCCAGTGGGTTTCGCTGATTCCCAGTACTGCTAAGTTGTATCTCCTCATTTCCATTGCTATTTGACTGGTCTTCCCGGTTTCCCACATTGTTCGAACGTTCCATGTACCTATAAAAATTTTTGCTCTGGTTGTTAGAAGGGGCATCGGCCTCGTGGCTTCCGAAGGAACTCGGCTTTCACCATGAAGCGTCATAATTCTTCTAACTGAAGACCTTCTAACTCCCAGGGCAGAGTTTAAATGGTTTGGATTATTTTTTCTGGTAAGCGTTTTTTTAGCGAGTTAGTTTTCTACGGGATGGGGACGCTAACCCCATGCCCAACCCTCCTCCTTTACCCGGGCTTGGGACCGGCAGTAACCCTATTAGAGCTACAGGCGGAGTTGACGTGGATTACAGAAGAAAATATATTCACTCTATCTTATGCCTTTATATCAGCTGCATACCCCTTCTCATGATTTTTGGTCCCGTTCTGGACATTCACTGGAACTTTACTGACTATAGCAAGTTAAATCTCGGTTTATAATTATATTACTCCATGTAATTTCAGGCTGTATGCAGCTGGTATGAAGGCATGAAATGGAGTGAATTTATTTTATTCTGCGATCCACGTTATTCTTCTACTGTTCAAATAAAGGTATCTGATATAAAAGTACAACCACTATATTTTACTTCGCATTACTTAAGTGACCGACTCAATGTGATGAAATTCTAACGCTTAGTTTAGGTGAACGTCAAACGACCAAAATATGCGCCATTATACATGTACAAAGCCCTAGAAATCCCACTACGATTTACAGTTCCTTCATCTTTATTGACATTAGTTGTTAACTTCATGACGCGCACGGGAAACCGTTGATTGGTTAGTGATCCCAGATAGACAGGTTAGTTCCTGTGCATATTTTGAAAAGTACATGGTTTAAAATGGGTCAAATGGAGACTGTTTCCCACATCATATAATGCCGAAAGTCCAGTTCTTTTAGGTGAGGCCCAAACAAGATAAATAGTGAGAGAATTGGATAATCTAAGAGAAATAACGCACATATATTTAGCCTTGATCTTAATCTTGAACATTTCATTAGTACTAATATACTATGACTTTCATATATATACCTTTCTTGTTTATTTCTTATTTGTATTTTGTTTTGATTTTTGTCAACTGATTATTGCTGTCGTGGAGTATGGTGAGTCCAACCGATGCTCTTTCGAGTATAGCTTTATGTTGTTACCTATCACCAAAAATCTCCAATCGATTGATTTGCTTTTTCATCATAAACATATTTGTGAAATTGAATAAACCTATTCTACGTACTGACAACGGTGTGTTGTTTATGGATTATTTCAAAATGGCAACATAAATACATAAGTGTTACAAATATTTTTTTTAAAAGAAGTAGATTTTGATCACCAAGATATGTTAACTAGTCTAAGTACAATTGTAGGATATATGATAAATCAGAGTGAAGTTAATACCGAAATCAATGAAATAGCAAAACTACACAAGGACTACAACTACAATTACAAACATATGAGACTACCCAACATATAAATATACATATATATGTCAAGAAAAGTTTATCGTTCAATGAATTGGACTACTATGTGAAAAAACAAACGAGCAAAAACGGTAATTCGATAACTGTTTATGTATAGATGGTGTGAGAATTGTGGCACTACTAGGTTATTTAAACTTTGGTAAATTAAGCAACTTTACAAACCTATAACCCACTGGTTGAAAGTTCAGTATCTAAATCAATAAGCTTCAAATTTGTCAAGCACAATCTAATGAATAGGATGTGTACGTAAGTTTGATTAGAAACGATCAAGTCTTTCGCTAGATAATAAATATAACAAATTCAGTAAAATTGGATTTTAAAATGGATTTACTGGATATTTGAAAAACTAACGACTTGGATTGAAGCTGACTGATACCTTATCGCTGAACAGCTATAGCCTCATTAAAGTGAATACTGCATCAATACATCCCCAGTGTTCTTCCAGTTTAAGAGATAAATTCGATTAGTGGTTGAAATTTTACGCGCTAAGACTACGTATTACTCCTGAATGTAATGGTAATAATTTTTTTTTCATATCAACAGTTTTTCGAAATAATGAAATTTGGGAAAACGTGGATAGAGAGAATACAAAAGAGCTTGAGAAGGGAAAGATAAGCATTTTGTTATACAGTCATCGACAGATGCAAAACAGAATGTTTTTAAATTTTTAACTTGGGTTTTCACTAACAATCTATATCTCCTGCTATATAGCAATTGAAAATTCTCAATAACTATGGAACTATTGTTTAATTGTACAATAATCCGTATTTGAGATTCCTGTTGAGATTGAATCAAGAACTCTTAATCTTCACTACTAATAACTTCACCCAATGATGTAAAAAACATAAGCTTGAAAAAAATCTAGTCGAGAGTAGGTGAGAAACGTACAAACGACACGTGACATATTTTTCGCAATAATGAGTAGGGTGATCACAACCCTTGAGATTACGATCAGTTGATTCTTTCAATATACAGAGCTTAAAGAAGCTGAGTAGAACTACTAGATTTCATGAAGCGACGCTTATAGTTCATCAGATAAATTTGTAGATGAATATTAGATATATGAACTATCTTACTTTTTAATGAAATAGAAGCATAGTAGAACGTCAAATAACTTACTTGCATATAATTGGCAAGATTACTATTACCACATATCTGTTGTACAGGATGGATAGTAGGAATACTATTACTATTGTCATTATCCCTGTAATTGGTTGATGTATTCATACTGGTGGTATTCAACTGAGTTGATTGTACACAAACGTTTTTATTTGACTCGGCAATATTATCTGAATAATTTGCAGTGAATGGTATACAAGACTTCACATCCACAACATAAGTAGTAATTAGCGAATTTGAGATACATACACCAACAAGTTGATTGAAACTTGGAGCAACAGCCATATCGTCCAAACCGCCACCAGCACGCCAACCAACGTGTACAGTTTCTAGGCAAGACATATTCTCGTAATCATATATCTATGATAAATAAACAGTTATTCATTATGATATAAGAACAGAAAGAGATTATACTAACTTATAAAACAGTAGTGTGGAAAATTAACATGTAACAACTACTAAATATATACACACAGTTAGATGTCAACTCAGTGGTCTAGAGATTAGGTATTCGTGCGCGAGACCGAAGGTCCTGGTTTAGAGTCCCGAGTGTGTTATTGTGAATATGCACTCCTAAGGAGTCCCAAAATAGGACGAAACGGCCGTCCATTGCTTCTAGGCTTTAAATAGTGGCCTAATTTAGACTGGTTTATAAACTCGATGAAATCCAAGTCTCCACAACCCTATGCTGAAAATATAAACATATGTCTTACTTCTCTGTATCGAAGTGTACATGAGTGGTTGCAATAAATTTGACTTTTTCTCAACACCTTCCATAAAGAAATGCATGTGAAATGTTTTGGCAACTTTTTTGTACACTAGTACAATGAATATGAATAGCCAGATAACTGATTATACAAGGACAGGTCAGATAATACAATGTTATAAGACGAAAAGATAGGATTGGGACAATTCAGAGCTTGGGAATAATCATTTCTTTATAATTAAAGAATAATCTGTAAAACATACACAAGCTACTTTGAGTACTGGAAAGAACCCTAAGTTTAACTACGACAAATAATTCAAGAAGAATATATAAGAAAAAATTTATTTCAATTATTTTATCTGTATTGTTGATGGTAGCTATCTTCTGGTTAAGTCTGAATTTTCAGACAGCACAGTGCATTCGGTGAACATGAATGGCGAACGATAACCAAAGTGATTTCAAAGCAAGAAAATTTAATTCATTATTGTTATAATCTCTTCCTTACGGTTATGACCCAGCTATTCCTATTGCTTATTATTCTTGGACACCAAATCACTCGACAAGACCCTAAATCAGAATACGGTTGAACAGGAAAGAGATTATATTCCAAATAACAAGGTTAGATGGATGCAAGATGCAAGTAAGAAGCAAGTCAGTAGTACAATAGAGAAAACGTTAGTATATTTATAGTCTTTACATGAGAATATTCTAGAGTATTCTCCAACCATCAACTAGTGCTGATCGGATAAGAATTAGCCAATCAGCGTGCACCAAAGCAATCGTCCATTGAGCATGCTTTAATCCAGTCTATGTCCCACTAACAATTATACACAAATTTACGAAAAGAACTATATCGGTTCACTGTGGTACACTATTTGATTTACAGTATGTCCAACTCAATGAGAATCGACAAGCACCGTAAACTAAAACATGACATTGGTCAATTCATAGCAATAAATACATGTAAGCACTCATTATTAAAAGTGACTAATCATTATCCTAAAATTTTGGCAGTGACTTATTCAAATATTGTGTTAAGAGACACCATTTCAAATACAAAGTTTCAATTTTATGTGTTGAAAATACAACTCTGTTACGGGACTTAACAAGCTCGAAGAGTTAATGTTGACTAGCCTATATAACTAACGGTATACAGGCTTATATATATATATATATATATATATATATATATATATATATATATATATATATGCATGCCTAGGCACAAACTCACTCTGAGATAATCATTTGTAGCTACATACAAACACACACCATCCGGATGAAATGCAATACGCCTCACATTAGTGGCGTTTAATTCTGGTCCAGTGACGGCAACTTGTGTGAAATTTTCCAAGTCATACAAACGGACAGTATGATCAGCTGAGGCAGTTGCAAGCAGAAGAACTGTAGGATGAAATGTAACTGCAACAACAGGTCCAGTATGGCCGACTAATTCAGCCAACTGTCGACCAGCTGATAAATCCCAAAGCTATTGGTTGAAATAAAAATTAGGACAAAGTGGGGATTTTTTATATTTGAAGTAAGAACCAACGAAATTTCGAAACAGCAATAAGAAATAGTACAGTGATAAACAGACATAATTCACCACTTCATCGTTATAACGCCAATTTCAGCAAATTCTTGTAAAAAAAAGAATTACACTAGCGTTAAAACGACACGTTTCGTATATATATACGGTGTTGAAAGAACAAATTTAATGTAGTAGTAAGGGTTACAGTCGCATCGTCAACATACGGATTACTAGATCCAGTAGTACAAGAAGCATTTAGTATAACAATCTAAGATGTAATTACTTATGAGTACAACTTTTCAATAGTGCAACTTATCTTTAGTACGCAAAAGCAAGCTTCATTTCAATTGTATAGGAGATATGTGGATGATACTTTCATTATTTGTGAAGATATGGATTCCAGTGAAATTTTGGATTGATTCAATAATTGTCATCACTCAATTCAATTCACATTGGAAACAAAGTAGAACGAGGAATCGCATTTTCTTGATGTCTGGTTGAAAATAAGGTCAGATGGTTCCTTACAGAGATTTATATATAAAAAAACCGACCTGGAATGGTCAGTATACGAATTTCCATACCTGAGTCACATTGAATAGAAAGAGAGAAGATTCACTCTTTATCCCCTAGGACAAGGCGGATATGTTCTAGTAACACGCTAGATTAAGAACTACCTTCGACAGATATTCATCAGAAATAGTTACCCACCTAGATTTGTTTATAGGAACTTAACAACAAGACAGAATCCTGAAAATGCAACAACGGTCCAAATGAAAACTCTTTTTGTGAATATCGGACTTAAAAGAGATACGGCTGCTGAAATCATGAATAAATCGATTTTAAAATCACCAAACTGCATCACGAGGCAAACGCTAACTTGGAATCCTGATGGGAAAAAGGAAAAGAGGAAGGCCGAAGAACATACTACGTCGAGAATTGAAATCAGACATGAAAAGGATGAATAGCAACATATAATCTTACTGGATAACTATTAATTAACTATATTATATGTATATTTCTATTCCTGCTATCATAAGCTTTTATTTGACCTATTAACTAATATTATACGACTTACTACTCTCAAGTTTGTATATAAACCAAGTATGTCTGAAATATATGATTCGTATAGTGGAGGCTGATATTGGCGGTCTGCCCCAAACTGACTGGGTTAGGTGAGAAGCTATTATCTCGGAGGACCAATAAGAACTCTAGACTGCTCGTACAGGTTTATGCGTCATTGGTCTGGTTGTATAAGTCGGTGTCTAATTGGCGATCTCACTGCCTCCTCGCGGCATTATTGTTGTTTACGAAATTGAGAGGACGAAAAGCGAATGTCCGGCACTTTAACTGGGTTGGTGGACATGGAGGGTTCACCTAGGGGAGTTGGAAAACCCTGACTCTAGACCAATGGTGCACATTGGCTCCAGTATCCTGAGGGAACAAATGGCATATAAACCAACAATTATTCACCGGCTACCATGGGACTGCATCTCCTCATGATGCTCCACTCCTTTGTGGGTCAGACCTTTAGGTCGAAGTCTCCGGGTGTGGCCCACTAAGAAAACTACCTGCTTTAGTCTGGGCACCCGGGCAGTATCACAGCCCACACACAAATCAAGTAACTTGTGTGGCGCATATGTCTTCGGCGCCCATTTGTACCAATATGTATGTGTTCAAATAAATAAATAAATAAATAATGACGTGATAAATTAGTAGGGTCATAAGTCATAACAGAATTAGAACTCATGTTTGAGTAGTTATATTTTTAGCTTATAATTATGCAGTTGTTGCTGCCGTTCTACTTACTTACTTACTTACGCCTGTTACTCCTCGTGAAGGAGCATAGGCCACTCACCAGCATTCTCCATCCAACTCGCTAAAAAACGCTGCCGTTCTAAGAAAGCAGAAATCCAGATATACTATGCTTATAATGCTTGTGACTTAAGGCAATATCGAGGCAATCCGTACAGGATGCACACATGCCAATAAGAGACTGATTAATTGCAGTCCGAAACGTCTGTGGGAAGATTCAAACAAACAATACAAAAGTGAATTAAACCTCACCCTATTGCACAAGCTAGTGGCTATCTAGACTCGATAAGTAAGTGGATAACTCGACAGCGTTTGAAGCGGACGGTACTGGGTTCGAGTCCCGGAGTGAACATGAACTCTGAGATCCAGGTACATCCAGCTTACGAATCCTGAACTGGAAGAAAAGCACGTCCTGGATTCCACTGCTGGTCACCACTTATATCTGCTTATTTTTAGTCTCATTTTGTGAAACCAAAATAACTTGGTAGAGCTACGTTTTTAATACTGGTTTGTCAAACGATAGCTTCAAAAATAAATAAACTTGATCGATTATCTCTATATTAAAAGGTTTTATCACAGGCAGATGTTCTGAAAATATATTTTGTTTCATAAATTATTAAGATCTAGAGCTTTCAAATATAGAGTGATGTTCCCATCTTACATCTGATAGTAATCTGAAAGATTTCTGTGTTTGTCATCGTTTATTTCACACAAACAACTAATGTAAAGTTCCAAATGACTCTTTGGTGTATTCATCTGCACCCAATTTCTGTATTGAGGCTGACAATGCACTTTTAAGAAACAATAATATACTTAATCGACGACTTGTATTAAAAATTCTGACTCTATGAATAGGTACAGATATGCCTCAAAATTTCAACAAAAAAAACAAGGGGTTATAAAGTTTGAATTAAATGGTTGAAACAGTTAATACATTCGAACATTTGTGGTAAATCAAGTCATCAATCAATTCAAAGTGGAAGATGGAGTTATTTACAAAAGTATACAAGTTTCATATTATTTTAACAAACATTTCAGTAACAGCTTACTTTAATTATTCCATCCTCACCAGCAGAAACAATCCATTTCCCATCAGGAGAAAAGCGAATCATGTTAACAGAACCAGTATGACCCCGGTAAGTGTTTATGCAGCCTTTACGAGATACATCCCACAGCTAAGTGATGAGAAAATTAGAGTAACCAGTTAATACAAAACAGTAAGTTTTGTTTACGAAATATTTAAATACTTGGAGTTATAAAATTATTGGTGACAATTACAGATTTGAAACGAACAATGAGGTTGAAAACTATGAAATACCCTGTCTGTCAGTCAGTCAGTCAGCTACAACGTAGGACCAGGCACATATGTGCATCGGTCCAGGTTGCCATACCGCATCAGCACAACAAGATGAACACCGGATTCATAGCAGTGGTTAGGTCAAAGGTGGTAATAAATAAGAGGAAGATTGCATATAGAGATAGTACAAGAAGAAAGAATTGGTTCGTAGAAAGAAAGATATGAAGTGATTTTAATCTCTTAGTTTAAGGGAAGACAGAGAGTGTATACACCGACGCCATTGTGATCGATTCTGAGCCATGTCACCAAGAGTCTCCAACCATTGGTTACGAAAGTCACGCGGACCCCAACCAAGTAGTCTGCATCTACCAACATGGCTCAGACTAGAAGTTAGTGACTTCAAGCACTGATGCCACGTTTTGGTTTGGCCGCCCCTAACTTTCTTCCAACCATCTCCAATACCGGATAGCATTGCACGTCGTGGTAATCGGTGTTCAGGCATACGTAATACGTGGCCCAACCATCTCAGTCGATGAAGATTCATAACCTCATCAACTGATTTACCATCATTCCCTAATACCCTGCGTCTAACCTCACTATTACTTACCCGGTGATCCCAGCAGACGCCAGCAATATTTCTAAGGCATCTGTGGTCAAATACTAGTAGCTTACGAGTGTCTTCTACTCTTAATGGCCATGTTTCGCTGCCGTAAATTAAAACAGAACGGACTGCCGCGCAGTATACTCGTCCTTTTATTGATAGACGGATATCTCGCCTTCGCCAAAGGTGACGTAAGTTGGCAAAAGCCAAACGAGCTTTTCGAATCCGTGCTGAGATTTCGTCAGACACCAACCCATTAGGGCTGATCAGACTTCCAAGATAAGTGAAGTTGTCAACGCGTTCGACTACTTCACTCCCTATCCTTAGTTCAGGTGTTGACGCAGACCAGTCCTGAAGCAACAACTTGCATTTAGAGGGAGAGAAGCGCATTCCAAACATTCTGGCATTGTTGCTTAGTGCTACCAGAAGACTCTGCATTTTGTCAGCGTCTTCACCAAACAGGACTATGTCATCTGCGTATTCTAAGTCGATAAGTGGACCTCCTGGAAGGAGATCAATACCCGAGAATTCAGTCGACGAGAGAGTTATTTCCATCAATAGGTCTATGATGAAGTTAAACAAAAATGGAGAAAGTGGACAGCCTTGACGGACACCACTTGAGGTTGCAAAAGTAGATGACAGTTCGCCATAAGCTCTGACTCGACTAGTAGTGTTCGAGTAAAGAGCCTTCACAAGGTTTATGTACTTCTGAGGTACGCCTTTCAATGACAGACACTGCCACAGAGTCTCGCGGTCTACAGAGTCAAATGCTGCTTTTAAGTCAAGAAAGACCACCATTGTCGGACGCCGATAAGTATGCCTGTGTTCTAGAACCTGACGAATGGTGAATATGTGGTCGATGCAGCCACGACCAGGTCTAAAGCCAGCTTGGTTCTCTCGTGTTTGCAGTTCACGAGTCTTAGTTAGGCGTCTGATAATTATCGAGGCTAGTATTTTAGATATTATATTAGTTAAACTAATCCCTCTGTGGTTGTCACAGGATGATTTTGACCCTTTCTTATATATTGGGACGATAAGTGATTGCGACCAGTCAGATGGGATAACGTCTAACTCCCAGATCTTAGCTAAAATATTAGTCAACCTAATCGCTAAAATTGGACCACCATCCTTAAAGACCTCTGGAGCCAATCCATCTGGACCAGCTGCCCTTCCTCGTTTCAGATTAACTATAGCCTTTTGAACTTCAGCAAGAGTTGGGGGACCTACTTCAATGTTCCATTCACTTGTCTGGGAATGGAGGGTAGTTGTAGAGTAGCTGAAGGCCAGCTGAACTGTTCTCTAAAATGTTCCGCCCATCGTTCTAAACGTCTGGACTGGGAGCAGATGAGGGTATCGTCTTTTTCCGAAATAATCTCACTTACACTTGACTTATTAATTCCAGTTTCTTTTATTAGTCTGTAAAGCTGTCTTGTGTTCCCTATAGTCGCCGCCTTTTCCATCTCTTTTGCTTTCGTTGCCCACCACTGCTCACGGTCGTTCCTTAGACTTTTTCTTAACCTAGATCTGATTTGTTGTCGCTCTTCATCATGTTCGGAACCTGATGGGACGAGTTTGCGAGAATCCATCAGTGTGATAGACCTTGAAGAAATCCACTGGTTCTTGTAACTCTGTGGTTTAAGTCACTAATAGATGTCACTGCTGTTTCCACAGCTGCTTGTATCCTTCCAAGCAACATCTGGGTCAGCCTCGTCTTCACAACTACCTAAGTGTGACCTCAGTTGTTCCTGGAACCTACTTTTGGTTTTCTCGTTACTCAACTCAGTTCTAATGGGTCTTTTTAATGTGGCTTTTTTGCGTCCAGTGAGGCGCAAGCAGATGCGTGCCCGTATTAGGGCATGGTCGGAGTCCAAGCAGGTACTCCAGAATGAGCGACAATCTTCTACCGACCCTCTCCAACGATGACTGATGGCAATATGGTCTATTTGAGTCCATCGTTGGTTTGGTGTAGGGGGTCGCCATGTTAGACGATGTCTCTCCTTATGCTTAAAATTTGTGTTTGCTAAAAATAAACGATTGTCTGAGCATAGCTGCAGCAGACGATCACCATTATCTGTTCGCTGTGTCGGAATACTAAAATATCCACCTAAATGCCTTTCTGTTTGGTTTAAACTACCTATCTGAGCATTAAAATCACCTGCTACGAGTACTATGTCTGAGCGTTTAGCTTTCTGAAGAAGTTCAGGAAGCTTTCTGTAAAATTCATCTTTCACTTCATCTGAGCTGCAGTCAGTGGGAGCGTAGGCAGAAACGACAAAAAGGCAACGACGTGTGTCCCTATCCTTCCGAGTTCTTACGGAGCCGTTCAGCCGAACAGCACATAGACGACTGTTGACGGGGATCCACTCTAGCAGTGCTTGTTCGGCCCTCATGCTTAGTGCTATGCCTACACCTGCCAGTCCACGAGAACTTGCCATCGGGTCACCAGACACACGAAGGGTGTATCTCGTTGGCTCTCCGTCTTGCCGAGGTGAGGTCAAGTGAATGACCACACTGGAATCCTGTATGCGTGTTTCGGAGACACAGCATACATCAATGGAAAGAGACTCTAGGGTTTTAGCCAAGGAAGCCTGCTGACCGATTTGACATAGGGTGCGTACGTTGAAGGCTCCAATGTGTAGTTTGGAGCGAGGTTTCAGTAGACCTGGGACAGTGTTTTGCGCACTAGAATCGTTGGCTATGGTGACACTTGAGGTGGAAGCCGAGAGAGGAAATATAGAGTTGAAAGTCGATGTAGGAGGAATAATAGGAATTGAAGAGGGAGGTTGATTATGAATACAGTGGTCTTGAGTGCTGTTAGAAGTATGAGGGCGGTTATCACTTCCCGGTTGCCCACACCGTGGAAGGGTTCTTCTGGAGGTACCTGAAAAGGAAATTGGATTAGAGGTGGTCTCAGTGACCTGAGAGCGTGACCGCAGTGCCCAAGGGACAACTGCTTGAGGCCGGTCGCGCACGGCCTTTTCGTGGGAGGTTTTTGACGTGTTAGCTCCGTTCTTCAAAGGGCCTTACCGCCGGAGACGGAAATCCGTGGGTAAGGTGAGGTGTGCATTTTTAGGGTCGACCTTTTCTAACCCCACCCCTCCTTGTGGGAAGGCAGCATCGCTGTCATGCTGGTTGTCTGAAGGAAACACCTTACTGCTGTCACACCTCTGTACAGTCAGCAGTACGACTTCGCCTTCGGACCTTGGGTTTGTTGCTTTTAGTCTTACCGCTCTTCAACCGACCTGTCTGACATGGTAGGACCTTGAGGAACGGTTGTTCCAGCCAGTATAGCTCGGTTGCTTCATCACGATAGGCAAGCCCGACCACCACGTCAAGGTAGCAACAACGGTCGGTGGTTCAATGGTAGAATTATTATCAAATCATTCTTGTAAAAAACAATAGCACGTGAAATAAAAACGATTTATGTAAATTTGTGTATTGACCAAATTCTATAACTACAGTGATAGAAATGACATAATTATTAAAAAAAATAACTACAATATGAAACTTGAATACCCTAAATGGTTTGAGAAAATCTTCTGTATGAGCTATACATGATTCAATCCATCGATCATTAGCAGCGAAAACATCTAAATCCTCCTCAATTGAATACCCTAATACCTACTTTAAAAATAAATAAGGAACCATGTACTTTAGGAAAGGGATGCTTCAATGAAAATGTACTTTAAGTTGAATCTGATTTTATGGGAGCGCTATCAGTAACATGATATGTAATTTTACAGGTCAGATATGTGAACTTTTCGGAATGATCATTTTATTATTTTATTTTATTTGAACACATAAATATTGGTACAAAGGGGCACCAAATATATATGTACCACATAAAACAATGAGAATGGGAAGAGAAGCAAAAAAAGGTAAGCAGCGTAGAAGAAAAAAGAGAAGAACAGTAACGACCACAGATTAGTGTAAGGTATAATAATAATGATAATAATAATAATAATGGGGGAAATAGAAAGGTACAACCAGAAAGGATCCTTTCAATTAAAGAAGTTACAGTCACTTTTTATAAGGAAGGTAAAACAAAGTTACAGCAGGATCACTGGCTTCTATTCTGAACCATATCTGACTACGTCTCTAGCCACTGTGTTGCACCATCTCTAGGACCCCAACCAGGGAGTCGTGAAGGACCGACAGAAGCCAGCCCCCTGTAGCTCTTTCACATCGCGACACCATATCATACATTGACTACCTCCCCGTTCATTCCAACCAGTCCCAGGGTCGGCAAATAATGCTCGACGAGGAATTCTATGGGACGACATTCGTAGAACATGTTCAAGCCACCGAAGTTGACGTTTCAAGATGGTGCCAGACCTCTGCATTACTAACATGGTGTTGCCACTGGACGTCAGCAATCCTTCGGAGACAACGATGATCAAACACAAACAGTCATCTAACATCCTCAACTCGGAGAGGCCAGGTTTTACAAGCATAGAGCAAAACTGATCTCACCGACGCGTTGTAGATTCGACCTTTTACAGCCAGACTGACATCACGAAGGCGCCAAAGATGGCCCAGATTAGCATAAGCTGCTCTGGCTTTCACTATACGTGCATTGATCTCATCACTCACGCCACCACCAGCACTTATGCAGCTACCCTGATACACAAACTTATCGACTACTTCTACTTGCTCACCATCCAGGGTGAGTACAGGTTCAGGGTTCTGGCAGTCTTGTAAAAGTACTTTGCGCTTAGAAGGTGCAAAGCACATACCATACTTACGGACACTACTTGCCAACTGATTAAGTGCGGATTGCATGGCTTGGGTATTATCGCGCGGTAAGACAATATCATCTGCATACTCAAGGTCGAGAAGTCTTTCTCCAGGCAACAGATCCACACAGACATTGATTACATCCATTAGAGCTGTTTCTAGAATGTTATCGGTGGCGAAGTTGAAGAAGAATGGTGAAATTGGGCAACCCTGTCTAACCCCACTGCCTGGACAAAACAATAAAGAAAGGTTGTTGTATCCTCTTATTCTGCTTTAGGTATTTGTATATAGAGCCTTCCAGATGTTAATAAGCTTCTCAGGCACACGCCTCTTCAACAGACAGTCCCAGAGAACAGTCTTGTTCAACGAATCGAAGGCGGCCCTGATGTCAAGAAACACTACAATTGTTGGCCTGTATGACGGTGTTCTAACATTTGGCGGAGGGTAAAGATATGATCAATACATCCTCGAACAGAACGAAAACCAGCCTGCTTCCCGCAACCAATTTTCCACGGGTTCTGAACAATCCACGAAGCATGACGGAAGCCAATAGTTTGGACGCAGTCGGAAGTAGACTTATCTCCCGATAGTTTCTGCATAGGTGACGTGAACCCTTTTGAAAGATAGGGACAACTATCGACCAGGCCAGTTGAGCTGCTCCTCGAAGAATTCTGCCCATCGTCCTAGACGTCGATGGATGTTAGTGATTGGCATCCCGTCATCCTCACAGATTGCTTCACTCACACCAGACTTCTTGCTACCAGTGGCTCGGGTGAGTTAGAAGAGCTTCTGGTAGTTACCAGATGCAGCTGTTGCTTCAAACTCGTTGGAACGCTCAAACCACCAGACTTCTCGGTCCTGACACAAGCTTTTCCCAATTTCATTACGTAACAATCATCGTTTGTAGTCGAACTCACGGTCACCCAGAGTAGACCGACGGGCTTCAGTGAATTGTAAGGAGCCAGGAGAAACTTAGTGCTTACAAGCGGGACGTTTCGCGAAGCCGCAAGCGACTTTACTCACCATTTTTCATGGCGTCATGCAATTGCAGCCAATGCTCGTCTATACGTTTCGGTGGATTGCTAGCTAGCCTAGAAGGTAGCTCGGTTTGATACTTACTTGCAACAAAAGTTGCAACCAACTTGCGGACATCAATCCTTTGGTGGCAGTCACTTCGCTGAACACTGAAAAGTAAGGTAAGATTGGCGCAGACCAGGGTATGATCAGAGTCCAGATAAGTACTCCAAAAGGAGCGGCAGTCTTGTACACAACCACGCCAGAGGTAGCTAATCGCGATGTGACCAATATGAGTCCAGGCTCGAGATGAAGAAGGAGGATGCCAGGTGGCACATCGGCGATGACTGTGCCGAAAGTTAGCGCTAGCCAGAAACAGGCTGTGTTCTGTGCAAAGTTGCAGTAGACCGTTCCCATTATCCGACCTGCGACCAACAAGTTCCCATCAGCCACCTAAACGATTCTCCTCTGTGCCTAGACGCCCGACCTGACCATTCAAGTCTCCGGCTAGTACTACAATATCTGTCGAACGTACTTTCTGTAGAAGAACAGTTAACTTGTAGTAGAATTCATCCTTGATTGCATCCGGGCTGCAATCTGTCGGGGCAAAGGCGGAGATGACGAAAAGACATTGTTTCTCACGACGATTTCTTCTCACTTTGATGGAACTTTCTAACCAAACAGCACATAACCGACTGTTAATAGGATCCAATCGATTAGTGCCGCCTCAGCTCTAGCGCTCAGTGCAACATCTACGCCAGCAAGACCAGACGAAGATGCCACAGGGTCCCCGGATAAACGCACGTAAAAAAAGCCTTCTGAAGCGACAGATGGAGAGTGAATTTGTAGTACTTCACCAGAGTCTTGAATACGGGTCTTGGATAGACAGCAAACATCGATATTAAGACTTTCTAAAGACATAGCCAGCCCTATCTGTTTTCCGACCTGCATAAGTGTGCGAGTGTTGAAGGCAGCCAGTTTGAATGGTGCACGTGGTTTCAGAAAAACTGCTTCAGTACTCATATTCGGTGTTAACATACAATTTTCAACCGGACAGTGACTCGAGAACGTTTAGACAGAGTCGAATTCCCACCAAAGAAGAGCTGATGTGTAAGTCGAAAAATAAGGATACATAAAGTGGGAATAAAAGAGAGTGAATAAATGGCGTAGTAAATAATAATAATAATAATAATAATAATAATAATAATAATAATGTGAATCGTCTGACTGTTAATCGAAGTAAGAACAGTACTTTCCATAATTATCGACAATTCATCATATTTGTGTGTGGGCTGTGATACTGCCCGGGTGCCCAGACCGAAGCAGGGGTTTTCTTGGGGGCCACACCCCGAGCGTTTGACCTAAAGGTCTGACCAACAAGGCAGTGGAGCATCGTGAGGAGATGCAGTCCCATGGTAGACGGTGAATAATTGTTGGTTTATATGCCATTTGTTCCCTCAGGATACTGGAGCCTATTTGCATCAAACATACACTAAAACCACACTATATTCTTTACTGAACTTTACAACACAATGCATTCATTTTATTTAGCTTATTATACCTAGTTTTGAACTCTTTCTACAAATGAATAAGTTCGAACAGTAAACAAAATGGATTATACCATAGATATACAAGTTTATTAGAAAATTTTATAAGTAAAACAATTAGGTAATGGGAAGTATCTCACCTTTACAAGGGTATCCATAGAACCTGAAGCTACAAAATTACCATATGGATGAAAGTCTAAAGTTTTGATAGCTGATGTGTGACCAGACAAGGCTCGAACAACTATAAATGGTAATGAGACTAACATTGGATTATTCATTGAAACAATCGTGTAAAAAGCAACCAGTCATTTGGCTATATAACATAAGCATAATTATTGAAACATAAATTTTACGGTATTCATGTGGTAGCCGATATTGCGTAACTTGGATACACATATAACAAACTACAGGATGATTATCTGGAGACATTAATAATTAATGTAAATTATTTGCCGACTACATGCTCATAAATTCTGTTTTTAGCCGTAATTTTTGTGATTCAGTGATGCTATTCGGCTGCCAAAATCAAAATACGTGGAGCGGGATTTAGACCTGTAACCTATTGTTTGAAAGTTGAATACATAGACCTGTACTTGATAAACAAGTTAAGTCATGTATAACATTAAGTAATATTTATCTATAAGAGTTCATCGTTTAGTACGAGTACAAGAACAAAGTGAATGGAAAGTATTTTGATTGATACAATGGTTGGATTTCTATAACAGCTTTAAGATGAATAGGTTAATTTTAGACTAAAAGCTACACTGAGAAGTTATCCAACCGTCAAGCTAATTATTTTGCACCATATCAAGGAGTTAAAAGCCAGCAAGTTTCAGGCTAAATTTACCTCTAATTGTGTCCATTCGATTGTAAGTACATACCAAAGAAAACACATCAAAAGAACAGAATGATGGGTCTTTATTGGGGTTTTTTGATGCTCCATAGGAACTGGAACCAAAACGTTTAGACTAGTAAGATGAATTCAAAATTATTATGGTTCGACGAAGTTACTGTCATTAATAATTTTAAAATAAACCCGTGTATTTTAGAGGATAGTCTTTTCAAATGCACATTATCTTACCGACTTATTTTGCCTAAAAAATCCAAAGCTTACCAAACAAGCATTGTCTCACTCAATATGTTGTGAATAATGCTAATTGTATAGAATAAAATAAAAGCACCCAAGTACTCAATTCATACCAAATGAGATGGAATCCGAACCTGTGATATGATAGAACAAATGAGTGCCTAAAGTGCTGAACGACGACAATGGCAATCAAGATCCTTGGGATGATTATTTGTTAATAGATAAACATATAAATTACCTTATTCATTGTTAGCTATGAAATAGTAGGTCATACTTATAACCTAGTACACGATTCAGTGTGTGGTCGTTAAAATATTCCTATTCGCTAAATTATCTTATAAATAGAGCATCAAAGTTAGTCATCAAAATGCAAAACACTTATGGATAAAACTTTTTATGCATGCCAAATAATCTACCGGTTCAGAAGTAAAATAGATTACTTCTGTCTGTTACTGCTTTTACAAACTTTAGATAAGACAAATATTCTAGTCAAAAAAGAAAAGTCATAAACAAGCAGTGTAACAATGTATCTGATAGTCGAAAACAACGATGATAGACTTTTAGCCACACATATGAACCCGAATCTACTATGAATTTGGTGTTCATTTTGTTGTGCTAATGATGTGTGGCAACTTTGACCGATGCATATATGTGCCTATTCCTACGTTGTAGTTGACTCACTGATTATAGCCTGAACAACTATGCACTGTAGTAAAAGTATACATAGGTTACCCAGTGAGTCTCAGGTCCAAATCACGCCCCCTCTACTTCGGTTTGAGCGACAAAGTAGTAGTCCTCACAATCAATCGAACACACAAACCCGTGCTTGATTACTGAGTTGAATCATAATAATGAATTTTTTGGGCACCGAGGAAGGTGATAACTGAGATGTTGATACTAACTGAAATAATTGAATCTTTTCGCTCAATCCCTCGACTGGGTTAACTTTTCAAACTGTCTTATGCCTTCGAAAGTGAATCATTTCACTACGCTTCTAGGTTTAAGTTCGTTTCAGAAAACAAAGATAGGAACAGTCATCTGAATATGGCTTACTTTTAACTTCCTCCAAATCCCAAATACGGACAGAACCCGATAAAGACCCAGCTGCCACTCTATCTTCTTCTTGACTAAATTCAGAAGCTTCTATGGATGATGTATGCCCTGTCAAACTTAAGATACAAGAAGGTTTTCCAACAGCCCACAGTTTCAAGCGGCGATCTTCTCCTCCAGTGGCCATTACTCGACCAGATTTACGGCCCAAAGTTGCCGCAGTAACAGCGCCTGGGGAATGAGCGATACATTCCTCTATATTAAGAAAGTGAACAAACAAATATGCTACTGAAACTGACCGTTAATTGGGTGGTCAAAATATAAAGTAATAGGTGAGGGACAGACGTTAATTGAATTAGTGTCACTATCTTGAGACGTCAACTTCGGTGGCTTGAACATGTTCTACGAATGTCGTCCCATAGAATTCCTCGTCGAGCATTATTTGCCGACCCTGGGACTGGTTGGAATGAACGGGGAGGTAGTCAATGTATGATATGGTGTCGCGATGTGAAAGAGCTACAGGGGGCTGGCTTCTGTCGGTCCTTCACGACTCCCTGGTTGGGGTCCTAGAGATGGTGCAACACAGTGGCTAGAGACGTAGTCAGATATGGTTCAGAATAGAAGCCAGTGATCCTGCTGTAACTTTGTTTTACCTTCCTTATAAAAAGTGACCGTAACTTCTTTAATTGAAAGGATCCTTTCTGGTTGTACCTTTCTATTTCCCCCATTATTATTATTATTATCATTATTATTATACCTTACACTAATCTGTGGTCGGTATTGTTTTTTTATTCTTACACGCACGTCTTATTTTATATCTCTCCCCATTCTCACTATTGTTGTACGGCGAATATGTATCTGGTGCCCCCTTGTGTCAATATGTGTGTTCAAATAAATACCATGAGACTGTATCTCCTTAGATTGCTCAACAGCCTTGTGGATCAGACCTGTCGGTCGACAGATCGGTGTGGCCTCCTAAGAAGACCACGTGCTTCGGTTTGAGTGCACGGGCAGTATTCTAACCCTCACACAAATCCGATGACGAAGTGTGGCGCATATTTATTTGGTGCCTCTTCGTACAAATATCTATGTTTAAATAAATAAATGTAAGCAAGCAAACATGATATGTGTAGTAATAAAAAGTTCATACAATTAAACGCTAAAACTAGCCCACATATTTTAAAAATATCCCAACTAACATGTAGAATTTACGGTAAGACTATAATTGATGGACGAACCAATCAGATTTACGATAACAGACCTTAGATTTTGGCGCGAAATCTTTAACCACTTGGCTAAATAGCGTCCTGGCGTTTTTTATGATATCAGTTTGTAAAGGAAACCTTAAATATATTTTTTATCCATAAACATCAAATGTAAATCATAATCCTTATTCTTCACATAGATTTGAAACCCTCATTTAGCCCTAGTCAGTAGGTGGATATTATCGAGGCCGCTTTATAGTCGCTCAAAGGTCGTCCACAAATTAGTCTTACCGAATTTACTTAAGGGAGTACCTACTTGTACCAATGTTTATATTTCAAGTAAAATAAATGAATAAAACTGAATATTTTATGTGCTCCTAAAATCGATAAGTTTTCCCTAGCCGGATGGACAAGGGTATACATTGGTTCGAACTGGTGGCTAAGCTAATGAATACCGTCTAAAAATTCAGGAACAGGTAGTTGATTTCATTGTTAGCGCACATACTAATTAGGAATATCATTTGGGTAGCAATAAGAGAAACACGGGTATTCGGTCGACCACATATTAACAGATTTTGATGAGTACGTAACACAATGTTTACGAGACATTACGATCAAACGGAGTACTGATACGCAAATTCGAGGGAGACGACAGTGAATATATATCCGAAAAAGCAAGGCCCACTGAAATTACGTTGTATCTCATGCAATATAGGAAAGTTAGGGTGTTAGATTTAAAGTTAGAATACCCAGAAGGACGAAATTAAAGCATTCATTCATGAGTAGTCGATATACTTCCGGCTACTTTCTAAAATCGTTCATTCCTTTTTCTTGTTTTCTCATTCAGAAGTATTTTTTCCGGTTCACATAACTACTTTGTCACAAAGATGTTACTTAAAAAGCCAACGCTCAAAAAGATGAAAATGTTCCACCTCGTCACTGGGAGTCTTCTTCTTCGATAGCTTACTATTTAGAATCTTGAACCGAACAATATACAATTATTGCAAGGCAGTTTATGATGGATTGTGGTCATTATTATCGAGTCAAAACAAGGGGATCATTGGTCGGATCCAACTAAACATTGGAGATGACTTGATTTGAATATTACGCCATCCCCACAACTATCAATGAGTGCAACGTACGTAGCTTCCACGCTTTCATGTTGAAGTTAGTGACCAGGGTAGGGCACAAGCGTCCTTGACATTCGAACTTACCACCTAAGAACGGGTTTTAATATTTGTTGCACTCAGATTTTTAGGACCTGTGTTATAGTTATAGAAAGAAGTTGATGAGACGGAGAGCTATGGTGTTGCGTCTAGTGTAAGGTGTATAATCGAATTATTGAGGAATGAAAAAGCTTCAGGTTCATAACGTAAAAGTTAAAACGTGACAAGAATTTGTGATTAACAGTAAGTGGTGGAGTTTTCATAGTTAATTTACATCAGTTGTAATACTAGGATCCGATTATTATCTGACCTTTTCTTCTAGCATTGTAAGTCATTCAGTTGTTTTTTGGCATTTCCGGATTATCTGAAACATGTTAAAACCAGAGTGTTGTTTAGTTATATATTATTCGTCATCGTGTTTTCTTGTCTTGACCCTCAATTAATCTCAAAATTGATGACGGAAAAGGTTTAAAGCAAAACTGTTTAAAAATTAAGTGCCGAGTTTTGTCAGGTCATTAGGTGATTCTGAAGAAGCTCTATATGTTAAATATCAAACTTGCAGTTATGAGCAGTAAGATTATTCAAAGAAGTAGTTATGACAGTAGCGATAGTAATAGCAGTATTATTATATTAAGTGGTATTACAGATAGCTCGCAGATTCAATCTGTACATACTTCAATAATCATCCGTGGGTTAAAAGTTAAGACAGAGAAAAATTGTACAGTCATGTATGCAATACTTTGGATTTAAACATATATTCAAAACAGTCATTACCCTACACGGATAATACGTTTATTTCATTAGGTTTTGAGTTCCAACTCCGTCATACCATGGTACCCAGTATATTTTTAATTAAACAAACATGACTCGACTAATGAGCGAAAACGTATGCAGTACCTCTGTGACGCAGCCACCCAAACCCGATAATTTTCAAATTATATACGAACAGATAGACTGGGCTGATCGAATGAGGTAAAAGCCTGTTAGATTCCTACGTGGATTCCTGGTGTGGTTGTCTAAAATAATGTGACATACTGTCGTAGTCTTACTTCTAAGTCACGTCATTGGAGATCACCTAACTTTACCAAGCCAAGAGTGAAGTCGAGGCTACCTTACTTTTCAAGGTCCCTTAAAACACAAGCTAATCTTATTAGATATATGGTATATCTGTAACAAAGATGATGGTCATCAGCATTTAATGAGTCTTGATATCCTAGTCATATATTTCTTGTTCTGAACTTGTCTATGAACATTGAATCTGTACGGTGTTAAACTAACTTTAATAGATTATGTTTGATAGAGAGAATAAAGTGAAATTTTTTTGAAACAAACAAGGAAACGAAGTGTTTGACAACACTGTTCGAAATTACGACTCAAGAAACAATCACAAAAATACTAGAAAAAACGCGGAAATAGAGTTATGCGAATGTATATCTGTCCTGTTGTCCATGGCCGGGCGTGACCGGCCTCAAGCAGTTGTCCCTTGGGCTCTGCGGTCACACTCCCAGGTCGTTAAGATCAACACTAATCCAACTTCCTTTTCAGGTTCCTCAATAAGATGTCCTTCCACGGTGTAGGCGACCAGGAAGTGACATCAGCCCTCATACCCGTATCAGCACACGAGAGCAAGTTGGTCACAATCAAATCCTTCCTACACCTCTTAGTAACTCTCTTATCTCCACGACTAATCCTTCTCACGTTCCTTTATCACCTCACGCTGCTAATGCAAACGATTCGGGTACGCGGAACGTTATTCCTGGTCTCCTGAAATCACGCTCTAAACTACATGTTGGAGCTTTTAACGTTCGAGCACTGTGCCAAATAGGACAACAGGCTCGCTGGTGTAGGTATAGCATTGAGTCCTAGGGCAGAACTAGCTCTCTTAGACTGGATCCCAGCAGAAAGTTTTTTGTGCGCTGTCCGACTAAACGGAACAATAAGGACTCGGAAAGTTAGGGACACTCGTCGTTGCCTCTTCGTCGTCTCTGTCTACTCTCCCACTGATTGCAGCTCAAATGGAGTAAGAGATGAGTTTTACAGGAAGCTTTCCGACCTCCTCCAAAAAGTTAGGCTCTCTTAATTTAATGCTCAAGTAGGTAAACTGAGCGAAAAGGAAAGACACCTGGGTGGATTTTATGGTGTCATGGCTCAAAGAACAGATAATGGCGACCGTCTGTTGCAGCTGTGCTCAGATAACTACCTGTTTCTTGCAAACACTAACTTTAAGCATAAGGAAAAACATCCTTTGACATAATGCTATGTTTGAAGCGATTACGAATTCACCTAGTCTGGGAACAGAATAAAGACTCTGTGACCAAAGACCAATATGCTAGCTATTCTGATGCGTCCCAGCCCCGCTAACTAGAGAGAGAGAAGTCTAAGTTCGAAACGGGGAAATATATTCCTCAAGTAGCCAAAAGCACGAGTAATCCTATCCCGTCCAGTCGGAAATACACTCATTTATATATTGGTTATACACCCATTTTTGATTAATATTCAGAATATATCACATATATGAAAAATATTTCATACAAGAATATCGTATTTTATACAGAGTAAAATGTCATGAGGGAAAACGAAACAAATACTACACTGAGTGATCGTTAAAATGAATTAAACGGAATCGATATTGAATAAAAATCATAATGAGTAAATCAATTTAGTTTTGACTTTTCATCCCGTCATAACACCTCCCCTTTTTTGAAGACTTGAAGTTTAGACCCTGACCTTAAATTTTCTGACTTTCTCCTCTCCTACGAAATAATGTTGGTTCAGGCTATCTGGTACTCCTGGAGCTATTTGGCTTCCTTTTTTGACGAAATCCATCTTTATGCCGCAGGAATTCGGAGTTCGACTACTCCGTTGCCATTGACATCCTTATTATTCTAGGTGCCAACCCGCTCAAGTCAGAGATCAGTAATGAAGGAGTCTCAAGATACATTTGGAATTGGTAAACACGTTAAAGAAGATTTGGTCTAACTGGCCAATAGTTCAAAAGGATTCATAACAAGGTTCACCTGCTCATGTTCTGGTGCTGTTGGATGGTCGAACGCCTTCAGCTAGGTGAGTCTAGTGAAGCTAATGCGGTCAACATCAAATGCTGAAGACTTACAGAGCTATTGATTTTTGGGATTCTCTTGGCGCTACATAACAAGCTGCCGTAATATTGTAGCCTATCATTTGTTGTTCGATATTCACTCAGGAAATGAACATGTTCTTCGTCCAATATAGCTCATCATGCAAAGTAGGGAACAGTTTCTCAAGAGCTTAGGAAAAAAATACTTCAAGTCATCTAGACGTGCATAGATCAAAGGTTCAAATCATTCGCAATTAGATCAAACAAATAGTGTACATACTACCCTGCCAAGAATATCACTGGAATTGGATGCTGTTTGTTTACAGGCGGTCAGTTCAAAAACAATCCTGGTCGCTCGCAGTACGTTACTTCTGTACCGAATTATATTCTACTTAGTTAATGGTATGCTAGGAGAAATAGACTAGAATTATAATTATGCCGCGTTATTTTTGATGATTATATCAAGTCAGTGTACATTTTGTGGAGAATTATTGTGAATTGTGAAGCATTGCTTACATTTATAAATTTCCGGTTTGATATGAATGAAGAAGGCTTTTGATTGTCCGATCCTACTAGGTTTGTTCCTTGTTTTCTTGTCATTCGAGTCGATCTTAAGGCCTTAGGATTGTAAGTTCCGTGAATTGCTCAAGGGAACTCAAAAGAGATGATAAGGGCTAACACGAAAGAAATAAAGCGGACATTCTTTAAGACAGGAAGGGTTTAATAAAGTGAATACGAAGTCTCCTTTTTCGTCCATCGTGGGAAGATAGTGCGTAACCTCCCTTTTCGTCGTACTGTATGCAGTTAATTGTTAGTTCGGTTTTGAGTTAGCCTACTGTAAATACATTGTTTGGAGTTATTACGTATAATGCTGTGGAAGACCTATCTGAATCCAGCAGAACCGGAGGTATGCTTCACTCACAAGTTAACTAGAGGTCGCCTCGACTATTTAATCTTCGTATGGCTTAGGCCATCAACCAGAGATCCCTAACTAACTATATCCTGAACTTTCAGAGTTGTTGCCAAGTGCTATTCATGGTCTTGATATTTGTCTTTGGTTCTCATTTTCACATGTTTTTTGGTCTTCATCGTTTTCTCCGGTCTTGAGGATTCCATGTCGAGTCTTGTTTTGTGATGTAGTTTTATAGTGTCTTTAACCTTATCCACCTCCAGAGTTTTTCCCTAATTTCCCCCCCTCAACTAGAAGCTAAGTTTTCCCTGCTAAAGCAGATTATTACTGATGGTCTCTTACCACTGGGTCGTGAGTATCTTGTTGAATAGTTGTCTGTAAACACTCTTACGGCTTTCGTGATAATACGAAATGCAGCAACATAAGATGGCAACTCTTCCCATCAGCCCCTGGTGTATGGTTTGCCCGTAGCTCTCGCATAGCTACCACTCAAAGCACGGCAAGCCAACTTACTTAGTTGATATTTATTTCATTATATCATCCCGAGTTTCATCTTCAGTACTCCTTTATTTTCTGCTTTGAAGAGATGGATTTACATTCGTAAGAATCTTTGCATACAGGAAGGTGAATAAATAGTTTACCCACTCCTTCTGCCTAGCATTTGATCGCCTATTATCTGATTGTGTTGTATAGGCCTTTATTCTATTAGTATTGAAAAATTTTAAGGGCTCCAAGTCAAAAATAGCAAGAATTTGATTGAGAAGGTATAAGAACATTTTGTGAATAACTGTTGACTGACATTTGTAAAATTTTGTCTACTTGTATTCTCTGGCTTGAGAAAGCTCGTAATTTTGTTCACGGTACTTAAACAAATTAAGTGATCACTTGAGATAAACTATGGTAAGTCAATCTATGACTTCTAACTTGTGGTCATTGCTGTTCCATTATTCTGTTAGATTATGGGGACATGTGAGGTTTATCGTTCTTTCCCTTCGGAATCTAAGGACAACGACCAAAAAGTCAACAATTTTCCTATTAGAGAATCGAGCGTTTTGCATGTAGTTATTTCAGAATCAGAACTAACAGAATTACCATTACCAACTTATGTTTGCGAGTTATGCGGAATCAAAGTGAAAACAAAAGCTAACTTACGGGCTCATCAGATTAAAACTCATAAGATCATGAAGGTAGAATATTAGTCTGCATCTTCTAATGTGTATTGTTATTTCAGAATGCAAAAGACGTAGCATTTTATTCCAAGCAAAGGTATAATGTTAGTTATATCTATCATTGCCCTGTGGCTACATGTAAACACAATATTGGTTTAGGTGGTGGATTCAGTACTTACTGGAGATTAAAACAGGTATGCTGAGATTATTGATTAATATGTTCTTATATTATAGCATTATCAGCATGTTCATATGCAGAAAAGTTACCAGTGTAACAAATGTAAACATTTCTTCCCTACTCCCTCATATCATGCCTATCATCAAAAACTATGTGGAGCAACGTATTCTTGTTCAGTTTGTTTCAGGTCTTATTCAAGTAAAAAGCACTTACTTCAGCATTACCGAAGAAGTGGGCACAGTAACACTTTATCTCTTAATTCTATTCCTAAAGTCGAAAATACTCCAAACAGATCGCCTTCGAAGAATACATCAATTCCAAGTTCGTATGTTGCACGTAATCCTATCCCTCCTAGTGGATCATGTGGCCCATTAGTTCTCCCACTTCTTATTTTACCAGTTACTGTACCTAACGTAAGTGATGTGAATGTAGAAAATCTGAACAGCAATGTTTTGGGGTGTTTGAATATGAACTTTTTATATACAAGTGCTCTTTCGGCTCTTCGTACACTTTCAACACAAATCTTTCCGAATCCAAATGTCCAAGTAAGATATAAATTACTTGATGCTTTTTATTGCACCCTTTTGCTGTCAAACAATCAAAATTCTAGGGATGTACACGTTTCGTATTGTAGGGAATTCTTAACTAATTCTCACTTGTATAAAATATTTCTCATAGTCAAGGAAGTAGATGTATAGATGTATAAATGAGTTCCATTCAATTGATTGTTCAATAGTGTTCCGTAGTGTCGAGACTTGGTCGGTACATGTTCGATTATTACGAAAGCCAGTTTATTTGTTTCGAAGTTGGGTGTCTGCTAGGTCTCTCACTCAATTCAACGACACTGTTGGAAACTGTGCCTGGTACTGACAGTAGTATAACACCTCTATAGTTCTCTCACTAAAATCTTTCTTCGGTATCTTGATAAGGCATCCTTCCTCCCAGTCCGTCAGTACTTGTTCTCCCTCCCAAATCTTTCTGAAGAGAATGTTGAGCATCTTCGTAGTTATCTCTATATCTGACTTTGGTGCATCAGTTGATATCCTGTTTGCTCATGCCATTTTCCCACACTTAGTTTGTCTGATAGATGTACTAATTTCTTCTGTTGTTGGTGGGGCATCATCAATAAAGTGATCTGTGTGTGTTGCTTTGATGTCCAGTGGATTCAGTGATGCTGATCTGTTGAAGTTTTTCTACGTGCTCTGTTCGCTTGTGCCCCCACTCCTCAGTCATTGAGTTTTCTGCTTTATTCTTAACTTGCCACTCTGGCGTACCATGTCTCCCTGTAAGCTTCTTTGCTGCACCATGCAGTCATTCCGTACTTTCTTCCCTTGCAGTTTTTTCTGCTATGATTGCTAGGTTTTCTGCATATTTCCGTTTGTCAGCTCTAGCAACCCTTTCCAATCGTTCGTTTGCTTCTGTATATTCAGCATGTGCCTTGAATTCCCCTGCTTTTGTTTGAGTGTTGTTGATTGCTGTCTCTTTATCTTATCTTTCTTGAATCGAGGCCAGGTTGTCTACAAAGATCTATTCTTTACTCAGGTACTTGTTGGAGCCCAGTTACTGCTGTTGTGTTAAACTTACTGTCTTTTGATACTTTTCCAGTCATCTATGGTAGTATCCTATTCTAGTAAAACCACAATTTTTTTCATGTAGCGATTTAGAATTATCATAATGTTTAGAGGGGCTCTATTAGGAGTAACGTTATTTGAGCTTTAAGTACTAATATAAAGTTCAAATGTTTCAGTTATTATTGTTAATCCACTTTATTAAATTAAATTTTCTTATATCTTCCTGCACTTTAAGGTTAATCTCTCTGAATCTGCAATAAATTCGAGCGATACGTCAGTGGTTTTAAAACCCGATTTAGGAAATTTCTGCAATCTTTACGCAGTCCCTGTAAGCAATTCTTCTTTGGAGGCCTCAACACAAACTGAACAGTTATATACACCGATCACTGTATCACAACCATGCTCTCATACACTCCAGACACACGAACTTGTGTCTGTGAACACATGCACCGATGAGGATGACATCAGTTCATTCATTGGTGGTCTCTTCTGTAATGCTGCAGTAGAAGCCAATCTTCCTCACTCAAGTACAGTATATGGTAAGTTCTGATCAAATCCATTAATACCCGACTCATGACAAACGGTTCTTTATAAAAGTTAAAACTATATCTTATTAAAAAATTGATGATATCTCAGTGTTATAATCTCATAAATGTTCATTTTCGCGTTCTCACCCCATTTATTTGATGTGTAATGTAAACTATTTTGTGTTTTTTTATTATCCATACTTCTCGGTTGCAGTTGTTATAAAGACCTGTTCATTGAAAGATAGTATCCCCGGTGTATTTATGTTTAGACTGGAAGTGTTTAACTTTTTCCCTGTTGAGGTAGTAATGTGCCGTTTGATTACATAATATTTCCTTATTTTATCGCTTTGATAGTCTTTAAAGATCTCTTTCACTGTTATGCTTTTGTAATGTTCAGATAACTACGAAGTTAGACAAGAACGAAAGCTGTCTTACGAGACCAAACAGATCACATTGGGTCCCCTCAACGAACACCACCCTTGTTCATCACTAAAGCCAACCAAAAACTCGGTTCAGTCGAGCGACTACATCTCTCTTACTGGGTGCTCAAATAATGGTGTGGATCAAGAAATTCAAGCAAGGTTGCTACCACTACGTGAAAACGCTGCTATGCAGACCGATGTTATGGAAAATTTGAATGCTGAAATTGCTACTCATTATCCTCACTCCGATCATAGTACTTACTTTACTCCAAGCAGAATGCTTGAAACACCACCTCCTCCTATGTTACAAAGTACTGTTTCACTTGGAACTCATTTAAGTACTGCATGCCAAACTTTACATCGTTTGCTGAATGAAGCGAAAATTTCAGACAACCAGTCTCCTCGTAAGTGTTCATATTATATTTCCAGCTCTTACTTTAACCAGGATAGCACATCTAAGTAGGATATAGCTGGGTATAGTTAACACAACCTCCAGTCGATGAAAATTCATGACCCCATCGACAGACTTAACATATCCCGTACGCGTAACATCAGCGTTGTTCACTCAATATTTCCACCTTATGAAAATGCTTCAAACAGTGGACAATTGGATCCTCTTTATTGCCAATTGTGTCACTAAGTTTTGACTTTTTTGAGCCACGTCGCTGATAGGCTTAATAATGTTTTTTTATTGTTATCTGTTATCCTTGGGATTTATGGTTCTTAATCTTGTCGCCCACTTCCGGGCGTTCCCAACCGTTGCTGCTACCTTGATGTGGTGGTCGGGCTTGCCTGTCGTGATGACCCAACCGAGCTATAGTGGCTGCAACATTTGTCCTGTAGGTTTTACCATGCCAGTCAGGTCGATTGGAGGATGTTAAGACCAAAAGCAGTAACTCAAGGTCTGGGGCCTAAGTCGTACTGCTGACTGAAGAGGGGTATGGCAGGAGTAAGGTGTTTTCCTCAGACAGCCAGCATTTGCAACGATGCTGCCTTCCCACAAGGAAGGAAGGGTTAGAAAAGGTCGACCCTAAAAATGTTACACCTCATCGTACCTCACGGATTTCTGTCTCCGGCGGTAAGGCATTTTGAAAAACGGAGCTAATACGTTAGAACTTTCCCACAAAAAGGCCGTGCGTGACCGGCCTCAAGCAGTTGTCCCTTGGGCTCTGCGGTCACACTCCCAGGTCGTTAAGATCAACACTAATCCAACTTCCTTTTCAGGTTCCTCAATAAGATGTCCTTCCACGGTGTAGGCGACCAGGAAGTGACATCAGCCCTCATACCCGTATCAGCACACGAGAGCAAGTTGGTCACAATCAAATCCTTCCTACACCTCTTAGTAACTCTCTTATCTCCACGACTAATCCTTCTCACGTTCCTTTATCACCTCACGCTGCTAATGCAAACGATTCGGGTACGCGGAACGTTATTCCTGGTCTCCTGAAATCACGCTCTAAACTACATGTTGGAGCTTTTAACGTTCGAGCACTGTGCCAAATAGGACAACAGGCTCGCTGGTGTAGGTATAGCATTGAGTCCTAGGGCAGAACTAGCTCTCTTAGACTGGATCCCAGCAGAAAGTTTTTTGTGCGCTGTCCGACTAAACGGAACAATAAGGACTCGGAAAGTTAGGGACACTCGTCGTTGCCTCTTCGTCGTCTCTGTCTACTCTCCCACTGATTGCAGCTCAAATGGAGTAAGAGATGAGTTTTACAGGAAGCTTTCCGACCTCCTCCAAAAAGTTAGGCTCTCTTAATTTAATGCTCAAGTAGGTAAACTGAGCGAAAAGGAAAGACACCTGGGTGGATTTTATGGTGTCATGGCTCAAAGAACAGATAATGGCGACCGTCTGTTGCAGCTGTGCTCAGATAACTACCTGTTTCTTGCAAACACTAACTTTAAGCATAAGGAAAAACATCCTTTGACATAATGCTATGTTTGAAGCGATTACGAATTCACCTAGTCTGGGAACAGAATAAAGACTCTGTGACCAAAGACCAATATGCTAGCTATTCTGATGCGTCCCAGCCCCGCTAACTAGAGAGAGAGAAGTCTAAGTTCGAAACGGGGAAATATATTCCTCAAGTAGCCAAAAGCACGAGTAATCCTATCCCGTCCAGTCGGAAATACACTCATTTATATATTGGTTATACACCCATTTTTGATTAATATTCAGAATATATCACATATATGAAAAATATTTCATACAAGAATATCGTATTTTATACAGAGTAAAATGTCATGAGGGAAAACGAAACAAATACTACACTGAGTGATCGTTAAAATGAATTAAACGGAATCGATATTGAATAAAATCATAATGAGTAAATCAATTTAGTTTTGACTTTTCATCCCGTCATAACACCTCCCCTTTTTTTGAAGACTTGAAGTTTAGACCCTGACCTTAAATTTTCTGACTTTCTCCTCTCCTACGAAATAATGTTGGTTCAGGCTATCTGGTACTCCTGGAGCTATTTGGCTTCCTTTTTTGACGAAATCCATCTTTATGGCCTACAGCTTTACATTTCCTGCACCGATGTTTTTAATATCTGCTAACATGGTAAACCACAAGGTGGGGGAGAAATACTGGATCTCATCAGCATCTGCCGCACTGATAGATGCTCGGAAACTCATCCCATCTGGCTCTGAACATGATGAAGAGCGGAGTCAGCTTAAGCGCGGCCTGATAAGAAGCCTACACAATGATCGTGAACAGTGGTGGGTAGCGAAAACAAAAGAGATGAAAACGGCAGGGGCAATAAGCAACAACAGACAACTGTTCAGACTTGTCAAGGAATCCTTTATTAAGAATCCAACTGTTAGAGAAACTGTCTCGGAAAAAGATGAACACATTATTCACTATAAATCCAGGAGATTGGATCGATGGGTAGAACAGTTTAGGGATCGGTTCAACTGGTCTTCAGCCACACTTCGGTTTCCCACGATCTCCAGTCAACCTAAATGGCAAGTTGATGTAAGTCTTCCCACTCTGAAACGAGGGAGAGCAGCAGGCCCCGACAGGTTTACCCCTGCGCTTTTTAAGAATGGCGGTCCAGTATTAGCAGTGAGATTGGCTGAGGTCTTAGGTAGAATCTGGGAACTGGACGTAGTCCCATCTGACTGGTCTCAATCACTGATTATGCCAGTCTATAAACACGGCCAAAGGTCCTCTTGTGGCAATCACAGAGGAATCAATTTGACTCATATAATGTCTAAAATATTAGCTTCAATAATACTTCTACGCCTAACTAAAGCTCGTAAATAGCAGACTAGAGAAAACCAGACTGGTTTTCGAACTGAACGTGGCTGTATAGACCAGATATTCACACTACGTCAGATCCTAGAACATAGACACACATTCAGACGTCCAGCAATAATAGTATTTCTCGACTTTAAAGCAGCATTCGACTCTGTTGATCGTGAGGTTCTATGGCAGTGTTTGTCACTGAAAGGAGTACCAAAGAAGTACATTAACCTTGTAAAGGCTCTCTACTCGAACACAACTAGTCGAGTGAGAGCTTAGGACGAACTGTCATCAGAATTGATTACCTCAAGTGGTGTTGGTCAGGGCTGTCCACTCTCTCCATTCTTATTTAACATTGTCCTTGGCGTGTTTTTATAGATAACACTTTCCCCATCTAAATTTCCAGTTGAACTTCTACCAGGAGATTCACTTGTTGACTTGGAAGATGCCGATGACATAGTTTTATTTGGTGAAGACGCTGACAAAATGCAAAGTCTTCTGACCACCGTAAGCAACAATGCAAGCATGTTCGGGATGCGGTTCTCTCCCTCGAAATGCAAAATGTTGCTTCAGGATTGGGTTGCATCGACACCGGGACTAATGATAAGGAGTGAAGTAGTTAAGAGTGTCGACTGCTTCACTTATCTTGGGAATCTCATCAGCCCTTGTGGTCTGGTGTGTGACGAATCTCAACGGATACAGAAGGCTCGACTAGCTTTTGCCAACATGCGTCATTTATGGCGTAGGCCAGATATCCGTTTATCAACCAAAGGACGTGTTTACTGTGCAACAGTTCGTTCCGTCCTACTTTATGGCAGTGAAACATGGTCGGTAAGAGTAGAGGATATTCGTAGGTTACTAGTATTTGATCATAGGTGTCTTCGAAATATTGCTCGTATATCCTGGGACCATCGAGTAAGTAATGCAGTTGTTAGGAAACGGGTACTAGGTAAGGATGGCAAATCAATTGATGACGTAGTGAAACTTCATCAGTTGAGATGGCTGGGACATGTGTTACGTATGCCCAACGACCGACTGCCTCGACGTGCGATGTTCAATGGTTTAGGAGTAGGTTGGAAGAAAGCTAGGGGTGGCCAGATCAAAACATGGCACAAGTACATGAAGTCACTGACAAGTGGACTGAGCCATGTTGGTAGGTGTAGACTACCTGGTTGGGGACCGCGAGATGATAGCAACCGATGGTTAGAGACCCTGAATGACATGGCTCAAAATCGTTTGCAATGGCGCAGGTGCATCCACTCTTTGTGTTCTCCCAAATTCTAATCTTCTGAATTCTTCATGTCTCTTATTTTCTTTCCAAATTTATTTCACTGGATTATACTCCTTGAATAACATCTTCAAACCCTAATGTTTCCGACTACTGCTTATACTTTTACTAACTCTACCACTATGGGATTTGAATAGACAATTATATCTCTGTGCTATTTTATTATGGCAACTTGAACTGATGTTCGTACTTACGAAGTTCTACGTTGTTGCTGACTGACTTCCGGGCGTTGGGTAGACGTTTTCAGTTTACTTTTAATCTACTTTTTTCCCACATTTTGGTCGTAGTTCACTCAGATGAGTTTCGCAAGATCAGTTACTATGAGAGCTATTAAAATCACTGTAAATTCTTGGCTTTTTACTAAGATTTCACGATAGTCTGTTTATTGCTTTTGCACCATATCTTGAAGGTACTACTAAACTATGTTGTTAAACGACTGGTAATAAACTCTAAAACTGATTATGTTAGTTTGTAGAATGTGTATGATATAATAATACTAATAATTCACTGTTCCGAAAGAAACCAGGTATGTATTTCATTAATTACATCCACGTCTTCGTTATTGTGATATTATATTCTTCATATAATCTGTTAACTCTACTTTCCACTACTTAATCATATTTCTTTTTTTCCGCGGTAACTGTAATGTTCTACATGATAAATTTGCTGCCTGTATGGAAGTTCATTGCGCATCGAAACATCTGAAATTCGTAATGAGTACACCATTTGTGCTTAACGTCAACAACTTATTTTTGTGCTCATTTGTGTAATGGGGTTTTATTGTATTTCCGATTTTATTTGTTTCCTTCAAAGTTATGGAGATATTAAACATGGATACAACAACAGATTCCGGTACTCGGGCTTGTGTTAATGTAATAAATTATTCTGGTTATGATTTACCTGGTTCGACGGATCCAATGTTACAATGCTCATCTACATCTATCAAAAATTCTGTACAAACTAATACTGTACCCACTTCCTGTGATAATTCGCAGTATTGCAATTTGAACACTGTGGAAACAACAACGCAGCATGATTGGTCAGCCAATGTAGATTTCACTCACAATCAAACTCAAACAATTGATGAAGATATAGAATTGTGGTTGAACAGTGTTGAAACACAAACAAATCTAGCGTTATTTGATCCCAGCTTCTTTTCAGATATATGTGTTGGAGTGGACGATGATTTTCTCCAGTCCTAGTTCATCCTACAAAAATAGTTTGTTTTATTCAAGACTCTTGTTATCACCGCCTATGTGTACCATTTATGTCACGTGGACTAGCTTGATTTCAGTGACTTGACAACATCTCTTCCTACCATATCATTGCATACAAAGGATATAATATATATATATATTCAGTGCACTCACCATAACTATTTCTTTATTTCGTATATTTCTAGAACAAAATTTGTGGTCTTTTTCTATTGGTTTATCATTTTGATTTTAATCTTGTTTTTCTTCGTTTTGCTTTGATTATTTTGTATTTGTAGAAAATTCGTACACCATATTTAGTCAGTGGTTTCATTAACCCTACTGCTTGCAGCTCGATAAAGTATACTCATTTTACTTTTTCATGTCTTTTACTTTATCGATATGCTACTAACGCGCTTGTTTATTTATTTTACCAGTTTATCTATGCAATAATTGTACTACGTTTTTTAATTCAGATCGAATACGTTAGAATTGGGATATATTTATCACTAAATAACGACGTAGTATAATTTCATGTGATTTACTTTTATTTTACTGGTATACAGTCATATAACTGTCTCACAAGTGTAGAGAAATTCGACTACTTAAGGAAGTAGTTTAGAATCGAATATGTTTTAAGTATTATCAGCTATTGGAGATTATTAACCTAGTACTTATTACTGATGAGTATCTAGTTATTGTGGGAAGCAAACGTTACAAAATTTACCTCATGAAATTCTCTGGTTTTATAATTATATGCAAATAAATTATATATATTTCTTTGAATAGCTGTTTGTAATTAGCTATTTGTTTATATATATATATATATATATATATATATATATATATATATATATATATATATATATATATATATATTGCAATTTACAGTTAATGTCGTTCACTGATGTTCGGAATGAGTTGGTGTTAGGATGGTTCGTTACTTAAGCCTAAATTTTATAAGTTGCCGCCTTGCATTTAGCAACCTCAGTAATAGTTCAGAGCAGATTCCAGTTATCGATTCTACTCAATGGTCTTTTTTACAAACAAATTACATAACTTATGATATCCACAAAGTATATGTTATGAGTGTTTGGTTGTTTTATTTCCAAATAAAATGCTTTATTTAATAATTGAAAGCCGTCGAGAGTTTCGATGAAACTGTTCTTTGAAGCCTATTTTGTAGACATGAACTAAGCATTATAGGTTTTTTTAGAAATTTGTTTCTATATATTCTTTATAGAATCATTCTTGTATACACAATTTATCAAACTTTAAAGAAAATATAAACAAAACCCTATAGTTAACATTATCAAAATAAATTTTCGAAATAAATTGAAAGTAACTTGACATATGTTTGCCATTTGACGTAAATGGATCGATTCATATGCTTAGCCACTTAGCTTATCAATCATATATATATATATATATATATATATATATATATATATATATATATATATATATATATATATATACTTTGTTGTACTACTATCCTGAACAAGATTGATGGTTTTATTTGTAAGACAAAGGTACATCCTCGGTAGATTTTTAAGTGTGTAATTTATTTGGGTGATTGAAACAAAAAGCTGCACTATACACACTCTAGTTAGCCATTTTCATCGGAAGGTGTAGTTGTATCCAAACAAAATTATATATGAAGCAACATGATTACTTTTAATTTACCAGCTGATGAGTTCCATTCTTAAAATAAGGGTGTTAGCGGGACATAGATGGGATTAAAGCATGCTCAATGCACAATTGCTTTGGCGCACACTGGTTGGTTAATTCTTATCCAATCAGCGCTAGTCGATAATTGCAGAACACTAGAACCTTCTCATGTAAAAACTATAAATATACTGACGTTTTTCCTACTGTGGTTCTTACTTCCATGTAACCTTGTCATTTGGGATATATTCTATTTCCTGTTCAACCGTGTTCTGATTTGGGAACTTGTCGAGTGAATTGGTGTCCAAGAATAGCTGGGTTATAATAAGAGAGAATTATAACAAAGGGTGAATTAAAAAATGGTCTTTCTAGAAGCATTTCTACAGAAAAACCCTTACAAATTTATTTTCGGAAAATTTGTGGCTTCAGTTTTTCTAGCTTAATAAATAAAATACTCTTGAAAATATGCTTTAAGGAAATAAATATCCGTTATCTTCTCCACCCTACTAACTGCTTTAATTACATTTATTGGCTTGAAGGATTTTAGGAACTGAAACTAAAAGGATTTCAGTTGGTCGTTGATCAAGCTATTTTCTATAATAAAAATAAATATTTTGATTTCTAGATGTTCTTAGAACGATTGTAGGTTGTTTATTTGATGCGGCATCAAACTAGACAGTATAAACTATTTCATCTAAGTTCTCTCTCATTTGTTTTCTTAGTTATAGATAAGTCTAAAATATTTAGTTTCCAAGCGTTTTGTAATTAAGAGAATAACTAAGACATTTTATGGTATAACTAACATTTATGAGCTTAAATTAATTGTTTGTTATGTAGGCAAATTTTAATTGGAAACCACTGGGAGTTCATTCACAGTCATGCTTCCCTTTCAATTGTGAATTTGTTCATATGATAACTGATTCTCACTTAGTACAGATACTACTTTTATGTGACAATTCAGACAAAGGGTAAGGTATATTGTCATTTTTGATCGGAAATTCCTACCTGGGGTATAATATTTTAATAAACTTCATTTTGCTACTTGGGATTATTTTAGTAGGTAGTAGTTTTCAAAAACATAATCGCCTCAGTATTTGTTTTTATAGCGGATTGAATGTAAAATAGATAGAGTATTCATATTATTTGTTTAAAAAAGAACCAGCATGCAAATGACAACGAAAAGAATGATGTCTATTTACATTAAAAGGTCGTCGAATCTGACAATAAATGCATCCAAAACATGTTTGGTTTATAAGGCAGTGTTTGCAAACAGTGCTTATTACGAACAAGCGATATATCGATATATATCCTCATTGTTCTGGTTTCTGCCTATCTTGGGAACAACGAATGATGCATAGAAGACAATCCAACAAACAATTTTAGTGAGTCCATAGATAAGCAAGCAATTATAATTCAAGATAAATTGAATGCTTTTTGTGAAGAGAATTACCCGAAATACACAGGAAGCAATGGTATGGAGTAATACTTTGATATAAATGCTAGTAAGAAGCAGTATGTATATGTTTGTATATAATCAATAAACTGGAATTAAAAATACGGAAGGAGAAGAAGGGGACATGAATATTGAGATGCATCTCTTTTTCTTACAGTATTATTGTTCTTCATTCATCCTTGACTTCATCTTTAATCGTTGAAAAATGTCAATACCTATCATCACGACGAATGAACCATACGAATTCCATAGTGAACATGTTTGTGCATTGACTTCCGGAGTGTTTACACATTGATCATTCTTTATTTGGTTTTTATAGGTATGACAAATAATAACATGAAAATAGAAGGAAGTAACAGACATTCAGTGTCACTGCTATATCATTTTAAAATGAATAGTCTGTTGTTTTCCACTATTCTGGTGGGGAAAAAGCGGAACGATTGTACCTATAATTCCAGCGAGGATGACTCACTAATATGTAAAAGAAACCAGGGAAATTTCATATATAAACAAAACGGGCAGTAAAACGTAAATAAAAACGAAAGTTGACAAATAGAGGCGTTAACAGTAAATTCGATATTATTGGCAGAATTTGTTTTTAAAATGTATTTAATTAGGCAAAAAGTAACTGCTTCGAAAAACCACAGTAACAACAGATACGATAAAAACAAGCAGCAGGATAGAGTTTACTTTTGGTTTGTTTTATCCTGCAATTTCAGCGGGGAATTTGAATCGCTAGCAGGATTTGTGCTTTGTTTTAATGTATTTGGCTCTGGGTATTGATGTGGATGACCGTATGTTTCCATTAAATACTCTGGATTGGTTACGCTAAATCCACTGGATATTGGAGATAAGTATTCTTCTGGTGGCTGCATATTCGGACTTAAGTATTCATCTAAAAAATGAGGAAAAGTAAATCAAGTCTACAGAGACAGAGAGAAATGGTCTTTTCGGTTTATTGTGTAATAATTTAGCAAAAATTACTTTGCAAACAAATGCAGCATAGAACTCAACACATCATTGGTTCAACTGTGAAAACTTAATTTCTCGTTGATTTACATAGTTGTGTCATACACAGAAGTATTAGTGACTCAAGCAATTCAACTGTCGGACATTCAAACCTGGATTTGAAAAACAGGGGTATTTACTGGTAGATATACTGTCAACATTTACGTTCATAAAAATTAAGTCTACAATTGTCCTACAGTTATTTCCAAATACTTTACACTAATTTATTGCAAATGAAACTACAAATTTGGAAAATTCTCATATTGTGATTTAGAATGAGATATATATGTAGTTCTGAAACTATAAATGAACATAAAATGGTGATTTTTACTGTTGTTTAGACCCTAGTCGATCACCCAATTGAGACTCGGGATCATATCGTATGTCTTAAGTGAGTAGGACATTAGATGGGAAGTCCAGTGTTTTATATTCGATCTCACTACATTCTATTCAATATATGTTTATGACAAGTGATTTGTTAGGTTATGTTAGAAACCTGTTTTGCCATCACTAGTACAGTGATAAGGACTAAGTATATGATAACCTATACATTTGAACGTGATAATATATGAAGTATACTTAAGTTTATAACTTATCAAATTATCCAACAACTCTAAAAATGTTCCTAAGTTAAAAAATATTCCTCCGTCATATATCAAAGATGAAGCGGTTTCATGGTAGCAAACATCGGGTTTCGGTTTTCAAATATAACCAGGGTAATCAGCTGTTTAGTTTAAGGGTTCAAGCCGATTTACTTTTTTTAAATATATATGAAATTGTAGATCACCAACAAAGATGACCTGTGTTGAATGATTTGGGGCCTGTTCGAGTTAGACGGGGATGGTGTAACGAACCAGCTAACTTTGAAGTCACACTTCGTGTTCAGAACCTAACGTGGATTACCCTTTCGTCGTATCCAGTTACCATGGCTAGTTCGATGGCCGTACAACACAAAGGCTATCGTAGGAATATATCAGTAACAGTAGGTACAAGGAAGAAATTGTGACCACCACTGTATGTGTCAGTCCATGGTGTGTGATTAATTGACACGCGCCAGTTGTTTTTGACCCTGAGGAGGATCAATGGACTGTTCGGCATTCATTGACCAGACTGCCGGATAATTTGGTCAGGATTCAGTGACATTTCTTTGGCTCTACAAGATTACAAGTTCCTTTCAGGCTGAATAAATTGCAAGTTAACCATGTATATGATAAATAGTGTCGTTCTATATTGAATAGGAAAACGCAGTAAAAGAAATCGTACAGATGGTTCATTAAATGATTTTCTTTCCAGTTAGGAGTAACTAAATCATAGAGCAAGCTTGTGTTAATGAAACAACTAAGTTATTAAACAATGCTAAAGACTTTGAGCTCAAGGTATTCCGGCTACTAATAGAGTTCTATATGGCTGAATTGAGTAAACGAGATAATCAACAGGTAGTAACCAGTGGTATGCTAATCTTAGCATTCATTGAAATTAGCCAATTAGGAAATATGATGTGGACTTGAAAAATAGTAAAACCATAATCTAGTGCAATGTTTGACATTGGATATTAAGAAGCAGTCAAGTTTATTCATGTATATCTACAATAGAAGCTAAGTTATAGGGAAATGTATTATATTTCTGAACACAAACCTCTAGTAGTAGAAGCATTGGTAACCATCGGTGGGCCCAATTCGGTATAATTCATTGATTTTGACGGCGCACTACTGTATGCGTTTGATATATTTGAAGGGTTTTTAGTCTTCGGCTGTAAATAGTCATCTGGTAAGCCACGTGGTACAGGCGGTGGCGGTGGTCGCTCAAGCAGATAGTCTGAAACAGTATTTTTTCTAAAACTGTTTTGTGAATTGTCATGTGTGCGCGGGCTGAATTTAGTGCTCATTTCCTCTAAATTTTTACCACCAAAATTGGAATGATTGCGTGATTTATTATAAGAAGGTGATATTCCTGACCATTCTGAAGTTTTAGTAGTGGTAGAAGCAGTAGCTGGGTCAGATAAAGCAACAGAACTTATTGATTCAGGATGATCTGACTGTCTAGGAATATCGTTTAACCAAGAATCCTCTCGGGAAGCCAAAGGAGCCTTGTGTTGTTTTACCAAACCTGTTAGAAAATGAGATACAAAGTTCAAATAACATGCCAACTATAAATTGTTGCGTTTATTTAAAAAAAATGATCTAACGTTAAATTACTGATATACTGTATGCTTTGATATGAATGAGAACTGATCATTAAGATACTAATTCTCGTTGAACAAATACTGGGATAGTAATAATGATTTAATAGTCGTAATAAATGGAATAACCAGAAAGATAAAGGAAAGTGGCAGTCTGGGTAATCCATTTTTCAAAACATTATTACCATTATTTTCTATGTAGATATGAGCAGTTGGGTAATGTGTTTCCTTAATTCCCCTAATCTAAAGTTTCAGTTTTATCAATAAATTTTGACATATATTATGCTATCCCTAAATCACTTTAAGTTAATTATGAGTGGCATTAAGGTTTCTACCGTAAACGACTTGTTTCGTTGTCGGTCGTGATCTGTATGCTAATGTATTTCGTCATGTATTTTTTGAACTGACTCGGAATTGTTGACGGATTAGAATTTGTAGTATTTTCTCTACAGTCACACCCTCTTTAGGTAACCAATTAGCATCCTCGTAGAAGATCATTGGTCGCACAATAGGATAGTTTCTATTTGTAAGACCGAGTTTGTACGGAACGAACTCATTCAGTCTCAAGATTACATTAAGTAGTCTAGCATACCAAGGACGTTTACCAGTTCTGAAACAACTTCCCTATATATCTAAAAACTGAACCAGTAGGCTTAAGAAGGACATAATAATACCAGTAAAAGCTGTATTAATAACAAAAAATTTTATTGTAGGAAAGTCACACCATCAGTTGTGCATTATTGAAATAAATTCCTCTTTAACATACATTTAGATTGTAATTATCCAAAATTTTGTTTCAAAAATACTTTTTCAATGGTTATTATCATCCACGAAAGTTTACTGTCAGTTTAGGTGCTATTAGTATAGTGATTTCTATTGTTCTTGAATTGATTACAAGAAGTAGCTATTTAAGTTAGAATTCACCTTTTTATACTGCTTTAGCTACAGAGTTTTCACGGCGATTTCAACAAACCAGTAATATGTTTCTTAGAATTTTCATTTTATGAGCCTTAGTTATTACTGCAATATTATACAACGTTAATAATGATTTTAAAGATGAAGATTCTTCTATTAAGCCTTCGGTTTCAAAGAGCTAAAAAACCGACTAACTGTTTATATAAGTTGAAAAAGCTCCAAATTTATTCATTGCTTTCACTGAGGTGTTTAGTACACAGATACTTTGTTCGTCACAAAACTAATGAAATTCGGCAAATGTGTACAGTTTTTCACATACAAAGTAGAAGAAAAGTTGAGAGTTTTCTGTATCCAATCCGGTCGTTTAGTTTACTTTAAAGAAATTAAGAAAAACCCAGTGAAATTAGTACAATCTTCGGAAACTGTGTACTCATGGCCAGCCAAGAAATCTGACCTTAGTTTCTGGTTCAAAATAAGACAGGAAGAAAAATAAGTGGTTTATATTTCGAACCAATTAATAATTAATTTTAAACACCGGTCTTCTACAATCCATATTTCACACTCACGAGGGAAAAATGTATTTAATATAACACGTGTACTACTGAGCTCTTAAAAAAATTCACAAAGTGAATAAGTTGATCAAGCTGTCAACCAACAAAAAAACTAGGTGTGTTTTCTTATTTTCTGACGTTTTTGACTAATATTATTTGCGGTGCTCAGTGAATGATATTGAAAGGGAATTTATGAGTTGATGAACAAATTCTTAAATCACCACAGATAACTACTTTCTAAATACATCTCTCTTATGTCAGGTGTTTAAAGTTTTAGGAATGTCTAAACTGAAGCCTAAATTTGCTAGCACGTATGAGGTAAGAATATGTGGTGAGGATACATAAACATGTACACAGGAGTCAAAATGTCATCACTAATCTACTTGAACAGACCTATTTATATCATTTTAGAAAAGATTTGAATTATTCCATTGTTAACTTATCATTTTTGACTTCGTAAAAAGTTAAATAACCATTCCATCAAGTCTATGAGAATGGCAAGGATTTGTTAAGAAGAATTCGCTGTTGGATCTAAAATAAGTCACATTAAAAATTTACGTTTACATGGCGAAAGATTTACAAACAATATGTATACTATGGTTTGTGATCAAAAGAAGAAAATTGTAAACGTGAAGTCACTCATCCAACTTAGAGATTATTCTTACTTATACTGTTTGAGTTGACTTTGTCATGAAAATTTGATCTCTTCCATATTCTACCTAACCCTGAAAAATTTGTATCAGAGGTATTTGACAAACCTCCAGTCCCAACTCCATGCTGCCGTGATTGCCAGGTAGAATGGTTCCCAGCATTACCATTATTTGATCGAATGGGTAGCAAAAGTTGTGTTTCTGTATGTTCATCAGTCTGACCAACGGAAAATGGATCAGATCTTTCAATAGGCTGGTCAGATAAAGCTCGAAGTAGCTTTCCTGAAGAATAAGGTCTAGTCATACTTGGTTCTGTTAACATAGTATGATGACGGTGTAAACTATTATTCCTGTGTGGCGTTGTACCTCCATCAGGGACCCCGCGTACGGACAACATCGGTTGGAGTTCATGAGACTCAGAAGAAAAGTTCCCAGAACCTGAATTTGTGTTATGAAAGTAATTGATTGCATATTGATCACCCTGTATTAGGAATTTTAAAATAATTTAGTTACTCATATTAAAATTATTGTAAAAAGACAAGGAAACAAATAATATGCAAACGTTGAACAATAAAGCGAATAATCAGTATAGAAAACCAACATTTTTGTAATGGAACAGCCATTCCCTTACAATCTGCGTTGTTGTTGATTATGTACGGATTCGCTAGATCTAACTAGTCAGAATGAATGATTACTTTTCAGTATGGCAAAAGTTGAGGTTTTGACAAAGTTTGTTTTTATTTTTTATGATTTGTGGTACGGATGTAAGTAGTTCCGAGGAAATTATTTTGTCAATGTTATGAATCAAATCCATTAAAAATCTGGTCAGTAACAAGAGGGAGATACACTCAACTGGTGAGCATTAAAAACCATCAACTATGCAAGGATACTTTGCCTCCTAAATCAAAATTTATATACCCAACCTCTCAACTGTTAATTTGCACTAAAAGGCTAACAACAGCAGGACTAAGACAAAATAGCAAGAAGTTCAGAAGTAAACAACAACCAAGTACAGTAAGATATTAATTAAACTAGGGACAATGGTAGATGAAGTTATACTGTTTTGGATTCGTTTTTTTAGTAAAACATGCCTTCCTTGATATATTAAAAAGAGTATGCCTCTGAGCTCTAGGAGACCAGAATTCTAAAGAAAATGAAAAGATGTTACTGTGAATTATATATATATATATATATATATATATATATATATATATATATATATATATATATATATATATATATATATATATATATATTTACTGGAAGTTTCACCTCCCATCTAATATTTAATTCAGTAAACTATAATGTCTTACAAAAACAACTAAACCACAAATCATTATGGGTATCTTTACTTAGCCAGCTTTACATTGGGGTGGATAGCTAAGTGCAGACATTTTGCATTGCCCCGACTTTAGTGATAGGGGCTCAAAGTTATATGACACTTTATCATACCATGGAAACAGTCTCCAAAGGATGAACGAATAATAGACAGGAGACATGAAGCAGATTAATTAGTTTTTATAGAGAATATCAATTCTTTATCTTATAATCCAAATGTATTCGTTTCTTAAGTATGAGCTCGCTTATCTATAGAACGATATAAATTTAATGTTCTAAGAAAGAAAAAATCCAGAAACGAAGAACAATTTACTGTATAAACAGCTTTTAAAGTGAAGACAATGAATTAGAAGGAAAACCAGAAATTTTTACATCAAAGATGAGCCATAAAATATCCCAATATAAATGAGTGTTTTGTAAGCAGTGCCTTAAAGCAGTTCAAGTTAGCTAAAAACGTACGAATATGCGGTAATTACATAGCGATTATTTTTATTGTGGAGATCTAAGATATACGGACTATACACATTCAAATCTATTGAATCACATCTGATCTCTTGAGCCACGTAGTATTCTTTTTCTGACACCAAAATACAAACCAGAATTTGGAAAGTACAAGAACATAATGTTGTCGAATAATATCAGTTTTTCTCTTATTTTGATGCATTTCTTTCGACATAAAAGTAGCGGCTAAAATGTCGAGGCTAAATGCTGTATTGAACTTTCACTTAATTTCCTTATAGAAAGTCTGATACGACAAAAAGGCTTGAAGATTTATGAAACATTACGTATTGAGGTAAAACCGATTATGCAGTTTAGTATACTTTTATTTATATATGACGAATTAACTTCGGGGTGTAACAGAAACGAAAGATAATAGATTATTTTGGGTCAAATTATTCTGGTGCATAAACTATGAAATTCTGTCTTACAGTGTTAATAGTATTTGGTACATGAATGGAACCAGTGAATAAATAATGGGGAAAATTATGCATTACTTTTACACTTAGTTGTTTAAGTAAGGATATATTAGAAACAATGGTTTTATTACTGATAGATGTATTTCTTTAAAAAATCTCTCCTTGATAAAACTTATGCATGTTCAGTTGATGAATTGAAACAACTAAAGTTACTTATTTGATATATATATATATATATATATATATATATATATATATATATATATATATATATATATATAACTCCGCCTGTAGCTCTAATAGGGTTACTGCCGGTCCCAAGCCCGGGTAAAGGAGGAGGGTTGGGCATGGGGTTAGCGTCCCCATCCCGTAGAAAACTAACTCGCTAAAAAAACGCTTACCAGAAAAAATAATCCAAACCATTTAAACTCTGCCCTGGGAGTTAGAAGGTCTTCAGTTAGAAGAATTATGACGCTTCATGGTGAAAGCCGAGTTCCTTCGGAAGCCACGAGGCCGATGCCCCTTCTAACAACCAGAGCAAAAATTTTTATAGGTACATGGAACGTTCGAACAATGTGGGAAACCGGGAAGACCAGTCAAATAGCAATGGAAATGAGGAGATACAACTTAGCAGTACTGGGAATCAGCGAAACCCACTGGACCCAAGCTGGACAGAAAAGGCTAGCTACGGGAGAGATGCTGCTATACTCCGGTCACGAGGAGGACAATGCTCCACACACTCAGGGAGTCGCTCTTATGCTGTCCAAAGTAGCACGAAATGCACTTGTAGGATGGGAGTCTCACGGATCCAGAATCATCAAAGCATCATTCAAAACAAAGAAGGAGGGGATCTTAATGAATATTATCCAATGTTATGCACCCACCAATGATAGCAACGACGACATTAAAGATCAGTTCTACGAGCGGCTGCAGTCAATCATTGAGAAATGCCGAAGAAAGGACCTAACTATTCTGATGGGAGATCTAAATGCCAAAGTCGGAATAGACAACACCGGATATGAAGATATCATGGGACGACATGGACTGGGAGAGAAACGAAAATGGAGAAAGATTTGCAAATTTGTGTGCATTCAACAAATTGGTCATAGGAGGCACAATATTTCCACACAAGCGTATACACAAGGCTACATGGATCTCACCGGACCACACTACAGAGAACCAAATAGATCATATTTGCATCAACAAAAAATTCCGAAGGACAATGGAAGATGTGAGAACCAGGAGAGGTGCTGACGTAGCTTCAGATCACCACCTAGTTGTAGCCAATTTAAAACTGAAGCTAAAAAAGAACTGGACAAGTGGACAAACAGCACTACAAAGGTTCAATACAGCCTTCCTTCGAGATACTGACAAACTCAATGAATTCAAGATAGCTCTCAACAACAGGTTCCAAGCCTTACAAGATCTACTGAATGAAGAAGAAACTACTATGGAGGACAACTGGAAAGGCATCAAGGAAGCATTAACTTCAACGTGTCAAGAGGTTCTGGGCCTAAAGAAACACCATCATAAGGAATGGATCTCTATAGAAACACTGGACAAGATCAAAGAAAGGAAGAACAAGAAGGCAGCAATTAACAACAGCCGAACACGAGCAGAGAAAGTCCAAGCACAAGCTGAATACATAGAAGCAAACAAACAAGTGAAGAGGAGCATTAGAGCCGACAAGAAGAAATACGTGGAAGAACTAGCAACGACGGCAGAAAAAGCTGCTAGAGAAGGAAATATGAAACAGCTTCACGATACAACGAAGAAACTAGCAGGGAAATACAGTAAACCAGAGAGGCCGGTCAAAGACAAAGAAGGCAAGCCAATCACCGAAATTCAACAACAGCGTAACAGATGGGTGGAATACTTCGAGGAACTCCTGAATAGGCCGGCTCCAATGAATCCACCGGACATCGAAGCAGCACACATAGATCTTCCTATAGATGTCAACCCACCAACGACGGAAGAAATTAGAATGGCCGTCAGACAAATCAAGAACGGGAAAGCAGCAGGACCCGACAACATACCAGCTGAAGCACTGAAATCAGACATCGAAGCAACCACAAGCATGCTATACCTTCTATTCAAAAAGATTTGGGAGGAGGAACAAGTGCCAATGGACTGGAAAGAAGGACACCTCGTCAAGATTCCAAAGAAAGGAGATCTGAGCAAATGTGAAAACTACAGAGGCATTACACTACTGTCAATACCAGGGAAAGTCTTCAACAGAGTGTTGCTGAACCGGATGAAGGATGCAGTAGACGCCCAACTTCGAGATCAACAAGCTGGATTCCGTAAGGATCGGTCGTGCACAGACCAAATTGCAACACTACGGATCATCGTCGAACAATCAGTTGAGTGGAACTCATCACTATACATCAACTTCATTGATTATGAAAAGGCATTCGACAGTGTAGATAGGAGGACATTATGGAAACTTCTTCGACACTACGGAGTTCCTGAGAAGATTGTCAACATTATCCGGAACTCATACGACGGACTACAGTGCAAAGTAGTGCATGGAGGACAGCTGACAGATGCATTCCAAGTAAGGACTGGAGTCAGACAAGGCTGTTTACTCTCTCCCTTCCTCTTTCTTCTGGTGGTCGACTGGATTATGAAGACCTCGACATCTGAAGGAAAACACGGAATACAATGGACAGCTCAGAATCAATTAGACGATTTGGACTTCGCAGACGACCTAGCCCTCCTATCACGTACACACGAACAGATGCAGATGAAGACAGCCAGTGTAGCAGCAGTCTCTGCATCAGTAGGCCTCAGCATACACAAAGGGAAAACCAAGGTCCTCAAATTCAAGCGGAGAACAGCAATCCAATCACTCTTGATGGCGAAACTCTGGAAGATGTAGAGTCCTTCACATACCTGGAAGCATCATCGATGAACAAGGAGGTTCAGATGCAGACGTAAAGGCGAGGATCGGCAAAGCAAGGGTCGCATTCCTACAATTGAAGAACATATGGAACTCAAAACAACTTTCAACCAATATCAAAGTGAGAATCTTCAATACGAACGTCAAGGCAGTTCTACTGTATGGAGCTGAAACTTGGAGAACTACAACAACCACAATCAAGAAAGTACAAGTATTTATAAATAGCTGCCTACGCAAGATACTCAACATCCATGGCCGGATACCATCAGCAATAGCCTTCTGTGGGAGAGAACAAACCAACTTCCAGCTGAAGAAGAAATTAGGAAAAGACGATGGAAATGGATAGGACATACATTACGCAAATCGTCAAACTGCATCACGAGGCAAGCCCTAACTTGGAACCCTGAAGGGAAGCGAAAAAGAGGAAGGCCAAAGAACACATTGCGTCGGGAAATAGAAGCAGATATGAAAAGGATGAATTACCGGAGCTGGAAAGGATTGCCCAGGACAGGGTTGGATGGAGAATGCTGGTGAGTGGCCTATGCTCCTTCACGAGGAGTAACAGGCGTAAGTAAGTAATATATATATATATATATATATATATATATATATATATATATATATATATATATATATATATATATATATATATATATATATATATATATATATATATATATATATATATATATATAAAGCCATAACAAATGTATGCATGTGAATGTGATATGAAAGATTACAATATTTGGTTGAATTTTATTTATATTTTAAGCTTACTTCAATGTATAGATAACGGCCAGGAGTTTTGCAAAAAGTATTAAATGTACGCATAAGTTCAATAAATGTAGGACGAGACTCGTAATCTTCCATCCAACCTGAATACAATGTGATACAGATAAAGGTTTTGAAGTTTTGATTATATCTATTGATCTTTAATTTTATTACTTCCTAAATAGTTACTTAAAATGGATTGATACAAATTTTGTAAACGATATATTTTTGACTGGTTATCAATTGAAAAAGGAAAAAACTAGTATAGAATATATTTTACTATTGGGTGAACAGACGTAACTCAATAGACTACTTTGTCAGAGCAAAATGATTTCAAACGTAAAAGTCTGTTAAATACAAATGTCATAATTTTGTTGCAGAGACTAAAAGGTAATTGTTAACTGAATATCAAATGTATCTCGTTCAATCACATACTCTGATATATATCACTATACATTTCATAACTTATTAGATAATTTGACATTTACGGTTAAGGTATAACTTGCTGAATAAAAATTTTCTGTTTGTGCTAATATCTATTACTGATGAGTTTTTCACAATGATTAGTTAGAGCAGATTCGACTGAAAACCATATGGTAATGAATAATATGCTCGCCAAAGGTATTACATAGCGTAAATCCGCAGACTCGAAGTAGATTATCAATGAAATGTTTATTACACCGCTAAAACTGTGCTGTTAAAGAATGTATTTTCTAATTTCGTATTTAGCTAACAGCACACGTGCAATAAATTCTTATAAATCTTCTGCATTTTACTGTGTTAGTGTGCTAATGCATAAGTCAACATTAGAATCCAGGTACATTCAGGTTTCAAGTCCCGATTATGACGAAATATATGTCTTGATTTCTAGTGTTAACCAGAATTCATCTATTTAAAGATATATGTTATTACAAAAACGAAACATTTGTAGATCAATATGAACTCCACTATAGAGGTTCCTAATCTATATTCATTGACGACAAACTAAATTAGATCTTTTCCAATAGTAATGACGGAAATGCGGAAGAGTACATTTGTTTTATTTTATACAAGAAACGGATTTCCAACATAACATGAGGGTGCTGGATATTTACAGAGGACTAGTTTTTATGATAAACCTCTAAAGTGGAAATGCAAAAACAACATTTTTTTTCCTTGGAAATTTTAGTTTTTTCAAATTTTTTAATAAACATCGCTAAACTACTGTTCAAACTGTTTGTTCCTACAAATGAAGTGAGCTCTTTAAAACGTCTGTGTACCTAGCACCAAGTTTATAAACGATTGAGAGCAATTCAAAATTTTTAGGGTTTGATACCATAGGTACCCTCGTACCATGAAGGCGTAAGCTGTATGTTGTGGATGCGGAAGAATAGACCAATAATTATCATGTTAAGTCCAATGGTGTCCTTGGACTTTAAATGGACATTTCCTATTAGTCGGCATTTGTTCACTTGTTGAATATTGTACAAAATGTTGTTTTCTATTTTATGGTACGATGTGGTATGCTTGATTGGTATATAAACAAAGTATGTTTGAAATATAATGATTCATATCTCCGAGGCTGTGACTTGTGTTCTGGACTCAACTGACTGGGCTAGACAGGGAAGTGAGACCAATCGAGACTCTAGGCCGTCCGTACGTGTTTACGTGTCATTGGATCGATCGATAAGTACGCTGCTCTCTAATTTTCCAGTCAAGGACACAACAATTAGCATAGGGTAAAAGTCGGCCGCAACTTAAAGTCATAACACTGTAATATACATAAAATTGTTATTATTAATTCTAATGCACATAAGTTATGCAATTCACTTACATTTTACCAATACCATATAAACGTCCAAAGTGCATATGTCAGGTTGAGTCAAACGTCCACCTTTGATTACATGATCCTTAATATCTACAGTATCAACATCTTCATATGGTCGTTTGCCAAATGTAAATATTTCCCATAACGTCACACCTAATAAAAGTAAGTATGAACCGGATGATTTGTTTAATCAATATATTTGACAAGAAAAATTTCGATGTTTAACCGCGGAGGAATTATTACTGGAGTGGAGATTATATCTCGTAAATAATGTGCACCCTTTGATAACAAACTGGAGAAATGATCGAAAAATACATCATTAATATTATTATTAATAGTAGTAATAATAATAATAACGAAGACATTTTTTTCCGCATTAATTACAGTTCAGCTAAATGAACAAAATTTGAAAGCTCAAAAGTACATACGTTAGATAAAGGAAAACAGACTATTTCAGATAGTTTTTCACTATTCAATTGCTAAAATTCTGGAAATGTTAGGTACACCTTTTCACAAACATCTGCTGCTACTATATTGGTTTCTTCATCAGTTCTGTGAAAAATATACAGAAGACATATAAAGGCTGTATGACAGTGAACGTTTAAGTTGAATGAGAAGAGTGTAAGCAACATCTTTGACATTTTACACACATGCACGCTAGGCTTAGAATAATCATATGTTCATTCTGAAGAAGACTACTATAGTTGTTTAAAACTGTGACAATTAACCAAGAATGATTAATCTATAGAACTCAGTTTAATTCACTGAAACTTTGACTATGAATCCTTTTGAATAAAACATAAAAATGCGTGTATTCAGCCACAAATTTTGTTCTATTTATTGTATCAAATGAATCCCGTATCTTTGCTTTCTACTTTGCGTAGAGCCACGTAAGGTTTTATTCACTCATAACATTTATTTGTAATGAAAATCGACATTAAGAAAGATATCCGGAAAATCAAGTTAGTTATTCACAAATACGTTAGATGACAAGAAATAGAAGGCTATAAGACAGTCAACTGAGAAATGAGAATTATATTAAAGTTGGGGTGTTCAAAGTATTGTTTGTCCAATATAGGTACTTTCATTGAGTAATAATCGATATCATACACATTATGAACATTGTAATTGTATCGGACTGCCGTTCTGAAGATTTTGCAAATAGTTTAAATTTGAAAGTTGACAATATAACAGATATATTAATCAGATAAACCTAGATTTAAATACAGTCAAGCGATCCATAAATGGACAAAATAGTCGTCCATATTTTAGTTCAGTAAGATCTGAGATAAAATCTGTACCGTCTAGGTGCGGGCTGTCACACTGCTATGATTTGATAGTAACATCACATGGATGAATTCCATTTTTAAAACTCAATTTAGAAAATTAATTTAAACGCTGTATACCTTTATTTACTTAATATGAAATTGTAAATATTGACACATTAGTGAAGTAAATACCATTTTTAAAGCAACACATGCACAAACAAGTGATTTCACTTGAATATTTGAGTTTTATTATCAAATTACAAAGGACGCATAGAACAGCAAATTATATACTGTTTTTCCAGTTCTCAATAGAGTTAGTAAATTCATTTATTTTAAAGTTAAACTGGATAGTTTTCAGTATTCGTTTGTTCTTCCACTATAATGTTGATGTATAAATATTTTAGAAACGATATTTCTGCATAAACGATTCCACCGAAAATATTTTATTTACATCTATTTAAGCCCTGAATCCACTTAAGAGAATATTATTAAAGAAATAGAAAGAAAGATTGAAAGCATGTGTTATAAATAAATAAATTATAAAAGCATCACATAACTGTCAGTACAAGGAAAAGTTTTCAACAGAGTGTCGCTGAATCGGATGAAAGATTCAGTAGACTCTCAGCTTCGAGATCAGTAGGCTGGATTTTGTAAGACTCGATCGAACATACAAATTAAGAAAAGGCATTGGTGATTGATAGGATACACACTTCAGATATCATAAAAGTGCATCACGAGGTAAGTTGTTACTTGGAATCCTCAAGGATAAAGGAAAGGCGACAAATCAAAGAACAGATTGCGTCGGGAATAGGAAGCAGACATCAAAAGAATGAACAGCATTTTAGAATATCTGTAAGGAGAGAACAGAAACGAGTTGGTTGGCGAATCCTGGTTGGCTGTGAGGCGTAACTAGAGTAAGTGAACAATTATTGTAGAATTTCTGACAGAGAACCAAACATAAATGAAATAAAATGGATTATCATGAATTCTTAATTCAACAGACAAAAACTAGTCAAGTGTTTACTGAACAAAATAAGTATTTATAATTTCAGACTATTAAAAACACTTATCAGTCAAAATATGCATACATCGGATCAAAGTAACATTTATCAGTGATATAACCAAATCTCTTAAAGGGTAAATTGTTACGTAAAAGAACATTTATGTTTGCAAAGGTTGAATGGCTCATAAGCTTAGTTGATCAATTCAACATAGAATTAATATGAACTAGAGAAACATGTATTACTTTTAAAATGAACGATACAAAATTTATTCAGTGAACATTGGAACCTAATAAAGTATGTAACTGATTGAAACCCTTGTTTAGGCATGGTTGTTCAGTAAATGAATTTGCATTTACAAGTAGAGACTATTGTCATACATTGAAACAAGTAGACATATATTGTAGAATTTTGAAGTTCTTCTGCTCTGTTTATTATGTTTTTTGTCTAATTATTACACATTAAAATACAACTGTCGACCAACACCAAGGTCAGGATTTTCAATACAAATGTCAAGACAGTTCTACTGTATGGGGCGGAAACCTCGAGAACTACGAAAGCCATCATCCAGAAGATATAAGTGTTTATTAACAGCTGTCTACGCAAAATACTTCAGATCCGTTGGCCAGGCACTATTAGCAACAACCTACTGTGGGAGAGAACGAACCAGATCCCAGCGGAGGAAGAAATCAGGAAGAAGCGCTGGAAGTGGATAGGAAACACATTGAGGAAAGCACCCAACTGTATCACAAGACAAGCCCTCACGTGGAATCCTCAAGGCCAAAGGAGGAGAGGAAGACGAAAGAACACATTACGCCGAGAAATGGAGACAGAAATGAGGAAAATGGACGACACTTGATTGAATTAGAAAGGAAGGCCTAGGACAGTGTGGGTTGGAGAATGCTGACCAGAGGCCCATGTTCCATTGGGGGTAACAGGCGTAAATATATATAATATATATAAATGAAATATAAATAAAGTGTATAGCTTTAATAACAGTTAGTAGACTTGTCAACAAGTTGATGGAAAATGTTTGTCGCTCAGTATTAGGATTTAAGAGATGTATTCATTGAGCTGGATGGTTTAGTCGTGGAACTTTCATTACCAGCACATATGTCAAGAAGAAGTATGTGCTGATATTGTTTTTTTCTATGAAGATAATAAAGGTTTTATGAACAAACCGTTGAACATAGGATCTCCAAAAACATGTTAATGCTATATTAGTGATAAATTACGTTTAAGGCACAGCACAAATAATTTTCTTGTTCCAGCAATCGGTTACGTATTTTCCTAAATTTCAGAACATTTTGTCGAAAGAATAAATTTAACATTTGACTTGGCCGCAAATTTTGTTTACTGACAACACTTGAAATATGTCTACGAAAACTAGTCATTCAAGAGTAAAATGTATACAGTTCCTCGGTACATTTAGATTGCTTTGTGTACCCAAAAGATAATACTGTGATTCTGTAAAATCCTAAATATTTCTAAATAAGACTAGGGTCAACTTATGGTTCAGCCTATTCATTCGCAATTGATTTGGAAGAGTTTAATAATCAGAAATATTCATACTAATAAATATTTACGTCAATAAGCAAAGTATCGTTCAGGCAGACATGATGTGGATTGCTACAAGACAAAATGTGTTGTAAGGGACTTTATTTAAAATGGTAATTATTAAGTTCAAAAATATGACCTCGTGTTAATCACACTGAGATCTGAAAATAAAATTAGGAAATCTGATTTGCTGGGAATTAAGGTAATGTGCTTAATATTTAACCACTGAGAATCTTATTATTCAATAATGGACCAACATACTGTTATTGTTTAAATTACGTAGTACTGTCTTTTTTTATTCTCCCTTCCGGTCAACTATACATTAACCAAAATCTGATTTATACCTGTGCGTTTTTGTTACATAATAAATCAGTGCAAAAAAATACAAATTTTCTATTAACATGATTAGAAGATGAAGAAATACGACAAGGATGTGATAGAGTTTCTGGAGCAAATTAACAAGCAATAACCACTGATACTTCGTTGACTTGTGTACATTTTTGATAGTTCAAGACATTATTGAAATCAAATTTTGGTGATGGCTAACATTAAAATCTAGGACGCCAGATCCGTTCTATCTAGAACTATTTAGCTGGATCTACTCACTCCCGTGTTGATGTTTACTCCTTTGACTTCGAATGTACAACAAATTATCCATTTATCAACTGATTTCACATAGCCACTGGCTTGTGCTCAGAAACCACACGTGAGAAAAGTAACTGGTTAATTACAGTCATTGACATTAAAAACAAGAGGGTTTAAACCTCTACAAATGAATTAAAATCCAGTAGATTATTTTCGTGAAATACTATCAATTTTTTTGTATGACTAATGGTTAGGAAAGCTTTACATTGATGCATTCCAGAACGTAACGAATCAATGATACTTATATACACATGTATGTGTAACCCTAAAATTATCTGGTCAAAAAGTACTTTCAAATTTGAATATTTCTCAATTTTTACATAGGTGATTCTCCGAAATTAAGATCTGAACAGAGTTGATAAATGGTGCTGAAATACAGCCTAACCCGTGATAGGATTTCAGCTTAATGTTATTTGACACCGGTATGCAAACAATGAAGCATAAATGAAAAATAGATGGCAATAATAATTACTAATTCCTCCCTGATAAACACACGTTGAGGAAGATGGTCACTTAGCATCCTGGATTGATTGGATTTAGACTTACACATCACTGGATTCCGTCTCAGAAGTCTAGAGGTTAGACGTTCGCGTAAGAGACTGGAGATCCTGGATTCGATTCCCGGCTGAGAATCTGTGGTTGCATACAGTTGAAGAGTCGCTTAAAAGAGTGATACGACCATCCACTGCTTCTAGGTTCTCAATGGTTATCTGATGTAGATCACTTCGTGACTTCAATAACTTGAGAAATTTGAAATAAAACTGTCTTTATAAAGTTTGACAGAAATTGGGCACCGAGTATAGAGAAGCCATTATATGTAAAAATTATATTCGAAATAATCTTAGCGATTGAAATTTAAATATTCCATCGTTTATCCTTAAGAAGTCCAGACAAGTTTGCTGGACGCAATGTTTGTATTATTCAAATTTCAATCGCTGAGTTTATTTCAAATATAATTTTCCTATATAATGAATTTATAAAAGTTCTATTAGTTTTAATCTGATTGAAGAGCTTTACAAATCACCTTGTCAACTTTTATTCCAATAACTACCTTGTCTTTATTGATAGTAGTTGAATGAAAAACTTCAAATGTGTATAAAACTGGACTATTAGGAATGTGTAGATGATTGACTGAGAAACACTTTCAATTCAATGAAGTCAGAAGAAAAGTGGATATGGGTACTTATTACCTACTATCATTCAATATACTGACCGATTTTAAAGTGAACCATATTTTTAGTAATCTAATTACATGTCATGTATCTATAGAGAGTATTCTTGAAATAGTTTGTTTTCAGATTACCTTGAAATTGTTTAGTTTTTAGGTTGAAAGTGTTTTATAAGTATTTGCCAAACGGACACCACAGTTTTTTAATAGTAAATAGGTTTCTTTTTTAAACTTAAAAAAAAAACATTAAACGAGAGGTATTGTATTTTAGACTTAAAGTACACTTATTGTTTATTGACTGAATGTCTAACTGTATGAAGATTAGTCGATAAATGGAAATGGATTATTTTTATATCATGTCAAAAAAAGTTGTGACGTGAAAGTAAATATAATAGTTAAACAATGTAGTTTATAAAAGAACTGGCCAGTTGGATTAACAAATTTACCGACATTTCATTTCTGACAGTATTCAGTTTTCTAAAATAAACTCGTTAGTGTTAACTGAGATTAACAAAATACAGAATCGTAAGAAAAAAATGTTTGTTTTAAGTCGCTTAAACAGTGTTATACTGGCTAATCTATGGGATATAAATAAAATGTGTTCCACAGATGGTTTATGTGTTTCTGTTTTAGTTTTAGTGATACTTTAACAATGAAATTATTTGAAATGAGTGACATTCTAATCTTTCTAAAGTTGAACTGAAGCCGAAGAAAAAATGAGATAAATCCATTTTGTCCAAAAAATCTTCGACTATTTCAAAATGAAAATACCAAAAGATGGACAAGATTCTACAACGGCAAGAATAATTTAGAGACATCAAGCAGTAACTCTTTTTCGAAACGTATAGCATCATTGCATCTTCAGCGAGAATTGAACTTATTCACCAATTAAATCTTGTGTTTACATGTTATAATACTATGAAATACAAAACCAAATAAAACCGTATATTTTTCACAAAATCTACTTTAAAGGTTTTTAATTATTACTCTCACTTCGACCATTTCAAGTACAACTTACAACAGAATTCAATTATTTTTTCAGTTCAAAAAGATTTAGATGATTGACTAAAGATCTATTTGTGTCTATTAGATACAGGTAACCATAAGAGTACCAATTGTTCGAACACTGATCACAATGTTGGTTTATTCTGAAACACGACCTTCCTGAGATTGATTGTAAGTCATTAAAAATCTTTAAGGTCTTGGAAAATTATAATTTTTATTACTACTTCAAAAAACATAACATAAAATCAGTACTCAGCTTTCTAAAATTCCTCTTACCGTAACTCCAAACATCTGTTTTGTGAGAATAAATCCATATTGTAGTGTTTCTATAGCTAACCAACGTATTGGCACACGACCAGCTTTTACGATGACACTATCTTCATCACGGCGTTCTAACATTTTAGCTAAACCAAAATCAGTAATCTGTACATGTTCACGTGTCTGAACGAGAACGTTTCGAGCAGCCAAATCTCTGAAAGTTGGAGAAATATACAAAAACGTGATCATCGTTTAAAAAATAAATTAAATACTTCAATAGCTCCTACTTATATTAAATTCCACTACGAAAATGATTAGATATAGAAGACCTTTCAAGTGTAATATACGGGGTACATTTCGTTTTATTTTGGGTTAGCCAACCAATTGTTAATGTGACATTGTTCACATTGAAACGCAAACCAAGAATTAATCCCACTGAAGTTCTAAGGATTCACTGCTGTAAGAGACGAAATCTATTGTCTGTAGTTGGCAACTTTCCGTATCAGTAAGAAAAGAAAAGAACGTAAAATGAAGTGTTTTTTTTTGCTCCTTTTACTTAATATAAAAATAAGCAATCTACTACGTGAAAGTTTCCAAAGTGATACAACTCTTTATTATTGAATATTGTGAGTTAGTAAGTAGTAGATAGATAAGTTCGTGACCAAAGTGAAAAGACATTTCATATTAACACATGACCTCCAAGGTTGATTACATTGATAAGTACATCTAAGCTCAGTTAACACGTTGTGCAACAGCTTATCATGACACATTAGATAAGGTAATACATGTGTTCAATCAAATTGATGAAGTATTAAGTAATAGTTTCTATGAGAAGTACAAAATAGGCTTAGAAAAATATATCACACTATTTGATGTAAATATTGAGTTCCATTCGGAGAACCTCTTCCATGCGTTCAAGAGCATAAAGACTTAGGAGTAGTATTAAGTCATGATTTAAAAACAACTACGCATTGCAAAGCAGCCGCTGTCAAAGGTTTTCGTGCGTTATGGTCACTTCCCCAGCGTTCAAATCTATTGACGAGGAAACGTTTCGAATTTTATATCCCACCTATGTAAGACCACACTTAGAGTACTGTATCCAAGCAGCTAGCCCGTGTCTGGTAAAGGATACTAACTCCCTTGAGCGTGTCCAGCGTGTGGGAACGAAATTAGTGAAGGGTCTTTCTAAACTCCCTTATAATGAGAGTTTAAAACGCCTAAATCTTTTCCCCTTGTCGTATCGTAGGACACGAGGTGACCTTATACTGGCATTTCGTATCTTTAATTATGATTTGGGTGTTAATATGTCTTATCTTTTTGTCCCCTCCAGCGCTAATAATCTCCGCGGTCATAGCAAGAAGGTTCATAAACCAAGATCTAATAAACTTAAAGTGGGGTCCCGTTTTTCTCATCGAGTAGTCAATCATTGGAACGCCTTACCCGAACAAGTGGTATCAGCCCCATCAGTGAATACTTTCAAGGAGAAGCTGGACCTTCACTGGAAAGCAGTGTGTCAGGATTAATACAGGTTCATCAACCTACTATCCTTATTACTGAAGACTGAAGACTGAAATTAATTACGAAATTACTCAATTACTATATTTCGTTTTTATTTTCTACTGAGAAAATGTATGGTTTGGATATTAAGATTACGATATTTAGTCTAAATGACAATTTATCAACTACCGAATTTGTCTTATTCTTTAACTATTAAGATTTCATAAAGATGAAAATATTATCTATACAAATTGAATGAACTATACACTGATTTGGAATGACAGTCTTGAATATGCTTCTTCAGAGCACATCTAACACTATTAAAAAGGAGACTATCAGCTTAACCCTGTTTACACTTTTTCTTAATGAATGATTCAGAACATGCTCATAATTAAGAAAAAAAGGGAATTTAGTGACAGAAAGTAAACATTTGTCTAGTTATGTTTTAAAAACTCAAATTGAATTATGCTCAGTGTAGTTTTAGAGTGTACGTTTCACCATGGGGAAATTACGAATTAAATCATAGTCAACAAACCACGTACTAGTTACTTATGTGAAGTCGAGTAAGTTTATAGAATAATTAAGAAGAATTCGAATATAATATACAGCTCTAATTTTACTTCATCGAAGTCTGCTGAAAAAACAGATAGTCATGCTATATTGTCAAAATGTTAACGTTCTTAGGTATTATTATTTGGAGTGGTGAAAAGAACAAATGATCAATGAAGAAATCTATCTACAAGGTATAAAGTACTATAACTTCGGGATAGCTAATATATGTAGTAGAAAATATGAAAATATAATGTAGTAAAAGTAACTAGCAATATGTGAATGACTAACCGATGGATAATTCCACGCATTTCCAGGTAGCTCATTCCATCAGCAATTTGCTCAGCCCAAGATAAAAGTGTAAGACTATTTAATTCATCTGCATGTTGTTTCACATAGCGATCCAAGGCCCCTAATTCGACGAATATTGAAACTAGACAATGACGTTCACTAGATAGACATATTCCAATTAATGGAAGACAATGACGATGCATAACAGATGCCATGACCTGTAAGACAGGAAAGTAGTATCAGCAAACAATGAACACAATATGCAGGATACAAAAAAATAATACTAAGAATAATTTTATCAACAAACAGATTAATCCACACATACCAAACGTTTGAAAGAGACGATGAAGTGTATTATGGCGCATTGTTTATGACGTCTGCACATGTGTTTCAACTCAAAGCACACCATAAGGGTAGACATGTCTAGGTCATCCTTAAGAGTGTTTTGATAAAACAGCTGTTTGATATTGGAAGGCATCTTTATTTAGAAACTGACAAAAAATAAATAATCGTCGAATGTCAACAAATCTTATAAATCTATTTCTCCCATGCTGAAACGTCTCAGTATTATTGACCAAAATCAATAAATGTTTTGTAAAATGTTTTACCCTATAGATTATTCAACATAGTATCAAATAGTTGGCATTGTCGATAACCAGAGATTTAAAATAGACTGAAGCGTATACCATGGACTTGGAAATCCTGAGGTAAATTTGAGGTTCATGAAGTCTGTCAAGTGCAATGATTATCGGTTAACGAATATAAAAGAATAGTTATTCAGAACTACTTTATTTTTAATGGCTTCTTGTATGTATCATTACCAGGGTTCGACCTGATAATTTCGAATTATTGTGTTGCTACCTTAGTTAGGCAGTTTATATGTGGTTATTGAAATTGGGAAAAGGAATATGAAAACGAACAGTGAAATTACATTTTATAAAATTTGTTAGTAGTTAAATTAAAGAAACGTACTTATTATTTTAGCATCCAAAAGACAGGAATACTAGGAGTGGGAAAAATTATCCTAGATTAATATTATAACCAAACTAACTTATAATTTTTAGAAAGAGGAATATTTAGTCACAGTGATTTCATCTGAAATAATAATCGATCAGTTTCGTACTAAAAGTATTTTAATTTTATTAAACACCACCGTGTGCTTGCAAAGTCTCAACTGGCATATGCAGTTTAGTTGATAATGCAATTATGTGGTGTTTATTCGATTATTAATAATTGATAGATGATTTACAACAGTCCCGGCTAGTGTTATTTAAAAGGTGACTACCATTTATAATTCAAAAGAGTCAGTTAAGATAGTGACTATTTACAGTCATAAGGGGACTTTTATCAGGTATTAAAGTGATCAGTAAGGCTAATGTTGAAGTTTCTATAAACTCACATAATCGTTCAAGCATACTATGATGGAAGATTGATTGGATGATGACCCTGTACTGTGACCCCTTCCTTACCTTTAATCTTTCGACGTATTTGCCAATTTTTCAACGTGGAATAATATAATAATCTCACATATAAATTCACACTTAGCGAAATTTCAATAATTTCACGTTCATTAAATAACAAAGAACAGTAAAGTGAACTATATTTTTAAATACCTTAGCTTCCTGAAGAAGTTCCTCAATATTAGCACGTACGGACGCCCGCTTCGCTTCTTCTTCTGAATAAGACGAATTACCAGCTTCAAATGGGGACGATGGGTTTGTGGTTACTGAACATTCAGGTGAATCATTTAAGATAACTTTAATTGCAACATCTAGTTGAGCACCTCTATGCCAATTATATCGAAGTAGAGCATGTTTAGGTACTTTCCATACACCTTTGTATACAGCTCCGAATGATCCTGTTCCTAGAGGAGCTGAGTTGAAGTCACAAGACAAGTCATCCTGATTGATCATTTCCAGCCGCCCCATGTTTGGTTCACGACTTACGGACTGGGTCTTAACACAGAAAATGAAACGAAGTTTTTTCAGTAACGGCATGAGTTAAGCAAGTGTTAAATTAAACAAACCAAATACCAAACAGACACGGATACAAGCATACCAGTTGACTCCGATCTATAATTTCAATATACAGGCTAAAGTTCGCAGTTAAAATTGATATTCCCTGTATTTTTAATACGAATAAACACAAGTAGTTAAGATTTTAATAAGCTAAGGTGAAAAAGTTAATACTCGGTCAGAGAATATCAAGCTCCGCTTGAATTTCGGATGTTACATTAGAAGTGGCTATTATAACACATAAGTTTATTTGCAAACAGGCTGGAATCGGAAGCAATAGATATTGGCAGACGGATTCATGACTAAAATAAACATAAAATAGATTGAGTAGAACTTCCTATGTTTTATTATATAACGAAGTTGAAATACTACCTCAACGATATTCAAATGCTTGCACAATGATTGTAAGCTGAGGAGTAAACAATACATCATAGAAATCCGGCAACAGGAATAAGTAGAGCCAATCAGTCCTATCAGACCGAAATGCGATATTCAGAATATTGATTACTCAGCACATCGTTTACATCAATGGCTCATTATTCTCATACTCAGTAAACGAAATGATTTATTATTCTTCCGTCACCCGATTATTGCTGATCGTCGACGGATCAGTAAGTAACTACAGTAAAACTCTCAGAAACACTCCTATGGGCGGTGTTCAAACCAGTAATCGAGAAATCATAGAATTTCCTACGATTAAAGAAGGTTGTCCAAAGCTATGAATTTTAATAATCATTTAAAATATTGATAGAATATCGTTTTAGATACTCACCTTCATATCAGGTTCTAACAAGTTAGTATATGCTGAGCGTAGTTGTTCACGTATTTTTTCTGCTTCAGCTTTCCGTCTCAAACATACCACCAGTATTATTGTAACGAGTGCAATAATGATAAATATGGAAATAGAAACAGCAATAAGAATTCTATTACGCAATTCTCGAGCTGTTTGACCAGATAAACGTGCATTTTGTTCAGCTGTTAAACACATGCCATGAAAAATATGATTGCGATCCTCTGGACAGGAAGAATTACAAACGAACTGAAAGGCAAATGAAAGGCAATGTGGTATTAACTATCTGTTACTGCGAAAATATATAACAATTCTTGATTAAATATTTTCATTGATAAACATAACTTTTTAATAGCTCGTTGTCAAAATAATATACAAATATACAGATTTATAAATTAGGTATTAAATCCATATCACATAAATGGTGTTAGATCAGTTTGGCAGGTTAACTGCGTATTTGCCATAAAGATAATAATGAAGATAATAATAATAAGTAGTTCATTAAACGGGTATTAAGAAGGTTAGATGATTAGCGTATTAAGACACACTACCTAATAATAAAATTAGAAATTAAAACTAAATAAAACTGAAAAGACCGAAAAATATTTTGTGAAACATAAGAGTAACACATAGGGAAGCCAGGTTAGTTTCGTCATATGTCATTTCAAATTATCACTTTGTTTGCTTGTACTGGTTTATAAAGTTTGCCATTCCAAATATAATTCCAAGACATTTTGTACTATTCGTTTATTAAAAATAATTTGAGCTTTAATTAGTGGGATTAATGGTCGACGATATTGTGGTCATGGTGAAAATCCACTCCCTTGACTCTTCATTAAATTTAAATCGTTCAAACTCAGTGCTGAAATGTCTTGAAAGTACGATTTACGGAGGAATACGTAACAAGAACAAACAGAGTTGATTAGTTCTCTTTAGCTTACAATGGTTTTTTAATTAAAAGTAGTCAAAGCTATTTTACCATCAATAAGATGCTTAAAATCAAAATTCCCTCCAAAATGTTAAAATAATATTTTCTTTATTTTTCTCTCATTTTGGATTGAAATGTCTTTTAAAACATATAACTAGTGCTGAGAGCAATATTATTTAGACTTATCCGTTATCCATTTATGATAACAGGTTCTACTTAGTAAGACAGTTTGGATAATAATAAACATCAACAGCCGACTAGCTACTAAAGTACATATGTAATAAACCTCAAATGAACTTGAAACATCTATATTTATTATTGTATCGGTTAACTTTATCACAAAATAATTAAAGTTTTAAGGACAATATCGAAGTACCTGTTACCTATGACCATTTAACCATCTCAAATTTTCAGATCAGTTATTACACTTCCAGAAACATCTATCAGGCTTAGATTCGGGCTTATAGATCAAATATTACATCATGAGATGGATAATAACTAAAATACGCACCTTGTTCTGACAGTTGAAGCAATAATGAGGACACTTAGTGATAACGAATTCAAAGAAAGGTTACTTTCAACTCCACATATTTAATGGGTAGAAATAAAGAAGGGTTGATACTACAGAATTTAAATTGTTTGGCTTGTTGAAGTATCTTGCAGCAACTTTATGTTATTTTGTTCATTGAAATAAAAACGGCCTACCATTACAAGAAGTAGGGAAATCAGGAGTTTTACTAGTATTAACATATGTTGTCCATTTAATAATTGAATTTACACGAGTTATTTAGAAAGCTTTCTATACTTTGAAGTAGCAATAATTTGTAGAAACTTCAGAAGATTGATTCGTACAAAAGCTCGACTTATTAATATCCGTTACCCTAAAATATTTTCACATGGGTCTTGAAACGTAAACAAATCTTCATTTAAGTAGCTCAATTATGAGGAATAATAACAACAATTGTAAGCGACAATATTCATACTTCGGAACTTAGAATCAAAATTATGGTGAATTTTTATGAGGCACTCAATTAAGCACGAAATATATTTAAAGTTGTCACAATTGATTGATCACTGGGTGGTGATCAATGTCATGTGTGTCAAGTCCTTATTTAGTGCAGATCGAATGCTATCGATCATGTTGCAATGTGGCCGCCAGTCTAGGTGACTCGACACTGATAGCTCATGAATAGCTCATTGGTAACGTCTCCGACTGTGAAGCTGGGTGACACGGGATCGAATCCGCCGGGGAGCACCAGTTCTCTCAAGATTACAGGCACATCTTGCTGACGAGTGCCAGGTAGCACGAAACCCGGGTCCAGGGTTTCCTGTTGACTACCTCCAACCACCATCTAATTTAAAGTTGTACCTGCTTCGTAAAAATTTTACTATAATGATAAAATTTTATTTCAGATGGATTTCTAAACTTATTTGATAGAACTGTATGATATGTATTAACTTACTTTATTCGTTTCTTCATCCAAGATAATTTGATAATTTCTACATTTAACACAATCTTCTGGACCAGGTCCAGAACAACCTTGAATACACTGTTCATGACAGAGCAAACATCGACGCTGTGAACGTTTCAGTTTAATTAGAAATACTGGAGCTGCTAGTGAGGACGTTTTGTATTCTTGTTGACTGGCATCAATGCTTGCGTTAGTGGTGGCAGAAACGTTAGACAGAAAAGTGAATTCTTTTAATTGATTTGATGAGAACTGGGTATTGTTACTAAGAGTAATTAAATCATTTTCTTCATTGTCCGACTCTTTATCAGATCCCGCTAGTGAATATGTTTCCGCTATAATAATGATATTAATGCGAAATTCATAATAATTAGAAATTGAATTGAATTTGAACTCCTTGGTAAAAGCAACAATACATCAAATACAGTGACAAGTTAACTTGATTCCTATGAAACAAAATTAACTGTACATATTTGCAAACTAAATTCTAACTTTAAAACAACCATGAATATGTACTAGTGAATAGTAATTGTCAAGGAATACGAACCAGAGTCACACGATTTCACACTTACGGATGTCCCAAGTGAGATGCTGATATAATGACTAACACTTTATACAACTGTATTATTCAAGCTAACTTATTGTAAACCAGTCATGTCTCGCTGTGTCAACCAATTCGAAACCTATGTTGATGACTTTGTATTAATTATCTTCAGTCGTCAAGAGTAAAAATATAGTGGATCATAATGTAGAGTTACTCAATCTATAATTTATGGACGAACCAATCACACTTAATATAGCAGATCCTGAGTTTTGGCGCGAAATCCATTAACTCGTTTGGCTAAATACCATTTTGGCATTTTAGCTGATGTCACTTCATGATGAAAACATTAGATCTAATTCCTGTCACTAGCATTCAACCGTAAATCCTAATCCTAATCCCTCACATTAATATATAACTCTCATTTGTTCCTAGTAAGTAGGTGGACATCCCAAGGTCATTGTAACGTTGCTCAAAGGTCGTCCATAAATTGTAGTCTTACCTCTCAACGGCTTGGAGTGTGAATTCCTCATTTAAGTAAAAAATGGGTATTTCACAAAAATTCCTTTTTTGTCCTTCATTTGGTGTAGTAGAAAGATTGATTTATTTACAGTTAGTGGAGTAATGGAAAACTCTGACAAGTACGTAGTGGAGACACCACGTTACTGTAATCGTTGATATGACGTTTACTCTGAGTTAGTTTAATTATGTAGTTGTTTAAATTAGAAACTCAAATGCTCCTTCTCCAAATTGTTATGGTAATAAGTTACTTGAAGAACAGACATGCAATTAAATATGTGGTCATATTTCAGTACGAAATTTGCGATAACCATTTAGTGAATGAATTCGGTATCTTCTCGAGAGTGCTTAGAGAAATCGTAAACACGTTAGATGACTTAGTGATCATAATAAATAACCAAAAGAAACTGAATTTATTTATTTCCTACTTATTTGAAACAGAAAGTCTTGTTAGACGTCCACTTAATCTGTAATTAAAAACCTCTTTCTCTTCACTTTTCTTACCAAGGAAAGAACTTTTTATGTTTTGATACTTTTGTCTTTATCTTCGCTGTTGAACAATACACCAGCTTAGCACACCAGATTTGTCCCATTCGGTTGCTTGATCACAATATTCTCATATTAATAGCTATTACCTTAGATTCAGTATTTGTATGTTAAAATACACTAATAATATTGACACACTTTGCTTTCAGTAACTTCACACAGTAACACAATAAGAAAACTATTGTCAGGTGAAGCCAGCTAATAGACAAAAAAGCTGATGGAGAACAGGGGTGATGAATGTTATTTATTTGGCATTGTTAAAAACAATGACGTATTCATAAATTTTTATTTGTGACTTAATTCTAATAAATAAAGTAGACAATAAATCATTTTTTTATTATTTCTGCTATTCTTCTTCTACTTACTATTATTATTATTATTATCACAATCTGGGGTACACGTTTGCATTTGAAGGCGACATCATAGCATAATTTACTGTACTCATTGATATTAGTAGCAAAACTGACCGAATCACAGTTAATTTATGCTTGGAAACAATTTTTTTATGAATATCAACATTATCACTGCAATTATTGTCATTACATTAGTCCCTTTTCTCTCAAATGACAATTTAATTTAACAGTAGTAGGAAAACAATGAATACATTTGGAAGATACAAATTATTAGCTATCTGAGTAAAAGTGTGAAGGGGTATTAGCTTAGCTGTTTTGGGAGTGCATGAATTTTATCTAATTAATCGGGTGTTATGCAGAATATGATTTTTGTAAAATCTAAACAATTACGCAGTTGATAGAAATTATTGTTTGAGAACTATTAATGCATATCTGTAATCTAAGCACAAAAATCCTAGGGAATATGAGTATTGAAGTAAAGTTAACATTAATTCGTCGGTCGGATTTCCCATATCACTAAAGCATGAAATCTGGTGGAGAACCATATTTTCGTTAAAGATTATGAAGTCATGAATTAGTTAGTCACACTTTTTCCACATTATCAGACTACTTCTTAGGAACCGAAATATTACTGGATTCACACGAGACTGAAAGATACAATTGTTTTCTTTATTACTGCGATACACCGTACTAAGTAAAAATAGATTCTGTCATTGAAAATATACTAAACAAAAACCTTTATTTTCTGTTTTAAAAGATAGGCCTGGGTTACATATCGTCTATAAAATTCCTGTGACATTCTGGTTAGGTACTTGGTATTTTTTTTATTAATGACATATTACAAAAGATAGGTCATAAGTCTTCACCGTTAACGTGGCACCAAATGAGAAAATAAACTGTTCAGAAAAAATTCCAGTATTCCTTGCTTACATTTCACATATATCCAAACTTTTGAGTTCACTCTTGATTAACTATTAGCTACATGATAAGATTTTCCAAGTCAAGTTGTATTGTTTTACCCCATCCCCGTATAAGTGCAGCTTTACATCATACAGTTATACGTTTGTGATCATTTTCTGTCTTGCAATGATAACCAAGAATGGGTTATGAATGAATTATTGTCGGTTTAGTTAAATGGGTCAATTGACTGAGTTATACATTCTAGAATTGGTTCTTTATTTCGATTGAAACGTTCATTTTGTAGACAGATTGGTGAAGTAGTGAAATAAGTTCTTATTTCATTCTTTTCATAATACCACTCGTTTTGTGCACACTAAAAATCACTGTTCCATGAAACGGACAAAGCTGTGAATCAAATCTTCTAAACGAAAAGCATCAATCTCTTTTAGATGAAACAGTTCTTGAATTCGGAACTTTTTTTGTTACTTACACATTAAAAAACCAATGAAATAGATATTAAAATATCACAGATAAAGTAAACGTTTTAGAGGACCAAATGTCTTGAGATTTGTTAAATAAATAACCTACCGGGTGGACAAACCTCTACACATTCTGATTTAAACCACCAATGAGTACAACTATGACATATAGATGCATGTGTTCCGTTTGCTGTACATAAATCACAAAATGGATGACACGGTTTACACACACGGATCATACCTCCAAGTTCACCTTTTTTAACTTGATTATGAGAAGATACAATGATATTTTCTTTGTTTATAAAATCTTGTGTTTGATAAGATTCTGTGTAGTGTTTGGGAGGACAATCATCGGGTAGACATTGGTATTTGTTTGTTGTCTTATCTAGTGACAAAATAAATTCAAAATTTATGTTTAATTAACTAATAAAGCTTTTAAATATTACAGTAAAGTTAGTCTCAGATAAAAATATCACCCTAATATTAACTTCATTAAACAAGCAATTTCAGTTGTATGGATTATTTTAATACTATTTGACAGTCTTGTTAAAGTCGTGTAAAGTCATCGAATTTACGCTCATATATACCTAGAAAAATCAAAAGGAAATTGAAGTAGATATGAACGATATCCCTGCGTATAGGACACTGATTTGTGTCTCAGTCTGCGTAGGTGCGAACACCGCGAGATTCACTGGGGATTGAGTTGCGAAACTTCCTGAATATCTAGCATGAACAAACTATTTGGAACATCAAAGACTGATTTTGATTAGACAATCATTGAAAATCAAGAGGTAATGGACAACCGTTTCGTCTCAGTCTAAGGCTCCTAATAAATGAGTATCCGTGGCCCACTAAGGGATCGAATCCAGGTTCTTTAGACTTCGCGAAGAGCTCTTAACCTTCAGACTAATGAATCATCGTTCAATAGTTTACTAATCTAACCTTGATGAACACACTATGTTAACTAGCAGAGATGCAAGTTCAACTATAAGATATTTACACCCAGTAAACGATATTATATCATACATCAGAATCTTTACAGTGGCTCTAAAACTCCTGCCTATAGGAAGAAGAAAGTAATGAGTGATGAGGGTGTACAGAGTTTCTCAGTGTACCATGTTTCTTTTCAGAGGAATAATACTAAGAAATAGTTAATCTAAGAAACTGAATATAGATCTAATTCATTTCAATGATATGCTTTGGAAACTAGAGAAAAAAAGAGTTCACAGTTATATCGATATGTCTTTCGTCATTTGTGATCAAGAAACAAGTCGACAAAGGAAAGTCACTATATTTGGTTATGTCGAAAGAATAGTTATTCTTTATTCCCTGTGTTAAGAAACTCGACTGAGGCGCTTCTCAAATAAGATTAGTGAAGTTAACTAACAAAAGCATATGATTTGTTGAGAGATATCAAATTTTTTAAATAGATCTCAACAAAATCTGCATTTGCTATTCAATATCTCATTGTGTCTAGGTAATATATATAATTATATTCTTAATCTAACTTATCTAAATGGTTGGATATAAGCAAAAATAAGAAGCCCATTTTAGGAAGTATTTCATGAATATGTAGAATATTCAATGAATCAGATAGACCCTTAATTAGTTTACGTTTCTTGACACAACTGAGAGTAATTTGCTGATTTCCGTGTTTCTAAAGGAAGCATAACTACAAAAAATTCCAGATTAGATTTAATATTGATAACTAACCTTGTATAACTGTCCAACATGTTTCACAACCACCCAAGCCAAGAAAGTTCCCTGGGCCACTACATAAGTGATTTTTCCCAGTGGTCAGTATGTGACTGCACGACTCATTACAAGGTAAACAATAATGGGTTTGTGGATCTACGTATGTATTTTGTGGACATTCAGGTAAGCAGGTATCACCATGCTGAAAAAATACTTGATAGTGGTAATAAATGTTGTTAGGTAAAAAACATTGCTTTTATAGACGAACCATTAAGCAGCTACAAATACTAATAATTCTGAAAAGCAAAAACTAATGACTTTCCTTTCTGGCTAAAATTATGTTTCATAATAAACAACACTACATAGGAAATGTAAAAACGTAAACCTAAACTTAGTGGAAGTTAGGGGAAAGTTAGTTTTCTTGGGGAATTTCAGATTTAGCCTATTTTATCCACAGTTAATCTCTTCATTTAAGCTTAGGTTTACAGGATAAGTATTTCTTTTTAATGACTTTGTTGGTCCGTGTAAAACAATTTTCTATATAGTCAACTAAATATTAGTAAACGAAATATATTCAGAAATTCATCGGATAAAAGAAATATTCAGAGAAATCGAAAAACCACATAATTAACTCCTGTTACACATATCAGTGACTGAATAAAAATTATTGATCAAATAGGGTGTACTGGGCAATTGAATGTTTACCTTTTAAGGCATTTTTGAAAGGACTATCTAAGATAGAATTGATCAGTAGTTTTTTCTCCAAGTTTGTAGCCTGATTTATTTTAAACTCTGTAATCTTTTGGTCAATTTTTCCCCAGATTATCTTTTTTATTTTGCATTGATATACATCTTCTAATTTATCTCATTTATCCAATGTGTAATTCTGACTCACATCTCGACTTGTATTGTCTTTAGAAAAACATACATTTACTTATATCAAAATATAGGTCGTTTACATACAATTGTCTGAACAAGATTACTTCAGTTAAACTGCTTCATTTACTTGCTGTATTTGATTCTATTGATAATTGTTTTACTGCTTCGCAACTTACCTGGTAGTGCTTACATTCTCCAACACATTGATTTGCATTAGGACCATAACATGTCTGAGCACATTCTGGATGACAGATGGCACATGTTTCTGAAGGGACTACGGATGCAATGATTGCTTGTTCTTCCATTTTTGCCATGTCACTTTTAGTTAAAGGTAAAGTTCGACAAACAGGATTATTATTGGTCTTTGCCAGAATTGAATGATTGAAAGATGTTGGAAGTTCATAAAAGCCAGGATGATCTGTGCATCGAGACACGCAATACTCACCAGCCTTTAAACCACAACAATGAGCACACATATTAGCCTCAGCACCCCAACAACCAAGTTCTGGTAAACATTCACTGTGGCAAACGTGACCACGTTTAGCTACAAGAAAATGAACAGAATGTGCATAATAATAAAAAGCAGATGGCTAATCAAACGTAAGCTTTAGATTTCCCTCCCTCCTCTTTACGCTGAAAATTTGTCACATGGTTTGAAATGCAACGACATTCTGTAATTGTGGCTGTCAATGGTTTTCGTGAGTATCTTTGATAAGTGGTTTAAAGGGACTGATCAGCTGAATATGCTGTAGACTAAACTGAGCATTCAAAATATTAAGATGAAGATTCCAGAGCTGAGGCTGATTAGTACTATGAAAATTCAGACACCTTAGATTCTACTCAATTTCAATCAGCTCAGACCTTTAGACTTACCACTGACGTTCTGAATTAATTGTTTAGAACCCCTAAACTTTCGCATAAACTAAAACTTCTCTCAATGATACAATCTTTTTAAGCTGCAATTGAGTAAGACTAAATTGTTTTTGAATATTGTTCAATTTTTAGCTCATTGAGAAATGAATTGATGAGTATGGTTGAATGAACTGGAAGAATAAGAATTTCAATGCATCATCCAATATAATTCATATCTCAACAATCGAGTTTTCGCCTGCCGCCACTGTTGTCATTTAGGATTTACTAAGCGAACATACTTTAAATTGTTAAAAAGAATAAACAGAATATTGAGCGATGGATGATATACAATGATACGAAGTGGCTGAGACATCTTTGAATTAAGTAATATTAAAAGATAACATATCTGCCCAACAGAAAAGTTTTTTCTCTAAGAAAATAACATGCTAATAGGTAAAACATTAACAGAAAAATAATAAGTGTTAAAATTCATAGGCGATTGGTGAAAACTAATTTTACAAGTTACTCTCATTCAAAATAGTTAAAACATTACCCATCATATCAGTGCTAATTGTTGAAAACCTCATAACAGAATGGAAAAAAAGATATATATCTCGTACTGTCATCGTCGGCAAGCTATTTTGAAATGTTGATTATTGTAAATCCTCACTTCATCAAAATAATATCGTCGTAGTGTTTGGAGGTTTACAATTAACATGATTTGTTATACTGATACATATCTTTTCAAATCGCAAGTTATTGGTATGCAGAAAATTTCGCCTCATATTTGTAACACTCATTCAGCTCTGGAGTATTACAATTTACTAAATAATTGTACGAAATAATTCACTTTCACTAACATACTAATACTGCTCTTTAAAACAGTTTTTCATCAAGCTATTTCATGAATTTCTTTGATTTACAATCTTCTCGAAGATCATTGGTGATTTCACAGTTTTCCTACCTACAACTAAAAATGTTGAAATTATCGTATCCTATGTTGTTTCATCCCAGCGAAGTTCACACGTCAGACAGCTGCTTAATTCGTTTCCTACTAAACTTATTCAGTAGCTCATTAAAACCAGTTGCCTGGTTGCAATCGTCTCAATGGTGGATTTATAAAACGTGCTGATTAGATAAATTATTATAATGAGTCCATGTGCCTAGTATGTGTTTGAAACTGAAATCTATCGAATTTGTTATTGGACGAATCAATTTCATGTTTAAGTTTGAACAAAAATTTTCTCAATACCATATTCGGTTTTATTTATGAGTTAGAAGATAGAAAAGATTATTGTTGAATGTCTTATCTATCAACTTTTCAGTCAACTTAACGATTAAGCACCTTTTAGAGTACTTCTCAGAGTACTTTTTGATTTATAATGAACAGCTTCTGACTGATCTAGACCAGTATATATTTTACAATTGAACGTGGTCGACAGAACGCACTTATATATTTTCATAAGCATACTAAATCGTTTGCTCACAAAAGCTGATATTTATTTACTAACGAACAAGTATGTGAGCTATATTAGGGACAGGAGATCTATAATACACAACTACTGATACGGTTTCTATGAGATTGTAATTAGTAAGTCTTATACGTAGCTACTATTTAACCAATAAAATGACTAACTTTTCATGATCAAAAATGTCTGTTTTGTCCCAACATGAATGACTTTCAAATCGGTAATTTAGGATATCACCGATAATCGTTGCATAAATACATAGTTTAAAGTAAATTGACATCTCCCGTTACGAACATATATTCTGGTCAAGCGTGACAGTAAGATTTCCTAAAGATCATTTATTCGTGGTGTAAATATTGAGATTTTTAAGGTGCTATTTTGTGTAAATTGGCCGACTTTTTAGGATGTTAATCTTGATTTAACGAAGGTGAATTCGTCCTCAAGCGTACACTGGGTGATGAGTCCGATGTAACTCAACAAAATCTCACAGAAAAATAAAGCTATATATTGTTGTTAGAAATATGAATGCTGAATATATTTTTAAAAAATGACAATCAATCACTTTCATGATGAAATATCATGAAATTTGTTCGCCTATCACAACTGCACTAGCACTCTTAGCTGCAGATCTGTTGGTTATGTTGTGCTTGTTCTACCTTACGAATAATATTGAATAAATCTATTTATTGTTAGTATCTCAGTACTTAAGTACGATTCACTTTTTAGTTGCGAGATCCGTCTAGTTCATTAGAACACAACTAGTGATAAAAATCAGAATTTTGTGTGTCCTATCCACTTTGTGCTTTTGATGGCAAATAATAGGTTGCAAATGAAACAGTAGGTATTCATCAGTAAGTGTTAGGGATCGATATTGCTTACTTTAAAACAATCATAAGTGAGCTAATGCGATAATATATACTCAACTCCGCATCTATGACAAGTTGGTTTTTGTCTCCGTATACTGATAATTTCTTTTATGAAGTCGTGGAATGCGAATTCGTTATTAAACATTCTTGTTAAGGAAGTGGTCACTTTTATTCTACATACTTTTAGCTACATTGCTTTTTTTCGGTGTTACAACTAAATAATAAAAAATGAATGTTCGTTAACGTATGGAATATTTATGATGTATATAGTCATGGACTTTATAGATTGTTATCATCATATATCACAGATGGTAAGTTATGATGACAAAGTATCTGACACAAACATAATCTTTTTCCAATACATTTTTCATTGAGATGCATACGGGATTTTTAAATGATTAGGCTCAATAAAGAATACATAATTCTCTGAAAAGCTCTACGTTGGTTTTAACGGCAAATATGTTATTTCTCAATCAACTAGTGGTAACAAATTAATAATATTTTTCGGTGAGTTATATCGTGACTAAACAATGGCTTTTTCCATAAAATTAAACGTTTTCTTATGGTCAGTGATAAATAATTTCTCGGAGGCACTTGAATGCTATTTAGTGGCACTTTATAACAAAATATGAATGCGATCTGTTTCACGATACCTCAGGATGTGATCTTCACAGCTGTAATACACCAAAGTTCCATCAAGGTCTGTATCGTTAGATTGGAGTAAAATAAGCATATATTATTTGTATTTATGTGCCGCAGGGCAACCTTACTCAAATATTTCTTTAGTTTCTTTTCTTTTCAGATGCCTTTAGACAAATAATACTTCACTATTATATATGTAAGACGAGTCTATTCATAAACTAGATTATCAGAATGCTTACAGAAGATCAATAAAATCTAAGGCAACTTTAAATGATCATACATAAAATATGAACATACCACAAAGTTCTTCATCTTGTACATCTATCATACGTACAGGTAACATTTTTGTTAACGCACTAATATAACATAATTTTGGCATATTCTTCAAATATACATAACCCCCAATATTAGTAAGTGATTTGAAACCAAATGACTCGATATGTTCTCCGTTCATAATTGTAATCACTGCTCCTGGCGATTGACTTTTCACTGAAAATGTTTAGAAGTATATTATACTTTTAATCTTAGAAAATAATAGGCACTTTTATTATTGAATCGTTTATGTAATTGTAAGTGAACGTTTCTGTCATAATTATTAGATACGATAATAGCGCTGATCAACATGTTAGAGATATTTTTAGCCTAGTTTCACCTATCAGAAACCCGTAGTATGTGAATAACATAAATATTACTGGTATTTAATAGTTTAAACCAGTTGCAAGGGTTAATGTGTTATAAGTCTATATTGTTAAACGTCAGAAAAGATGCTCTAAAGAATTATTTGTTCTAAAAACTCGTCCATAGTATTTAGTTAACCATAAATTCTTCAAACGGTCACTAGTATGTATTTTGTTTCCCACGAACTTCTAAATATTTTTTTGCAATATAACTTCAACATACCTTCCAAAACAACTGATTCTAGATTTTCCAGAAATGTTAAATTTTTTAATTCTTCTGGAGCTCCACGTAAATCAAAATAGATGTACCCAACAATTGATTTCAGGTTCAACAAATTGTAGAGTTCATTGACGTTTTCTATTGGATCTGGAAACAGTGAACTGTGAACAAAAAAAAACAACAAAAAAATCGATAATAAATAACAAGAAATGTTTCAAACAATGAATTCAAACTAACAAATATATTATTTAATTATAATGAAGCAAACGAAATAAAATCGTAAATCTAAGTTCAATTTCTCTCTCTTTCTACTTTCATAACGTACCATAAACTCACTCTTAAAAGTTTGTTAATTTAATTTGAAAGCACTCATATAGGTAGTGAGCAAGCATATCAGACGGCTTGGATCATTGTATAAAAATTGTAATCTGATATTTAAAAAATAACGGTCAAATTCGTACTTTTAATAGATTTTTGTCTTAATACTGAAGCGAATATATCATCAAACTACCATCAAGGAAGTTTGATATCGTATATTGAATTTTGGTTACATAGAACTGTCAGTAATTGTCTTCAACCTAACAAAGATATTGAAGACAATACAGTTACATGATTATCACATATCTTAAAGAGTCTTCTAGAAAAGTAAGAATAAATTACATGGAATGATATTCACTTTTAACCATTAACATTAAAATAAAAGCATTATAAATTATAATAATCCGAAGGATAACTAAGGATGTTATTTTGTATGAGGTAATGTGAGTCGTGAATAAATATGACATAATCTTCCATGCTGTAAGACAAATTATTTTTGTGACTACCGTAAACTATTCGATTTCGGTTTTCTAGAAGTTACGCATAAGATATCGTCACTTATTACGATATCCAAATAAGTTGTCCATATCGAAGTTTTGCAAATGAGTGTATAACCAGTTAGTTTTTTATACCTTTTTGAGTCCAGTTTATTCTTTGATTTATTATGTTAATGACCTAACTAATATAATAAAAATTCATTTGAGAATATGATTTACAACTAACAACTCATTCGTTTTGTAAAACAATAAACAATGTAAACTTTGAAAAGCTAAGGCAGTATTGATGAGATAATCTTAAGAAATATAGCCAAATATTCTTTTATCGTGAAGTAAGCAAAACTAACACAAATTCACCTTTTTTGAAAAGATTCTTTACTTATATACAAACCACCAGTATAATAAACACAAGATTTAAATTTCCGTAGTGAGCTTGATTGTAAGATATTCAAACTTCCATTTAGAAAGATTGTTTCTTCTTTACAATCTGTGGTAAAAATTAAGAAAAAATGACAAAAATCCTTCATCCTTGCAATAAAACGATTGCTTAACAACAAGAAAAATTGTAAAATAGATTTCTGGTTTCAAGAAAACAGTAACTTCATGTTGACTGACTGAAACGTTATGGTGAATTTAAAGATCTTTCTTATGTGCATTTCCGTCACAGAAATACCGAGAGACAAAGATTATTGGAAATGGGAAAGTTAAGAAGATTACTCAGTTCAAAATATTGTTTAATCGCTACAGCAGCCCATCAACTTAAAGTTTTAATATTTAAAATTGCTTGAATTGTTTTCTGAAGCACAAACTTCTTGTATGATCAGATTAATATTTCTGATGAAAATCAGTCCATTTGAAGCCCATATTAGCAGTCATTGTTAAAGAATACCAAGATTAAATTCTCAGCCAGTGCGATACCTCACGCAATTTATGCTTAATCCCAAAAAAGTTGGTTGAGTTAACAGACAATCTGAAGTAACAATTTTCATGGCATACAGTGATCATTTTTAGTATTTCTTAGTAAATTACACGGAGCAGTGGTGTAGAACACTTGAATCCTCTCAGATTGGGTGTAACAAAGTCGGATGTAATTTTAAACAACAGAAAAAATCTACTAATGTATTTTTATGCGTTCAATTAATTCCTGAATGTGAAATCCCAGTGAAGAGATAACTAATTTACTTCGTATTAAGGCCCAAACTAAACGTTCGCACAATCAATTTCAATCCCTATACTTAAACTAACTGATGGACTGAAAAACGAAATAATCAATACTATTTAATTACTGTACTAAAGGTCCTTTACATAGAGAATTCGGAAATAGATTGTTTCAATTTCCCCCCCATTATTAGTGAAAAACAAAACTTGGAACTTACCAGTTTGTAAAGCAAATGTTTGGGACTTTTTATATTACAAAAAATCTTACAACAGCGTAATTCCATTATTTGTATTGACATTTAGTTAGATATATTTATTTATAGCAAGATATGAGTCTAAAAAGCTTGATATAGATATCAAGGACCTCATTGTAGCTATTTTATATACTTTTAATTTGAATATCAACCCAAACTTGATTGTAAAGTTTCCATGATACAGCTTTATCCTCAAATTTAAATGTCCTTCCCGGTGATAAGAGGATATAAATTAAATAATTAACCAAAGTATTACTGAAATATAATTTCCTCAACGTATAAAATATCATTACAATACCTTGGTATTTCCGTTACCACTGAGTTTCATAGTCAAAAGCTGTGATACAATAAGCTAAACCGTGCAAGACTCTTTCAGACAGTATGTTCCAGTTCATTTTTGAACGGCTTCGGAGTTCTAGTTAGTATAATATTTGAGTTTCATTATACAATCAACGTTTTCAAATTAAATTATCCACCCGAAATGTGGACATGTTTCCTTCAAACAGGAAAGAAAGTATAAGGACTGTCTAAGGAAGTAAACTAATTATAAAAATTTAAGAAATATAACTAACTGTTGCTTTTAGGAGATTTAGTATATGTAGAAGAAAGGTGTATGATGGATTAAAAAGACTTACGCAAAGATAGAAATTTTATCATTTTGAGAGCTATCCGGTTTTTACATTTGATGTTTCAAATATAAGACCATTGTTTGTTTTACGAAAAACCTTTGAATGAATTTGACTGTCTCATATACCTCAAACTAAGCAAAGTTGTCAAAACGAGTTACATTTCATGCTCATTTTCCTATGTCAAACAGAATGTCCTTTACCAAAAATTAAGCCTGGATCTGACTCAATTTGTTTCACATCACAGTTGAACAGGGTACATTGTGAAAACGGTTTAAGAGGATAAAATATATGTTTAACACCGTGCGTCTCCAGGTAATAGTGTTTGATTGTTGTTTGGAAGCACGAAATCGGTAAATCAAAAAGTGGTCGATATTCGTAAATACAATCTTAAAAGTAAGAACAAGTAACCGTAAATACTACGTAGAAGAGTCTTGACTCTGAAATTCAACGAAGCTGTTCTATAGAATCCACATTTTTCTTACTTTCATCTCATTTCATCTTAATGTTTGCGAATTTCAAACAGAGTAAACACGAACTAACCCTTTATCAGCTTGTCATAACTTATTAATAACTAATCCGAAAATATGATTTCCTGATAAGGTGTAAATTTATTTTCCCATGTAGATAAAACGTTCAACATCTACAGAGTTTCGGAATAAACAATTGAAAACTCAACTGGAAGTGAGATTAGAAGAAAATCTTTCAAATATTCATGGTGGTTATAAATTATTACTGCCATCGCGAGCACTTTAAGCCGGATACATTTACAAACGTTTTATTTCTACTCAGCTGTTACGCTTTACTTCAGTTTTATTATGCTTTCCTAAACTGAAAGTATAAAATTCAATTCATTTTCAAAACTGGTGTATTCTAAATTCATCTAGCCTGTGTAAAGTTGAGCTGTTTTACAACAAACTTGAAAGTCGAAGAAACTGTTTCCCGCCATCTTATGACCTGTTGAAATGAAGTAGTAATTCTTCTATTTTGTTTTGATGATGTATTGATGCATTTTAAATGTCGTGACAATGAATATGGAATTACTTATGGTTTATTATTCTTTACGTGATCTGTCTCAACATCATAAAGTGTCAGTTATTGAGAAGTGACAATGAATTCATCCATCTACCGGTAAATTTACATATTAAAAAATGAGTTGATCGTTCCAAGTGTAAAAAGTTAACTGTATTTATTGTAAAAAATGTGCGGTATCGAAGTTGCTTCAATGTGTTGTACAATGCATACACAAAGTCAACAGCGTTAAAAAGTAGGCAAATGACTATTTCATATCAAAGAAGTAGATTTTTCATAATTGTCAATACCCCAGTTTTTAAACTCGAAACAACCGATGGAATATGAGTTTCGGTATGCGTTCAGGTAATTATTGGAAAAGTCATGAAAGTTTTACCAACAATTTGAAAAAGGGAAGATATTTATATTCCGCGGATCCCTTCAGTTTCAATTGCCATGAAATTACAAATTTTCAAATTAGTAGCATGGGTAAATGTTTATAAAATTTTACGTAAAACGCTTTGCATAAAACTTACGTTCAGGACATCCAGATTTTGGACAGTCCTTGCACGTTCCATTAACAGGAATCTGGGTATTCAGGTCACATTCAATGACGCAGTAACTGTCTGATTTCAGAAATGGTGCTATATGAAATCAATAGAAATTACAGTTATCTTACAAGTAAGAAATAATACAGTAAAACCAGTCCTAAAGGATTACTACCAAAATATGAAGTGAGTACTGAATTTAAAGCTTATGAAAACGAACAGGGTATCACTTCCTTATCAGTTTGTAACTGGATATCTGTTCAAGTTTTACTATACACTTTAAAAAGATATCATTTAGTTAAAATATTCTTTCCATTTTAAGCAAATGCAAGTACTTTGACTAACATAGTTTCAAAAATCTGAATAATTTAACATTTACTTTTCAAAATTTTACAGCTTCTGAGGTTTTGTTTAATAAAAAAGCAACAAGATTTCAATATTAATTTCTCCTAATATAATAAAATGATATAGGAAAATAAAATGTGGATCCTAATATTTACATAAGTTACATAATACGTGCCAGTTCGGTTATACATTACATTGAAATTAAAAATCTTTATATCGAAAAAATGATCCACATCCAGAAATAAAGTAACTGAGATAGACTTGATGAAAGATTTAATTGCACATACAAAGATGATGGACTAAGTTGCAAAAGTATGATCGGTGGCACTTTTCCACCCAGCATTAAGTCATGGTGTACCAGATCCTCCGAAATTTAAAACTGAGTTTTGAAAAATTATGTTTCAGGATCAGAGGTTAAGTTTCACTGTTTGTAGAATGAATAAATAAAACTAAGATTTGAAAGTAATTAGTAACTATAGGCAACTAATGGTGATGAAGTCGGAGCTAATTTTAGATTCCTGGGAGCGGGTAGACATCAATAATGCATCACTCACAGTTAATTATAGAGAGCTTGACGTTATGAATTGGAGTGTCTGCTCCACAAAAAGTAAATATTCATGATTGTCTAGGAAATGTGACATCAGAACACTAAGCATCATTCATGTTTTCGAGATTAAGTATGAAATCAAGCAAAAGTTTATGTTTTTATTAAGTTTACAAGTCAAATGTTTATTTTTAGTTTGATTAGCTTAATTTCTCTACAGTTTGTAGGTTAGGTAACGAAGCAATAATGAAAGTTGTCCAGTATTGTAGAATAATATCATAGTCAATGGAATATTTAATGTTGTGTAACTTTTACGAAGATGCGTAAACAACTAGTCTTAAAAAGGTGTGCTACCAAAGTTAGCACACATAATAGTATAAATTTAAATATCCCTCAGTGAATAAACAGATTTATTTAAATATGATAGTGTACTTTAAGTAAAGAAAATACCTTAAAAATAGTTGAACAAACTAGTAATACTTAAAAAATCATAATTAAAATGTAATTGAGCATAAAACACCACTGAAAACGGTTAAATGGCAAGCGAAATACTGTGAATATACAGAGAATTTCCCCTCCCCCTAAGGTTATCAGAAAGCAATATAAATAAATGCTGACTAAACCAAAACGTGAATCAAAGGTTTACTAACAGTTATTTCATTCATACTCTCGTCTTATCTGTGAAATAAATAATAAAACTTAATTTGAATTTCAACTGGACATACAGAACAGTAAATTTCTCAAGGCAGAATAAATACCATTCGTTGAATTTTCATTCTCATCATAATTTTAATGGTTCATAGAGCAATTACTATGAGTTGTTTGATCAAACTAAATAATACTAAGCCATTTTCACAGTGTTCAAAGATAGAAGGATCTATCTAACTTGCCCTTGTGATAAGTAATAGGCTTGACATCATAAATAAATAACGATATGGTAAATGCAGTAAAAAGCAAATCAATAAATAAACGAATAAATAATCCATTTTTAATATGTTTATGAACCAATTTTGTCAGTCAACAGAGACAGTTATTTGTTTAATGAATAACGATTTAACTAATGATAATTAATTAGCATCTAAAGCAGAAAAAATAGGCCATTGGATCACTTCAGCAATTTTGTATACATGAATGAAATTATTTCCTGTTGATAAAATAAATTCAGATTAACTTCACTTAAACCCAATACAAAATCTGTTAGTTAAAATACAATGTCTGTGAGTGACAGTTCCAATAATGTGACTAAATATATTGTACGGAACAATAGTCATGGTGTTGAGTTCCTAGAGCAATAAAATATTATTCAGAGACATTCCTCTCGTTGAACTTTAGCATACAAAGTTCACTGTAGTAATGCATTTATGGCAGTTTAGTCATAGAATTACAAATTAACTTAGTGATCAAGGTGAACAATGGAAATGTACCATGAAACATGTCACCACCGAAACAACAAGTAAACATAAATACTACATATTCACTCAGTTTGACAAGACATCTTGATCTAACTAAAATAGTTTTTTTAATACAGAGCTGAGAAATCACTGTATTGAAGAAACTGTTGCTATAAAGTAAGTTAGCACAAGGAATATACAAAAAAATGAAATGAAATTCGAAAACTGAAGTTTTATGAATAAATATTATGATATAGTCAGATAATGGTTAGTAGGTTATTATTCTGAATAGCTCATTGAGAGTAAATTGAAATATCATTCGAGTGATAGTATTAAAACTCAAAGTAAAATGATGGGTAGTTCATTGTATTTGATTTATACATATTACCTATTATATTTCGAAGGATAATATTAGATTAATTCTTTTCATCTTATAATCAAGTAACAGATTTAAATGAAGCTGATAGGATTTGTTTTTCTCAACGATATTTTTGCTATGAATAAAACGATGATAGTACTCGTCAGAAGCTGTCATTTATAACAGTGTGTGTCGATGAAAAAATAAATAGCAAAATAGATACCATCTGCTTTAATGTCACTCCTTTTCACCTATATAAAATAGCTGCACAGTTTTCTTTTATTTCCCTTCGACACCTATAGAACGGGTCTATAAGTGTCTTTACAAGGATAAGAATATAATAATTTGTGATATATCTGCTCAAAAAGCGTATGATTTATGTTTGTTTATAATTGATTGGTTTTATTTGATTCCGATAGACCTGATAACTCAGGCGAAACCTTATGTTATTGGTAATGGATACTCAAAATAAGGTCATGATATACTAAGAAAAAAAATACTGACCTTGTAAAGTTTTTTTGTATTTCGAAAACATGACCAGACAATTTTTTTGGTTTTAACTTTGAAAATAAAACATATATATTTAGGAAATACTAACTGCTCAAGTAAACAGTGCGGAATTTCAAGGCAGATAGAGGAAAACTTACTCTAGAGTTTTGAATTAGTGGCGTAAAATGTTATACTCTTAATCATTTTTGGACTCGATGAAGCTAAATTGATAAATTCCTTATGTATTTCAATTCACTGAACCACAGTGTAATCGTCATTTGATATGTTTAATTAACTTGAACAGTTGTTCGCAGATATAAGTAAGTAGCTGTCAAAGTAAATTTATTTTAAAATTTCAATTTTATTCCAAAGGGAGACAGAGTTTCTTTGCAATCACAATTTGAACATAATCCGTAAAACACATCAACAGGTTCAAACTGATATAGGTTGATTCAGATTTTGAATATAAATTGAAGTAAGAAGATCAAGATGATGGAAAATCGGCCTTGTCTTGTCGAATGACAACATTAATTTCTTAATTTAGGGAGCGAAATATTAATATGCACTATTGTAATAAGAGGTTAAATGATCACACTAGTAGCAGGGAGATCAATTTTCCACAGTATTGACACAGGAAACCCAAACAAAATGTGCCGACTGTTTGCATTTTATTACTCAGAATAATACTTTTAAAAAAATGGTGATTTGGACTATTACATCTTTCTTTTACTTTGTTTCAATCTTAATTCTGTAAATGAATCTAAAGTTTACTAATTTATTCCATTTTAAATATCTTTGCTACCCCAGTTGGATTATAAGGAAAAGTATGAGTATTAATTAAGTAGTTAAATATTATCAAATGCAAAAATAATATGATAATGCAGTTAATATTTGAGTAAGAGTTTTGATTTTCGTAACTTATGAATCAGGAAAATTAATAATGTGCGATATCTTTTTGAGAAGCATCATCATAATTCAATACTTAAGGCTGTTGCGTCATGTCTTTCAAGTCTTCAGCTCTATTCATGTATAAATTATCTTGTGAGTTTCACACCCGGAACTGTGACCATTTAACAACGTTTCTATAGAATCGGCATTGAGTGTGTTACTCGGTCTTTCTTAGTTCATTTACTAGAATCTCACTATTATTTTTAGAAACTATCCAGCCACCATAGGTAAAAACATTTAGTCGAAATAGTTTGAACAGATGTGTTTTGAAATATTTTGCGTAGGGATAAATCATTAAGTTGATAAGAAGCTCAACTAACAGTAAACAATCTTCTTAATTTCTAAATCATATGTAAGACAATTTAACCTAAAGAGTAGAGTTTATCCACATATCTTAATGTTAGTGTGTAGTCTGATTAATTATTTCCATGCATAGTAGAAATATAATGCAATTTCTACAGTCTATGTAGATGTTTTGTTATTTGATGTAAAAAACAATTTTCGCTCATTGTATAATGGAAAAACTTTACTTTGTCTACACCCGATTAGTTAGTAAGTAGTTCCGAATGACATGTTTAGAAATACTAGGGACATTGTTTACATGCGACAGACAGTAACACTATTTTGAGAAAGATGCTCATGTACACTTGCATGTTGAAAATACACAGAAACTTTTATCCGAAAAGCATTATTTGAAATGAGCGGATTCGATAAATTAATTAAATTCTTTTCTGTGAGAAAAAAAGGATTTTCAACAACATATGTTTCATCAAAACTCCATCACTAAAGCGAACTAATAGAACTTATTTCAATTATTAGAATAAGTAATTTGAAAAATGTAAACTCATTCGAAAAAAAAGACACGCTTAAATGCTCTTCTTAGAATATGATTACCAGTTTTTAATTAGGTCATCAGTGACATGTGAATTAAACTCTGCTATTGCTTAGTCAATACCGCTCATCACCATTACCATCATTCCCAAGCATCACTTATTAAAGATTCTTAAATAATGTTATTTTT